AGATATTATTTCCCGTAATTTAATATATAAATGCTTTATTAGCTAAGAAATTAATATTTATATAATAAACCTTTTTATTAAGTCCTACCTTTATAATATAAGCATTATTATTATAATTATTATCTTAATCTTATTTATTTTTATATTTATAAAATTTATCTTTATTATTTATCTTATATTTCTTAAACTTATTTAGAAAAATATTAAAGTTATTATTACAATCTTTATATTTACATTATATTAAATAGCTTTTTTTTTTCTAAACATTGCTTATTAGCTAAATGTTTAATTAACTAATATCTTTTCTTTTTGTAAATATAATATTTTTTCTTTTAAGGTTATTTACCTTTTCCTTCTTTATAAGCATTATTACTTTAAGCTTTATAGTTAATGCCATAAGATCTTAATTGCTTAAAGCTTAAACGGCTTAAATTTAGTTAACTAAATTATTAATTTCCTTAAAACGCTTAAAACTATAATTATTATCCTTTTCTTAGCTTTTAATTATTATACTTGCAGTTAATATAATATTAATTTAAGACTTTATTTATAATGTAAATTGTAATTATATAGCTAAGTTGCATTTTTACTGTAAATCTTAAGTTTAAAAATAACTCTTTATATAATTAAGTTAACTTAAAAAGAGCTATTTTTAGCTTAAAAACTTTTTTATAAGCTTTAATTACCGTTATTTTTAAGTTATTTTTTTTAGCATAGTTTTAGCTTAATGCTTATTAGCAAAGTTATAGCTTATTAAGCATTAAATATAAAACCTTATATAAGTTTTTATTTAAGTTTTATGCTTTTATTTTTATAAATATTATTATTATTTAATTTATATAGTAATGCTAATAATTAAGGTTTATATTAAAATATATTTTAATTTTAAGGTATATTATTATAAAAGTATTAATTTAATTTATAAAATAAAGATAGTAAGCCTTAGCTTAGTTTTTAAGCATTTAAAGAAAAATTATATAGAATTAACTTAACTAGATTTTAATATAATAATAAATATTAAAAAATATCTTTATCTTATTATTTAATAAGTTATATAGATTCTTAATATACTTATAAAAGTTATTAAAGGTTTTTATAAATTATATTAACTTTATTAAATTTAAGCGCTTATTAAGAATATATTATAAGGAAAGAATTTTATATAGGTTATACTTTTTATTTAGCAAAGGCATTTTTAAGGCAGCTTAAGGTTATATTAAATATAATATATATTTTTAATATAAGCTTTATTTTTATCTTTTCGCTAATAATAATAGGCCTTGCTAATTATATTAATTTTTAATAAATTACATTATTAAGTTTAGGTTTTATAATTACGTACTTAAAGTTAGCGGCGGCAATAAAAGTTATTTTAAGAACTATCCTCTTAGCAATTATTATTATTTAAAACCTGCTTATAATGCTTATAAGGGTTATGCTTATAATTGCTATTGCTATTTTTAAAGTTATATATAATATTTATTTATGCTTAATTTTAGGGCTAATAAGGCATTGCAAAGCTTATTATTAATCCATTTTAATCTTTCCTTAGCTTAGGCTACGGTAATTAACTATAATGCCATAAGTTAATTATTGCGTTTTATGTAAATGCCTTGCATTTAAAGAAAAACTTTTAAGCATTATTAATAAGGATTTAGCAATGCTTTAAATATTGCCTATATCCACGCTATATAATCCTTATAGTAAGCAATGAAAAGGTCGTTATTATAAAGGTTTTATTATATATAGCTTGCTAAAGTACTTACTAAGTAAGTAACTAAGTATTTTATTAATGCTTCCTATATAGGGGCCGTAAATTATAGTTTTAGGTTAATATATTTACGGTAAGCTAGGTTGATTAAAGTTTAAGCAAGCATTTTATTAACTATATACCCTTTAATAAAAGCCAGTAGCTTCTTAGCGTTATTAGCCATTTTTATAGGTTTTTATAGTAAATATTATAAAGAGTGAAATTAATAAAATAAAGAAATATTAATAAAATAAGTAATATTTAAAAGTAAGTTAATAATAATAGTTTAATAATAAGCAAGTTATGGTTATTAAAAGGAAGAAGTTTTTAATTCCTTTAAGCCTTAAAAGCTAAGGCTTTCTTTTATTATTAAGTCCTTTTATATTAGCTGAAAGTATAGTGCATAACTTGCGCTTGCTTATAACGTAGCGTTGCATTAGCTTTAATAGTTATAATAGTTATAAGTTTCGTTTATTTAGTAATTATAATAATTACAAGCTTTGTTTATTTAGTAAAACAAGGCTTTATTAAGTTTTGCCAAGTCTTAAAGAGAATTTAAAAATAGGTTTGTTTTTAATAAAGTCTTATATATAATAAATGCATATTTCTTAAATAGCAATAAATATATATATAAATGTTATAGGGAATGCTATTTAGTTTATTTAATCTTTGCAATGTTTACTTAGGGAGTTTAATAATGCAAGAAGGCCTAAAGAAGTAATTATTGCTATATAGCGCTTATTAATAAAGAGGATGTGATTTTTAAGTTAGGGAAATCCTTATAAGGTTGCCTTTTTTACCTTATTAATTTATAATATTTATAACTATTAATTAGTATTAATAGGTTTCTTATATGTATAATAATTGTATGGAAAGCAATCGTGTATTGGTGTTGTTCTGTTTAAGTTCTAAGAGGCTACGTGCCCCGTAGGGGATAACTAAAGTAGCCTCTTAATAGCGAGGGTTGTACTTGCCAACAGTTTCAAAACGGTCCTGTACCGCCAGGTGGGATAGAGTGTAGCACTGATGAGCGTCTGCGAAAGCCCTTGACCTCTTCCCAATTCCTAGAGAGGGAGTTTGTATCTGAAACCCAGATATTTATGCAACCAGGCATAGAACCAAGAGGTCTGGAAGAGGTAACTGGATGTAATATCATGTAAAAGGGGAGGAGCAACATTAGAATGACAAAAAGAAGTCCCGCCAAATATGTTGCTCATCACAGATTTCCACCTTCATGGCAGATAACATAGGGTCCAGGTAAAATTACAGCTTATTTGTTATCAGAACTCTAGCTAGAGAAAGGAATAGGCACTCAACCCTTTCGTGTACTACAAAAGGTGTCAGTGTTGACACCTAACGTGCAAAGTAGCTCTAACGTTGCAAAGACTTCTTCCAGTTGATATGATCTGCATTTCTTTCTCGGGGGCAGTGTCTCAGACAAATTCCATCCTGTTCATATCTCTCATCCTGTGTGACCGGTTTCATCGGCAAAAACAACTGGCATTGCATCGAGGACCACACCATTACTCCTACTTTTGACACTTAGCCATCATGTCTGATTTTCCATCAGGATGCCTAGAGCAGGACAATGGCGGACGAGCTATTGCTGCTTGCACTGGGCGTTCATGATCAGTAGTACCCTGACAAAGTATCAGTCAGAAACGTCACAGCCGCGCGTTTTCATAACCACGTTTGTGCTTTCCTTCACAACATCGCTCAGATCCTCCCTTTTTTTTTTTTTTGTTTATTTTTCTTCACTCTGTTTTCACACCCCATTCTCATTTTCACGACTGTGAAGAGCGTTCACCGCTGACCAGAACCAGGACAGTAGGCCATGATGTACTAGTGATGACTCTCCGCGCTGTATAGCACTACCTGGGACAGAATGATCATGTGCTGGACAGGCTGAGGGCCGAAATCAGATCTACTGGGAGCGAATACTCGCCCTCACGCCCAATCCAATTTGCAGTGATTTCGAGACTTGTTTAGTAATATTATACCTGTAGGTCGTCCTGTACTTGTCTTTCGAGTCCTGGGCCAGCACTTACCTACCAGGGGGAGGGGGGGTTTTTGTCAACATCACACCACGATGTCAATGGAATAGCGACATAATAGTGACATGCAATCAAGGTTCTAATATGCTTTTTTTATATGTATATTGCATTATTTACATATCATTAATATATAAACATTTTTAATATATTGTAACATTATGTTAACCTTAATATCATGTTAACTCTTAATATAAGGGTAAAAAAAAAACTCTTTTTTTCCCTTATTCTTAACTTAACTACTTATTTACTCTTTATTAGCTTAATTATTTATTATAGGAGGATTTATGGAATTATGAAAATATTTAAAAATAAAAACAAGTTTAAAGTTAATAAGGTTTAAACTAAAGCTTTTAATATAAATTTATGGTAATATTAGCTAATATACAATTAATATTAATATTAAATTAATATTAATATAATTTAAAGCCTTGATATAATTTATATTTAATAGTATTTTAATAGCCTTTTACTAGTATTTCGTTTAAATTACGAAATTCCAATTAAATGTCAAAATATGAGTGCATTGCGTGACCCAGTCAGAAACCCCCCTTCCCCCTGGTAGGTACACTTGAATTAAATTTCCAAGTCACGCGATCATCCGGGAAACATTACGAATCCACCCGAACACGGCCACAATTCTCGAACGCAAAATCCCACTGCAAGGAGCTGAAATCGACGGCCACTATGTCCCTGGTGACACCATCATTGGTGTTGACGCGTGGATTCTTCACTACGACAAGCAAATACACGGGGAAGATGTCCACCGTTCCGGCCCGAACGATGGCTTCATATAAGCGAAGATAAAAAGCTTGAAATGAACCGGAACTAGTTTTTAGTAAGTAATTCCGCGATGCTCACCACATGTGGGCGGCGTTCATAATCTAACTGGGATTTGTAAGTGTACTTTGCTCAGACTGACTCTAAATATGATTTTTCGGCACGGGTGCATACAGCTGTGTTGAAAACAATATGGCAACTATTATGATTAGCAAAGTCATGTTTGAGTTCTATCGACGATATGATGCTTCTTTGGTGCATCCTGACAGGAAGTGACAAGTTCGTGGGAGCTGGGTAACCAAGCAGACGCAGATTGATATGATCATCAGTAGGAGAGGAATGGCCTAGGGCATTGAAATAAGGCTATTATTTACTAGTGTATTAGAAACGTTTCTTGTCTCAGATCGCCAATCACCACTTCATTCCGCCGCCATAGCAACATGTAATCTGACCTTTACCCCAGCGCCCGGCGTGAGCACCGTCATCCAGCTGCGTTTCTGGTTGTCGCTCCCCGGGCTCGGCCGGATCTGGTCATAGTGCTGGGCCATCTTGGCGACGGCAAAAGACAGCTGAGACATGCTGTATTCCTGCGGACCTCCGCTGAAGGGCGTGGACTCCCAGCCCCTCCGCCTGCCTTCCCACCGCTCCGGCGGGAACTCGTTGCGGACCGCCTCGCGCACGCTGCGAATGTGGTAATAACTCCGAGCCTAGCTTTACAATATGCAAAGCATCCTTTCTTCGAATTTTTAAATTCCTCGAGCGTACGACTGGCTGATATTTACGGTTCTTTCAACCATGATACCTGCCCCATCGTGATATCCTTCTCGTCCGATGTCTTGCGGTTCAGTAGCCGAGTCGGCCGCGTCCGAGACTTTTTGCGCATCTGCGGCGTTGTTCGTGATGATCTCCTCTTGGCTTTCGCCCTTCTCGGTTTGAGTGATGCTGTACGGATTCCTCGCCGTTCTTCGGTTCTGAGGACTTCCTCCTACTGTGACCACTGCTCTGACTTCGTCGTTGAGTTCGTAACCATTCTTGTCAGCGGAGTGTCTGCGCCCGTTCAATGGCGAGCTCGACTTGTCAGTGGCGTATCCAGCTTCAACCCAGAAGCTGCGGCGAAACAATGGTGTAAGCATCGGTGCTTGACCAACGACTACGGCCACGAAGTCCTCGCGGGTCGACCACATACCCGCCATAGTACTTTCATTGAGCTGTCGTGTATCAGAACTATCAGCATGTCATAGATATGTATGTGAAATGGCCTTAAGGATACCGGCTTACATGAAATATTAGAACGTATCGCAAAACAGCCGCAGTCATGCAAAGAGTGCCCAAGGTGAAACAGAAGAAAAGACCAAGCCGCTTCCACATGGTTGTTCGAAGTCTAATGAAAATCTGATAGCATGTCAGTCCTGTATGTAAGGCAGATATTGAGCAGTCTTACAGGAAGAGGGACAAGCATGATGCACAAGTCTGTTGTCAAGTTGAAGGACAGTATCGTAGCGAGGAAGACGACATTTTGCGGCACACATCGCGGGCCCGGGTCTGGCCACACTTTCCAGAGGTTATGAAAAGGCCGGCATGTTAAACTAATTGTGAAGACAATCACCATAAGGGTGACCCCGATAATACCCATGAGGGGCTTGACGAACTTTTCGCTCCAGGTGTTGCGAACCACACGTTGATAGAAGCAGAGCATGTTGAACTTGAGCATCCAAATGATGACGAAATATTCTGAAAGCCCCACGAGATAGATCTTCGAGCCGTACTCCCACTCGTGGTATTCTGAATGGGGCATTGCCTTCCGCTGTTCGTAGGTAAGGTCGGATGTGTGCCGTCCTTTACATCTTGCCGTAAAGATGTGGCTGAGGACAGGTCCAGAACACCACAGGCACTAGTTTGCAGACAAGATGTTAGTCTCGTTATTCAGTGGTGACCCTGGGACCGAGAAAGAAAACAGGCTTGCAAGAGAACTCACAACTACTCCAATAAGCAGCCAGTCATCTAGGTCATAGCCCTTTATGCCCACCATCTTGGTTCGGACCCATATTCGCACAGCAAGGAAGCACAGGCCAAAAAAGGAGAGCAGCCATAGTTCGATTATGTTGCGGACGATGAGTTCTTGCATAGTGTGTAAATATGATAGTAATGATGACCCAAGACGGAATTCTTGGATGAAAACCGTGTGCTCAGCTCGGCAACTAGAGGCTCCTGGATGGTGAAAGTTCGAAGGCTGACGACGCAGAGTCTCGCTGTAAGCATGTCTGGGCATTCATGCCATAAGTCCTCATCCATCGCCCCCACTCGTACTGGGTGATGGGCCGAGGGCAGTCTTCCACAGTAGCCAGGCACGCCAGGCTACCTACAAAATCGGAACAAGGCTCTGCTGACGACCTTTCTCAGGATTAATCTGCATACCGGTACCGAAAAGATTGGGGTTTTGTAGTATCGAAGCGAAAATGTGCAGTAGGCTCCCGGGCCTGGCAGATGAAACAAAACGGTTCTCGACGCAAAGGTCGTCGCGGGCCAGGCTTTTTTTGGTTCCCGCAGACTGTGCCACCAGTTGGACCGCGCCACGCGTTCCCCAACAGCAAGTAATTACTTTGAGTAAGTCCTTTGAGTATGTACCCTAGGGTAGCACAGGCACCTGAACTCGCGTAGTCGTCTTGTCCGCATAGACGCAAGACGACTCCCGTTTATGAAAAATCGAGCAGCCACTGGACCAAACTTTGCGGATATTGACGCCTATACTCACATTTTCTGATTGTCCCCGAGAACTTCTTCTTCGTCACCATTGAAAATCTCTCCGCATTATGACCTCCATCAAAGTTGCCGTTACGCAAGCCGAGCCGGTTTGGCTCGATCTGGCTGGATCCGTGAAGAAAGAGATCGACCTCATCGCGGAAGCCGCAGGAAAGGGTGCCAGAATCATCGCCTTTTCTGAGGTGTGGCTGCCTGGGTACCCTGCCTGGATATGGGATGATGTCTATACGGTATACATCGGAACGCATCATAGAGGCAGCTGATATCCCCCCCCCCCAGGGCTCGTCAGATCGACATGGAGCTCCAGACGCGCTATGCGTATGATGGTCTCTCACCGTCGTCCCCGAGATGTGCTCACTTCTCGCTGCCGCCGAACAGCACGAAATCGCCGTGGTGCTGGGCTTTGCGAAGCGTACGCCCACAAACAGCACGTATATTGCCCAGGCCATCATCTCGCCGCAGGGCGAGCTTGTCGTGAAGCGGCGCAAGATCAAGCCGACGTACATGGAGCGCACGCTCCTTGGCGACGGCTCCGGGGATGACCTGACGGCTCCGGGGATGACCTGACCACCACGGCCGAGTTCGACTTTGGGGCACCCCTGGGCAAGATCAAGGTCCGCACCATGGCCTGCTGGGAGCATACCCAGCCGCTGCTCAAGTATCACACCATCTCCCAGGGTCCAGCCATCCACGTCTCCATGTGGCCGCCGGTCGATCCCACCACCGGTCCGCGGCACCCTGGACTAGGGAGCATGACCAAGGAGGGCTGCCAGAAGCTTTCGCAGACTTTTGCGATTGAGCCTGCGGCGTACGTTCTCCGCTCTACTGCTGTGTGCCCTTGGTAGGGCATCGAGGCGACGGAGACCCAGACGGGACTTGCTTGCCGCGAGCCCGGTGGTGGGCACAGCTGTGTGATTAGGCCGGACGGGCTAGTCATCACAGAGCCACTTGGCGATGGGAAGGCTGACACAGAGGGCACTGTGTATCCCGGTCTGGACCTTTCTACAGTGGTGGCAACAGAGGGGTGGCTGGATAACGTTGGCCACTGTAGCCGGCCTGATCTTTTGAAGCAGAAGCATCATGTTGTTGAGAAGGTAGTTGATAGATTCCACAAAATAGCCATGGAAAGAGGTTATTGATAAATACAAGCTATGTATATGATATGGGTGCAAGGTGAACAATACGGCTTGAACAACAAAAACTAACATGGTATAAAGATTATTTTCGTCGTTTGGAAGTCTAAGCCGTTAATCTTCGCACGTTGTCTGAGTACCAGGCCTGCAATAGCTGATGACAAGTTTTGCGAACTGTCAGACCAGCACCTGTGGGTGCCAAGGCGTATTTGGGCTGTGGAACTACTGCAATAGATTCAACTCGCTCTTGTGAGGACCCAGAAAACTACAAACGCGAGTTTCGGGCTGGCCAGAGGAGCTTGGTTGAAGACCTGACCATGGGTTTCGAGGAGGAGGTCAGGAAAGCAGTTGAATAAATACATGTTGAGAAAGTATTGCTTTCTGTGGCCTGTGGTCTAAAATCTTTCGTCAAGGTTTGAGATACAGGATTGGCGCCTGCGTTGATGGAGGAGATAGAAGGTGAGGTCTTGGCATGACACTCGCAACGGGCCGAGGCACTACCCGTGTGAGGTTGATCGGGCAATTCAGATGCGCTGCGGCAGAATCCCGCAAGGACCCGGGCAGCTGCCGGGCAGCCGATGCCGGATTGATTGCGATCAGATGCAAGTTCAAGCAGTACTGTAAAGGACTCGACCCGGAAATGTACAACTCACATTCCACCTTGATCGCAAGTCTCCAGAGGACAGACGACCGCTCCAAATGGCCGCCGATTCAGAAACCACCGTCAACTCCCTTCACCCGTCTGTGGTCGACAAGATCGATCCTGACTTCGCCAGGATCTACAACCTCTACCAAGGTAGCCTTGATCAACATTAAGCGCCCGGATATGCGCCAGCTGACCAGTCGCAGCGCCTAAACTACGGGCTGATCAGGTTCCGTACGAGGAGTACAACAAGGACCGAGCAAAGTACACGTTTCCCACGCACGAGGTCCAAGGTCCGTGCCCGGACGTCGATAGTGTCACGGTGCACCAGGTCCCGACCACAGCGCCGGTTGGAGAGATTGCCGTGCAAATCATCAAGCCGACGGGTGATGCAATTGCCAAGGGCGGGCTGAGCAGGAACGGCCGCCTCCCCGCATACCTCGACTTTCACGGCGGTGGGTTCGTGATTGGGAACCTGGCCACCGACGAGGTCTTCTGCAAGACCGTTGCCCAGCAAGTCGGCTGCGTCGTTGTTAATGTCGAGTACCGGACGTCTCCCGAGTACCCCCATCCCACGCCGGTGCAGGACAGCTTTGATGCGCTGAAGTGGGTGGTCACCCACGGCGACACCCTCGGCATTGACACGTCTCGCCTTGCCGTCGGCGGCTACTCGGCGGGAGGATGCATCGCTGCCGCGCTGGCTCTCCTGGTCAGGGACGACCCGGCCCTCCCGCCGTTGAGGCTCCAGCTGCTGGTTGTTCCCGTCTTGGATGCGAGGTTCGTGCCGGAGGAGGGCTCATGCGACCCCAAGACGGCCCCTTACGAGAGCTATGTGACCTTGGAGCACGCTCCGTGTCTGCCGCTTAATCGTCTGCGGTGGTTCTACAACCTGTGGCTAGGGAGGGGCGAACAGAGGGTTGAGAAGGCCAACGACTTCCGGGCATCGCCAATGGTGGCGGGTGACTTCTCTCGCCTGGCCCCTGCCAGCATACATTCTGCCGAAATCGATCCGCTGGTGGACGAGGGCCGCTTATACCACGACAAGCTTGTGGCTGCGGGAACGCCTAGTGATCTGAAGGTTCACAAGGGGGTCGCACATCCGTTTGGTCACTGGGCTGGTGAATTGCCCGCTGCCAGGGAGTTTCGCAATAATGCGTACTCGGCATTACGGGTTTCGTTCACCATCAGTCAATGAAGTGCTGCTTTTTTACATTTTGTTCTTGTAATCATTATTCTTGGATTGGGATGGGGAGGCGGGGAGATGGTGGAGGGACATGGTGATGCAGTGTGATATCCTCACAGCGAATCGGCGATGATTAAAGGAGAGGGACCCAGACTACTACAGAACTGAACTGGTCATCTGCCAGGTGACAGATGGCAGCGTGCAGCGCTTGGCCTTCCTTTGCATTTATAACCCACCCACTCCGTCCTGTTCCTCCACGCCCCATAACGATCAGTACGGCTGGATCTTGGATCGATCTGCAGTATCCAAGAAATGTATAGGGGAGACTCGAATGCAGGAGCAGCGTGGCACAATTAGTCATTGTAGGGGGACCAAAATCATGACCGCATGTGGAACCGTGAAGTGGAGTGCATGCGTGTGTAACACAGATACAGTAAGCCGGCTGCATGCCACCCATACCGGTGTGAGTGCATGTGTATGAGATGTATAAAATACTCAGGCAGAAAAGGAGGCCATGGTGGATCATTCCACTCTTGAGACTCTACCCTCCGGTGAGGGATCTTAGCCAACAAGATGGCAGAGCCAGCACCAGACCTCCAGATCGAGCCTTCACCGGCTACCGTTGATGTCCGCAGTGAGTTTCCTTCAGTCCCCATTATACCCTGCAAGTGAGCCTGGCCATGGGTTCCGTTATGCTCTTCCGCTCCTCATAATTATCCCACAGCCGCTGATGTATGTTTTCGCAGTCATCGATACCACGTCGTGGATATCTGGACTCCCAACAAACATCTTCTTCGAACCTCCCATCAAAGGGTACGATGAACTGTCGATTCCTTCATAACTACAGCTTTCTCATTGAGCACCCCTCTGGCCGCAAATTGCTCTTCGATTTGGGTGCACGAGAGGACTGGGAGAACCTTTCACCGGCCACCTCCGGCTTGATCGCAAAAATCGGCCCAGCCAAGCTTGAGGTGAGGAAAGGCGTCCGGGAGCAGCTAGAAGAACATGGAGTGCACGGCTCGAGTATCGAGGGAATCATCTGGTCTCACTGGCATTTCGACCACACTGGAGACCCGTCAACCTTCGATGCACACACGGCCTTGATTGTCGGTCCTGGTTTTAAAGAGGCATTTGTGCCGGGTTACCCTGCCAATCCGGACTCTGTAATTCTTGAGTCTGATTACGCTGGAAGAGAGCGTAAGTGGCACAGTGGGGAATGTTTCATACATCCAGATCCTCTGAAACGGCGACCCTTCAAAGTCTGACGTCAAAAGTGAAAAATGATAGCTGACACGTTCATAGTCCGGGAGATCGCATTTACTCCAAAGAAGAAGATCGGTCGTTTTGAGGCCTTTGATTACTTTGGCGACGGGTCGTATTATATTCTCAACGCTCCTGGCCATGCAATAGGTCATCTATGTGCCCTGGCCAGAGTCACCAGCAACCCCGACTCCTATATATTCATGGGAGGTGATGCTTCCCACCAAGCAGGCGAATTTCGACCGTCCAAGTACCTGCCACTACCGGCCAAAATTGCACCTCACCCACTGGACTTCCACACAGCCACCCCGTGCCCGGGCGCTCTCTTCGAACACCTTCTCCGGGGCGGTGATAGAACCAGGCAGTTTTTCGACATAGCCAAGGACGGTGTCTCTGTTGATGTCGACGAGGCCCAGAGGACGGTAGGGAAACTTCAGGAAGCTGATGCTCACGATAACATTCTAGTAGTCATAGCTCATGACAAGGGTCTGCTTCCCTATGTCGACTTTTTCCCCAAGTATGCCAATGATTTCACCTCAAAGAATTGGGATGAGAGCGGCCGGTGGGCGTTTTTGAGGGACTACAAGGAGGCACTGGAGTAAGGTCATAGGAGGAGCTGATTCCCTTTGTGTATGGCTATTCTTTCCACTTGTACCTTGTTGCCCGAGCTGCCAGTTGCATTCGCTTCACAAAGGAGGCACCCCTGCTTAAAAGAATGAGTACAAATGATCAATGTCCAATGGTCGGCCTTGTATGAGCACCTAGGTACCTTGTCAATGGTGGTGTCAAGCCCACAGAACCAGGGGCGGGTCACAAAGGATCTACTAAGGATCCGAATATAATAAACGCAGAACGCTTTGTGTTCTCTACATTGTTCTCCCATACAATCAGTTATGTAGGAATGCCTCAATACTGACTGTCACGTCTGACATTTAAGAGTCTGTCTAGTCTGTGCTAAGCAGTATCTCCCTCTGACCACACCTTTACCCTCATCCAATCATCACTCCTTCCGGTCATAGTGCCTCGAGCCGAAGATTCCTATTGTCAGCATACCAACTTCTACATCACTCCTTCTTCTGGAAAAGCGAAGATGTCCTCGGAGACATATACTGTACAGAGGGAGCAGACCACAAAGTCTGCAGTGGGAGTCTCCTCGAAACAGCAGCAGCAGTCGCACTCTCGGCTGACGAGCCAGTCGACTGAGGAGTGGCTGAAGGAGCTTGATGGTCTAGAAGCTCAATCCAAAGGAATCTCAGGCGATGCATCACCGTCAATGGATCCAGCCCAAGTGAACCACAGGCAGCTGTCATCTAGGTTAAAGGAAGGAATGGACCATGAGGATATACTGGACGCATTGGAGCGAGGAGAGTTGTAGGAGACACTGGACTAGCAAGGATTGTCTACAAGGTATAGTATCAATAACATTTGAAATTCGGTTGCATTATAGAGCCCTCTTGTGACATGTTTGGTGCCAAAATTCCCGCCTCGTTCGGATCCCAGTCGGTTTTCATCTAATATAATGTACGTTTGTATGCAACCCCCGCACGGTCAATGTCGGATGATAGAAGTGTTGAGGAAGACTTGGATACTCCAGGAGCTTAAGAGTCTGATATTTTGGGTCTCTCTTCTCGTTCATTTACAGGGACGCTACTGAAAGCGCCAGTTTTATCCACTCTCCCTTCGCCTTGAACAGCTTGACCTTCCTGGAAATCCATACCCTCAATCAGAATCGCAACGCCAGGAAGGATCCAGCCTCCTTCGCTTGTTCTATCCACCGACGCAGAGGCAGCAAGCAATTCGTAGCGCTTGCTCGCTGCCAAGTCTATCTCACTGATGCACCGTCTCGGCATCACTACGTCTCCCACGAGGTTTACGTGCGCCGACCATGGTTGTACAGAGGCTGAGCCGTTCTCGTTCACAGGGCATCAGGACCATGTTTGGGCGCGAGATGGTGCACACGGTGACGAACCAGGAGCAGATGACGCGGTACGCACTGCCGACGCTGTACAGGATGAACCGCGACGAAGTCAAGCGATGGGAGGACGACAAGACCGGCGTCGCCAAGACTCCCATTCCCGGCACTGAGAGCACGCCGACCCGCCAACGGCTCTGGTACACGTATGAGCACATATACACAGAGTATCTGGGCAGGCCGCAGCACACAAAGCCGCTGGTGGACGCCTTCAGCCGGAACCTGGGCCAGGCCCTGGAGCGCTACCTACCCACCTGAGGAGTGGATTACGGTCAGCGTTGGGGAGTTCTGCCGGCGCGAGGTCGCCGAGTCCCCTGTCAAGGCTCTCTTTGGCCCGGACCTGATGGAGCTATCACCAGACTTTACCGACAGATTCTGGGACTTTGACAGCGACGTGTTCAAGCTCGTGCTGGGCCCTTCCCAAATGGATTAACGCAACCCCCCTTCCAGTCCCACGACCGCTACGTCGCCGCAATCAAGAGGTGGCTCGAAGCGGCCGAAGCCGGCTTTGACTGGGAGAGCCCAGAAGCCACGGCAGACTGGGAACCTCGCTTCGGCGCGCGTGCTCCCCGGGAGCTCATCAAGTGGATGAGGGAGACGGGGTGGAGGAGCGAGGTCAATGCTGCGACGGCCGGCGCTGGTGTTTGCGTAAGAACAGCAAATCCCCCATGACATGCTGTCGGCCCGACTAACATGACTAACATGCCGTAGTTTGAACTCGAACAGCATCCCAACCACCACGTGGATGCTGATGGAGATCATCAAGGACCCCTCGCTCCTCCAGGCCGTGCGTGACGAGGTAGCCACGGTCACGGCCACCGACCCGGAGACGGGCAGCCCCAGCATCGACAGCCAGAAGCTGGTTGCGCTGCCGCTGCTGCAGTCCATCTTCACGGAGACGCTGCGGCTGCGCATCAACTTCAACATCAACCCCGACGTCAAGCAGTCCATCAGGCTGGACGGCCACACCATTCCCCGGGGGTCTCTACTACAGGCGCCGATGCAAGTGGTCCCACTACAACGAGGCCGTCTGGGGCGCCACCAACCACCCCGCGTCCGACTTCTGGGCGGAACGGCACGTCAGGACAGGCGACGGGAACAGACGCGTATATTCCATGGCTGGCGGCCCAGCCTCTTTTTTTTCCCTTTGGGGGTAGCGCCAATATCTGTCCAGGCCGCCACCTGGCCAAGTTCGAGATCCTGACGACCATCGCCCTTGTGGTATCCCGGTTTGACATCGAACTGGTGGGCTGGACCAACGCGGACGGGTCGCCATCACACCAGGCGGCCGAGGGTGATATTCGTTTCTGTGGAGCAGGAGCTATGCCCCCCGACCGAGAGATGAAGATCAGATGGCGGCGAAGGTCGTGAACGAGACACATGTTTTACTCGGCAGAGTTTCTTTTTAGATATGGATCTATTTACGGTACACGGAGCGAGTGGAGGGGGCTGACCTCGTTGAATACACACCCGATCAGGGGTGGGGAGCCTCGAGATCAGGGAAATGGATACCGGCCATCTTTTCATTGACCGCGATGTTCTGGTTGAGCGGTGCTGTGGACCTTCAGTTCTCATTGATGTCACAGAGGGCAACTGAGGCCCCCAACGTGTCAGTGTTTTGATCCGGCAGTGTACAGGCGAGAACGACTGAACCAGGTTCTGTACATTATATATATCGATCTATATTATACATTAGTCGCGAATGGTTACCATGGTTTTTTATACATCTATTGCTAGTTCAAAGCCCTTAAGATCTCACCTCCATTCCACTCATTCACACGGAGCTCCAATGCCTCCTAATTGGATTCGATACAACACATGAAAGGATGTCACTGGGTCTGATTTGGAAATTTGTAAGCTAGAGCATAAGCGTACTCAAATGGTCCCCGTTGTTGAACAGGGGGACACAGTTATTCTAGAAGCGGTTATCCAACAGGATATCATCCCACAGCAGGCTACCACAACATTTATTTCATACATAGTAAGTCGCCCCACAGGAGGTTACTACATAGGAGGTTATCCTATTAGTAGGTTGTCATATAAACAGGAGTCTACTTAGCGACACTGTGTAATATCCTGAGATTCTCATGGAAGCAATCTATCCAAAGCGAAGGAGACCAGGTGGCTCTATGGCTTTCCTGTACTCTATACCTTTCATATCCTATACAATTCCTGCACGGTTCGTAGATTCTGAAGTGTTCCCATTCTGAGCTTGTTCCTTCCTCAGAATTGTTACACAGCCGCTCTACTGGATATACTGCGCGTCGTATTCGTATCACGGCTGTATTGATGGCCCAGGTAATTTAAATAAGACATTGCGGCTGGATAATGTAACCCGTGGAAACCAAAATTCCAGCTTTTCTGGTTGCCGCTGCTATTCATCGAGTCTCAACCTGATACGCCCGTTAAATCGCCGATGCTTGTTGGCTGATTTGATCTTGGTGGTATGCTGGCCCTCTGAGTAGTATAGCCATGACAGGAGAATCGCTCCAAGTGACAGGATATACGCATGAGAAAGCAGCTTGATGATTATGTTCACCTACTTGTTGGTAGTATACAACAGAAATCGGACAAATATGTGTCATTTCATGACAACTTCCTAAAAGTCCTTTTCCTGAAAGTTCTTTTATGATGCGCCATGACGGCTCAAAACCCGTCAGAGCTCTCAGAAATTCAAAATAGAATGAAGCCCAAACTTAACCCGGTGGCCCAAATCGTCACCGGAGCCATCGGTAGAAGTGGCGCAATGCATCATGGCATTTTAGAGTTCTCGCTTCGGCACCGACGGGCGTCATCGCCACTCGTCCCAAGTACGGCCCCTTGGCATTTGCTCCGAAATAACGTCGGACTTCGGTACCTCCATTGGTAATGGCGGTCAACTTGTGGCTCAGATCTGAAACATCAGATTGTTGGAATGGCCGGGGCTACCACCACCCACGCAATTTAAGCATATGACATCAGTTACTTAAACTGACTCGGCATCTGCACATGTGCAGGGCGACAGGGCTGCCGCCAAAGGTTCACGCTATCCACGTGCGCCTACGGGCGGTCCGATCCGGTTAAGACTTGCAGGCTGCTCGCATCGCGACTCATGGGTGTCGGACAGATTTTCTTGGCCCTGGAGTCAACGCGGCAACGGCGTCAAAGTGTAACGATAAGCGAATTATGCAAGGGAGCGCTGGGGTTAGACTGGGGCTATTTTTACAAGAATTTGCGAGGGGCCCTGATGGGCATGCCGGTGATCGTAGCCAGCACGAATCGTCCATGTTCTAGGTTCCCCAGTTCGGCCGATAACGTGATGGTGATTATAGATTAAAGGGTGTAATAATGTGTCCTGATGCTACCACTCTCGCGACTATATGGGTTCGAGGTAGCTCAGTTCATATCGCGTTTGCTCTGGCCCAGCCCAGAGAACTCAACCAACAACTCGGAATCCGCGATGGCGAGCTATCAAGTACACTTGAGGCCCATCGTCGACTGGGACGCAAAGCCCTTGCCACCGCTCCCACTCGACCCGGGGCGGTCTCGCGGCTATTACAAACCAGCGCTCAACAATAACCCCGAGAAATCACTTGTGGCAGTCCATAGGAGGGGAAATGTGTTTCCTCCGGAGCTTGACATTAGAAGATTCCACGAGGCCGACTCTCGAGTTGTCGTAGATAAGCCTAGGCGGACACGACCAAACCACCAAGTCTCGCCCTCGACAGCCAGCGCGCCAGACAACTACACGTCGGCGAAGAGAGAAGAGGACACAGCATCTGAAAGACTTCGTCACTCGCGCCAAAAATCGGACCAGCCGACGAGCCGCTCCTCTCGCAGCAAGACATCACCACCGGCTATCACGACGGTGGAGGACCTGAGTCTCCCGCCGAAGGTTAGACAAATCATCGGCGTCGATAGTCCTCGCAAGACAAGGGCAGCCCAGTGGAATCCCATCTCGACACAGGCTGCTCCAAGCCCAACGACGGCGGCCCGCCCGATATCAACAACAAGTGCGTACAGCCAGGCTAGTGGGCCCAGACGGGAAATGGACATGTTATTCCACATGGAAGAAATCGTGGAGGAACGGGAAAAGACCGAGGACGGCGATGAAATCCATCGCCGTTTGGAAAGCTTGATCCAGTCACCCGGCTTCGCAGCCATAGGTTGCTTTCCGGACAGCCCGACACCAGACCCTCGCTTCTCCCTCTCGGCTGCGACTTCACGCGAGGATGAGTCGTGGCAACAAGTACCAACAAATCAGGCCGAGCAGCCATCGCAAGACCAGAGGAGCAGCCGAGAGATGTACCACGACTTGGTGCAGGAGCTGGCCCAGAGCGCACCCGCTGCGCTGCCGCCACCGCCAAAGCCCCCAGTTGAGCTCGACGGACGCCCATCCGAGTCCTCGTCTCTGCATCACCGGCGACACCACTCTTCGCAATCAAGGGAGGCAGGTCAACTGCACCGCGGAAACGCACACGCGTCCTGCCCACAGCTGAGCAGGCCAACGCCAAAGTCACCGCATATCAGCGTCTTCGACCACGAGTCTTCGGACTCGGAATCAGACTCAGACTCGAAGCCTCTCTGGTCGCCCAGGTTCGCATTCTTGGGCCGCCGGCCGGTCTCAAAGCCCAGCAACTCAAAGCCCAGCAAGCGGCGATGATAGCAAGAACGTTTCTCTCCCGGTCCGTAACATCAGCCGGACTGGAATGCCGCATGAATGGAGTCGTTCGCGGTTCCCTCTTGAAGAGGACAGACGGGATTGGAGCCATGAAGTGACAGGGAAGATCACACGAATAGGTTGCAAAAAGCCTTGTCTGAAGAAGGAGGCGAAGTAAGGACGCCATACCGAAGCATCTCTGCGACATGAGGTCATTCATCTACAGAATTTTCCCTCGGTATACCCAGCAGGCATCTCACTTTATGTAAATAGGATATCATGTAAATATCATGTGGAGACAGCAATGCGACCCTGAAATATCACGAGCAATTCAAATAAACGACGCATGAAATAATGACCTGTCTCCTAAGCTCCAAGACTTGCATGCGCATCGGTGTTACCAATACCTATCACGAGGTAGGACAAATTACAGAGTGGAGCAATAGCGCAGTCATGAGCCAGGGAATACAATACTTTCGCTGTAGCAGCTACCGCGATTGAGTGGAAATGCCACAGCCAACTGTTAGTGTGCAGATTTTCTGCCACTGCAATCGTGATTTTAAACGAGACAGTCGTGCGTGTGGGAACGAGGCGATGCAGGTGCATTGATGGATCTCTCATGTACCTTTCCCATGCGATTCGAGATTTCTCTACACTGCATGCTGGGAACGTGATTCGTACGTAGATATCCACGGGTACCTTGCTCATTATGCACAAATCACCCAGGAATGATTCGTTCAATTTTGATCCATTGCCCGTCATCTAGGACACCAAGTCAAATGCCAGCATGGCCCCGGGAGCGGGCTCCTCAGTAGACTATTGCGTCCGAACTTGGGACATGGACTTGTTAATGAAGCCACTGGCGCTGTGCCAATTTGAACATATTGAGATTTATACATATGCAATCTACATCTACAGCCAAGCACACTTATGATTATTCATCCCTTCATGAGTCGTTTACTCCGGGGTCCAAAAACGGTCGTCCAGGTCTCTGCCACAGTCCCTGCTTGACGTAGCGAGGTGACAGTCCTCCAAGCTGCAAGCCACCGCGCCGAAACTTACACTGCGGTGCTCACCTTGTCACTCTGATCAAAACACACTGGGGTATCCAACACACTAAACAAATCCAAGCTCGCAAGTCGTATCATGTCACATGCCAGACATCCAACGCCGTGTAAATCATACTCTCCCCATCCATCCACATCTGAAGCTCCTTCCCGTGGGTATGGCTCTCGGGAGGCATACCGGGAAAGACCAAGGGGCTGTAGAGGCCTTCGATGTCAAATGGCATGGCAAGGTTTGCCTCGAGAACCTCGTCGCTCATGATATGGCCAGCGCCAGCCCCGACAGTCTCACTGCCGCCGAGGCTCATCCCACCAGCGGTCCACTCCATCTCATCCTCGTTCGTGCCGGCTTGCTCCTTGAACCGCAGGGGCCGTATCCGCTCCACGAGCTCTGTAAGATCGTTGAGGACACCGAGGCAGTCTGAGGCATAGCCTGTCGGGCCGGATGCGATCCCCATACCGCCAGTCCTGCCGTTGTTGGACAGACACTCCGTCTGCGCCTCTCTTTCGAAGGTCTTCCTTGCGAAACGCAGCGCATATGCGTCCGATGAATGAAATGATGTGAAGACCATCTGATACAAAAGCATGATCACCGCGGCGTTGAAGATATGATGGAGGTCCATCATGATCGGCTTGCCGGGTGTTGTGCCCCCTCGGTTGCACCGCATCAAGATATGCCGCCCTAGCCGCAGATTACGTCGTGCAGCATTGGCGCACTCCAAGAGGAAGGTGATGTGCTCGTGATCATAGATGTCACGCGGCACCTTGATTAGGTCCCCACCGATGTAGGATTTCACGGCGAGGAAGAAGAGCGGGCGGAGTGTGAGGATCATCAGCTGATATGACATAGTCAGGTCCCGGCACTGTGATTGACGGGCCACAAGACCCTTGGACGGATGGATCAAATGTAGCTCACCTGGTGGCACTTCATGTGTAATGTGCACAATGCTCGATCTGCATACATTGCATTGGCATCGTCGTAGTTGGTATCGAAAGGAGACTCTGCTTGAAGATCCAAGGGCATTTGAAGCGCTGGTGGAAGCCTTTTGCGCCAGTTTTCCAGCATATTCAGGGGCTCCTGGACTTGAGCCCTCAGGTCTTGGTCGGCGTCGACGGTCGGTGCAACGGAATATGTGTTCGAGACGATGTAGCCGGCGATTTTAGACAGCTGTACATGAGCCATCAGGCCCTCTGGAGGAGGCAAGCCCCTGGAAGACAATTTAGTCTATTAGCAGCAACCCCGTGTGGAAGTGTCCCTACTCACTGCACATCCTTGGGAACACGGAGCTGGAAAGCTTCGTCCGGGTACACAGGCGGCCGTCCCATAAGGCAACCTGCGTCTCTCGTCAGGCAGAAGAGAGTCCATACTATACGGATATCTTTTTCGTCCCACGAGAGGCCTTTCAGCCCACCGCACATGCAGCATATGCTCATAGCATGGGACAAGTAATTGTAGGAGTTGTCCCTTCGATTGACTTCCGCCATGTACATGGCCATGAGACCTAGGGCGGGGACGTCTCGAATGCTATAGCGCGAGATGTCCCAAGGGTCCCCAAGGATCTTGCGAGCTGTTGCGAGGAACATTTCCCCCAACTGCCCATCTTGCCTAGAGTTGGCAGTCGTTAGAGAGAAGATTGTTCCCAGAGCGAAGGCAGCATGGTAAACCGCCAGCTCCCGACCCTGTGCACTCTTCCAACCCTGCAACGAGAAGTCACCGAAGTAGTAGATGCCTCCGCACGGCCACTGACCCATGAAATTCTGCATGTATTTGTTTACTTGGGAGAAGAGGTGCTCAGCTTGCTCGTCGCTGATCTGGGCGACTGCGCTGGTGTTGTTGAGTGCGGGCATGTTGAGCAGACGTGAGTCCGATGTCTGATACTGCCCACGAGAGGCCAGGAATGAGGACCCGGGGGCTGTCTCGGTAGGCGTTTCGTTGTAACCAAGGGCAGTTCTCAGTGTGTGCATAAAGTTCTTGAGATGGTCCAGGAACGTGGCGCCTGAGGTTCCACCAAGCCAGCGTTTGGTCCCATCGTGGTCCTGGAGGAAAGACCCTTCGGTGGGTGCCGCATCGGTATCGCCAGTAGTCTTCCTCGGCTGATGGCTTCGGTGCTGCTGGTACGTGCTGCTTTGCGGGGACGAGCCCAAGGTAGAGCTTGACGCGGCGGGCGACATGTTCTGCCTCTCGTCATCGGCCGCGGGTGTCGCGGCGGGCATTGAGTCAACGACCTGTTGTAGCTGTGCCTGGAGCCTCGAGCGCGCATGGAGGTCGGGCACCTCCAGTATGGCTTGCTCGAGCGTCTGCTGTAACATGTCTTTCGCCGCCTGGAGGTTGTCCCACTCCGTGCGCGCGACATGGATTTTTTTACCCGACGGAGGATAGAAACAATCTCGGCCACCGGTCGAGCATTGCTCGCAAGGCTCTCGACCCGAACACTTGATACGTTTTAGATTGCATGGCGTGCACCTAGACGCACCATGTTAGCAAGCCCAGATCGGGTTCGAGTGTGCCTCCGAGAAGACATCTGCGCGAGCACCACAGCCCGGATGCGAATGAAGCGCAGGGAGATCATGATGGCAAGGACAGAGAGACCGAGATTGACACTCACGCCCGGGATACCCGTTTTCTCTGTTCCGGCTGGACGTAAGTTCTGCGGGGATTCACGGGGAGTCGACCGTCCGGTCTGAGCACGTTCGCTTTGCCAGCTACCGAAGGAGCAGGAGTGCGCATGGCGAACAGGGGATGCGGTGGTCTGACCCAGCTCTGTCTCGGTCTAAGGGCTGCGTCTAGAAAGAAGGTCGTCTGGAAGCTTGCCACGGGACAACAGGTTGAATGTTGACAGCCACGAGGATCATCGAGGCGGATGCAGCGCGTCCGCGACGGAGATTCTTATACCAGGAAGATCAGAGAAGCAACCACGGCGCGATGCGTCTCGTCATGAATGCAGGCTGCAACAGTGGTTCGAAGCGGCCCGCTCGAGCCAGTTTGGCTCTTGAAGCGGCTCTTCCACACCTTTCACTCCCCGGTTTTGTGTAAGGAAGGCCCGGCTTTGCAGCTCGCGAAGGGCCTCAAAGCCGGCCAGGCGAGCTCCTGTTTCCCCCCCCACGCCTCCCTGAGGAACACCTGATCCAGCTCTCCTGTTGTGTTGCTTCGTGCCCCGTTGCCGCAACCGCTGCCGCCGCCGCCAGTGCTGGTGTTCGTGACCAGGGACGACGGTTGCTCGAATTGTGGGGCCGCCTAATTTATTGGGCAGCCTATGGTGCGACCAAAAGCATCACAAGTTTGGCAATGCAGTTTGTGGGGATGTCGATGCATTCACGCCGTGTTTGTGCTGTGACAAGGGACACGACGCGATGATGTGCTCCTGAGGAATGAGCTTGCCCGGGGCTGGGGAAAGGCGCTGGCAAGACGCTGGATTGGAAGCAGGAGCGCACTTGGATTGGCGATCCCTTGATCTCCGGCCACTCAGCACCCGCTGGGCCAGCATCTGCAGCGGGGCACAGGGTGCTGCAGCGTTCATGTGCTCTAGGCCTATGGCAGGGGACGATCTCTCGGTGGGTGGGGCCTGGCTTGATCGTGGGCCTCACCCCGCATCTCCCTGCGCCCAAGATTGCAGTTGATGCTGGCCGACTACTGGCAGACGGCTTCAACAAAGCAAGCGGGCGTGTGCGATCTTGCGCCCGCTCCAGTGCTGTGGCCAATGCGAGGCGGTCTCACTGAGGTTACACAGGCTTTCTACACAAGGCATTCTGCTCGCAGAGTGTGGAACCGAGGACGCCAAACAAGCCGGGGGCTGCGCTCCAGCCTGTCCAGCCTTGTCTAGTGCATCAGATCGCAAACTGATAGATCTTTTGCTTTGGTGTCTTCGGGGGTTGACGAGATCATGGCGAGCCCATGGGTCTTGGGGACGAGCTGACTGCCTACTGGCGTACGAATTGCACTGCGTTATGTGTAACAGGTGTAGTGGCAAACGTGCCAACGCTGCAAGACCAGGCATTCGTCGGGTCGGGTCGGTAGACCTATGCACCCCCCTCAATGGGTAACCACCTCCAGGCTCGTCCGATATGCTGCCTGCACATAGCCGAGCCCCGCGAGCCACCTCCCTTCAGATATCCCGGAAGAATCTTTCCTCTTCAGTGCCCAGTGTCTCAGAGTGCTTTGCTATGTCTGCCACTGTCAACTGGCCTCGCTCAGTGATGTAGACATCGACAAGATCTGGGGGTACCCACTCGAAGAACACGTTGCGAACGTGTACTTCGACCACATCGTTGCTACCATTGTAGGAGTCATGATGTGTACCATATGCAGAAGGATGCACGGTATCACCACCAGCGCCAGAGGGTATTGTACCCGCGGCATTTCTGATTCTCTCGCTATTGAAGCCCGCCGTCCAAGCGTGCATCAGCTGAGCGGGGTTATTGTTTTCCACAACATGGGCCGCTGCAGCCCCTGGCGTTGCGACCTTTTCCGTCTCGCTTACGATAACTATCTTTGCTTTTGGCGAGACATGCTTAGCGCTGAGGATCGCAGGCAGTGAGCCTGTCTTGTTGCTGACTGCTCCCGTCTCCGCGATCCTATCCGCACCTATCAGGACAATGTCCACATCATCCGAAGCAAGGGCCGAAGACGCATCCGTAAACAGCGTGCACGCAAGTTTCGGGGCGGTGTCTTTGTGAGGTTGCCCAGCATCGCTCGTGGGCTCCTTTGTCGACGCTTGAGGTGGACGTACTGGTCTTGCCAGACTGCTGGCGAGAGACACGCCCTCAAACAGTGGCCGTGACTCCAGGATGCGCAAATCCAGTGATATTTCAGTATTTGCGATGGCCTCGCGGAGCGCACACGTGATTGTGGAGCTCTCAGAGAGGGTTAGCACTTTGACCGGCCGAGCCCGCCCAGGCTTGGTTATCATTTGCTCTTTCAAGAAGTTGGCGAAGGTAGTGGAAATCGCCCTGGCCGCGTCTTGCCTGGAAACGATCACACGATCTAGCTCTTCGACCGCAGCGTCTTTCCATTGAACCACTGGTTTGTCTTGAAGCTGTCGGATCCTTCTCTCGATGCCACTCAGAGCAGACAGCAAGGCACTCAGCACAGCTGCCCCCATTGATTCACGGCCATTCTTCCAAATATGCCACGAGGCAAATCGAACTCGAGTCCACCACTGCTCAGATGGCTGGTGCGTGTCCATCTTGGCGACAATATCGCGCAAAATCTCGAGGGCATTGCCGGCTAGCTGCCGTGCACCAGAATGGTGGTCATTCTTGAGTCTTTCAAGCCCGCTCGTGAGCACAGCACCGGCTTCGAGACCTAGATCCTTTTCGAACCTAAGTCTGCGGTTAGATATCCATGTTTTCGAGCACATGCCAGCGAGTCTAGGAACTCCCCAGCGATCGTGGAAAGCTCTGATTCTGAAGCTCTGTACGGACTGTAGCTTCTTTCACATGCAGCGAGCTCGTTCAACTGCTGGCAATGCTCCCAAGGCACGCCGTGATATATGTATCAGGGAAAAGGGAGAGAAACACTAACCAGACCCGGCGCAAGCTCTCAGCAAGGCGCGGCACAGCGCCAAATCTTTCTGAATCCTCAACCTCGAAAGGGTCATACCATGCCCAACTGTCATGTTCCCAGTCCAGTTGGATCGCTTTCTCGCCCTTGCCACCCTCGCCCTTCTCCTTCAGCCGGAAGGCGAAGGGGTAGATAGTCCACTCTCTGCCGATAGATTCATCAGGCAGGACATAGCTCTTGCCCTGGCGCATGAGCTCAAGGGAAGACGGTGTCAACGTTGTCTCTTCATGAATCTCTCTCCAGGCTGCCGCTTGAGGCGAAGGATCTTCGGGGTCAATGCTGCCAGATACCACTGCCCAGCGATGCCTAGGCGACCTGTTAGCCATGAGCCAGTCGCGCAGAGCAATCATGCTGTGAAGGCGAGGCGTCCCTCGGAGAAGAGGACCAGGTTCAGGAATGGAGAGCACGTAGCTCATGGGCACCACACCGACAAGCACTTACTGATACGTACGCACTTGACCACTCCGCTTGAACAGAGCGACCTTGGCCTTGCGCTCGCCGTTCTCGTCGACGAACTTGTAAAGAAAGGAGGAGACAACCGACCGCTTCTGCAAAGCCGGCTTGCCGCCTTCACCAGCCGAGGCCATTGTGGAACCGCGGCGAGCAACTACCGAGAAACGAGGTATTCTGTGAAGCGAGGCTTCGATCCGTCGAGGAGGGCCGGTGCAGGAGCGCCTGCAGAGGAACTGCGAGCGCAGGGTGGTGCAGAGGGGCAGGTGCAGCGTCATGGTCTATGTCATGGTCATCGCAGCAACCATGGCTCTTCCGACAGGCCAGTACCAATGGGTCAATGACCGAATGACCGGGCGGCCCGGAGCGAGAAATCAAATCCGAGCTCAGGTCAAGTTGCCGAGATTACGGCTTTTGTTTGGGCGGCTATGCGACCGAGACGCGGGAGGACGATGTTTGAGACGGGCGGGTAGAGAGATCCAGACGGGAGGGGACGGGAACCGCCCTTGTTGAGGGACGCCACAGCAGTTGCCCGGCTGGTGGCTCCAGCTGCGCACAGCTGGTGCTGACTTCCTACCTAGGTATCCCCGTCCCGCCCCCAACATGCAGCTAGGTGCTTTCCCCCTTTCCCCCCCTTCATCAACATGCAACCTGGGTCAGCGACATTGTCAAACATTTGGCGATTGCGAGATACGAGAGAATTGCAAGCAAAGGTTGCCTTTGTTGCGTATGGGGAAGCCTGATCTCAATGGTGTGGCTCCCCACTCGTGAGCCTGGGAGGCAGTCAGTCAGTCAGTCGGTAGTCCCATGGCAGTTTATCCCACAGTAGATTATCCCATGGCAGGTTATTCCATGCTAGATTATCCCAGGGTAGACTATCCCGGGGTAGACTATCCCATGGTAAGTTATCCCATGGTGGGTTATCCCATGGTGGGTTATAGCAGGTTCCAAGTATCCCACTGAAGATTATATCGTGCCTGGGATCCCCACGAGCTGTACCACCGTAATCTTCTACCTGGCCCAACCCCGCGCAGGACCTGAGGCACTGCCTGACAGGATTTAGGCAACCGTATAAGCAGGTGCCTTATAAACCAGGGCTTCCGTCTCCAGGGGCTGGATGCTTGACCATGAATGTTCAGACCCTGATCGATATTGTTGTTTTACACGGTGGACAGATGCCTCCCCGATCTAAAGCCGTGCCAATCACCAGAGAAGTCCTCTCGCTTCAATACTCCGCCCTTGAGTACCAGGCGATGATGCAAGATGGCCGCCTCTTCAGTGAAGACCTTGTCAAATGTTTTCTAGACCAGATTGAGCGGCAGAATAACCTTGGGCTGAAGTTCAGCGCAACTCTGTCTGTATGCCCCCGCGACGTTGCCATCTCTCAGGCGAAGGCGCTCGACAAGGGGCGCAGGCAGGGGAGGTCCAGGGGAGAGTCAGGAGCTACACGGTATTCCGATCATTGTCAAGATAGGAGCAAGACTGGCACAATAAGTAATCTGGACGGGCTCACTGAGATGTCCAGGACTGCATCGTTCCAGAACCTTCCTTGGGGATGGTATCCTCAGTAGGCTCAAGTGCAACAGCATCTCTTCAACCCACGCGCAACGCAAGACTGGTAGACAGGCTTCTCGAAGCAGTAATCATAATCTTGGGAGAAGGCAATCTTACCGAACTCTGTGGTCTCAAATCAGCTCAGTCCCCCCCAACCTGCCCATTGGTACAAACTCTGACTGCTTCACGCCTCGGGTTTGACAATACCCCGTTGGGATGGAGCGCGTACGGAGGACAGACACTGTCTACCTACAGACGGGAAGGCCTCCCTGAGGATTACTAACCATGGTGCGGAGGCTCCTCGTCTTGGCCTACGGTTTCCATCACAGCATGCTTTGCACCCCTTGGCATCGACACCGAGACAGGAGGCTCGAATGTGTTCCCTGCCAGTCTTGGTGGGCTACGCGGCTTGACTTTGCCACACGGCTCCGTGCCGATGACGGCGTGTACATGATCAGCAAGACGTTTGACCGCATCGGACAAATGGCCCGGGACCCGCGGGATCTTGCCTCGCTGGCCAAGGCGTTTGGTTAGGTCGGATGAGCACCGTAAAGAGCCTCTTGAAGATGATTCTGCCCCATTGGAAAGCCCCTGGGGCTCACTGTCTATTGGCGTTCTTGAAAGTGAGTGGGGGAACGACCCGGCCTCTAAGTGGAAATCGGGCTCGACGCAGGTGGCAAGTCTGAGCCGCTGGAGGTGGTTTTGCCTGGAACATGAGCTCATTTACCGGCCACTCCCTAGAGAGACAAGTACGCTTTGGTTGTGCGTGGCTTGGGGGCTCAGGGTGCTCGAATGATCTTCCCTATGGAAAACGTACCTGACCCAGAAGACTTGAAGTATGAGGGCGAGACTCTCCACACTATTACCTGTCTGTGAAATGCTACCCGAGGCTTTTGTTCGGCTTGAGCTCGAGACTAACCGGCCATCAGACTATGAATTCCCTCGAGTCCTTGAAGACTTCATCGTAAACAATTCTGAACCTGTTGCCAAATCTAACAACCTAGCTGACCGTAAGTAAAGAAGAGCTATACTAACCGTTCGCGTTGGACCGGAACAGCACCTGATGACTTCACAAGAAGAGTCTCAGCCTGGTGGCCTTGAACTTCCGTTCACCTGTGGTACTTCAGCGGGGTATGTCCTCTTCCCTTTGCTCTTTTAAGTTGAATCTAAATTAGCACTAGACGTTCTGACAACATTTGTTGAAGTGATCGCCTGGAATGAAGAGAACGCTGTCCAAGCCCTCCCTACGCTTGAGTTTTGATTACTGGCAGCTCTTGCTTCCCGCGGTGACATTTCTGATCCACAGCGTTCGATACTCTAACAAAGCTCATCAAATGCCGCGATGGTATCATGACGGCAGACAAGCACGACATGGCTGTGTCAGCCCTATACAAGATCGCCCGTGGGGGGAGCATGTCAAAGTACATGCACAGACACGACCTTGACATCGTCCTTTCCTCATCAGACGCATCACTCATGCACTTTTCAGCTTGCGCAGGGTGGCCCGTGGCAACTGTCCCGGTGGGGAACTTGTCCAAAAACAGCCAGCCCTGGGGCGCGATGGGAGTGTCGGCACGTTGTTGAGGTTCATGAAGGCATGTCAAGGGTCTTTTGCGCGCGTGAGGGGGCCAACGGCACCTTTTCAATGATTTCGGGATCAAAATGGCAGACTCGAAAAATCATTGGAAGAGGAGGGGTGCAGACAGGACAGTTTACCTTGATTGTTCATGGCCTATCAAAGCGACTGAGCTTTTCCACAACAGTGGCTGTTCTTGGAGATACTGTGTATCAGGACTACATTCAAGCTTCTATTCTCTCTGTGTCGTACGTAAGGACCAACTGTCGAATAATGGAAAGGGATATGAAGTAGGTTCAAACACGCGTGCGAATCTCCGCGGAAAACCGCTGTCTCCTCGTTCGTGCTGCAGTAAGGTGGCTCCATCGGGGTTGAATGACAAATTCCGATCAGATCCACCACTGCCGCCGGACAATATGGTACACGGTTTACTATTTTCGCGTCAGAATGACTACAACAGGCTTTCCCGCTGCGTAGGATACGGGTGCGGTGAGCATGTGTGGTGTACAGGCATGCCGTCGGTGGACCACATTGCAGTTGTCTACAGGTGCGGTTGATGTGCCATATCGGATTCGGCACCTTAAAGAGGCATGATTCAGTGATGATTATCTTTTCAAGCAGGTTGACGGCTTCCTGATTGAGCAGAAGCCGATGCGCCCAAATATCATGTTACTCGCCGTCCGATGAGTGTTCATACTGGATTTGTAGTAGTATTGCGATGAAACACCTCGCCTTTTTTCGTTTTCTTCTTTTTAAACCCAAGGTGCCGTTCCTTTCCATATGTACAGATCAGGTTGACATCAGCCATTCAGTATGCATAATGGGTTGGAATCCGGATTGGCCGCAGTTTATTTGACTATCGACAGCGGATGAGTGAGAAGACTTGACGTGATGGGCAGCACATCAACTTCAGTTGTCAGAGCGATGTTGCGAAGTGCCCAGTTACTCTTCTGTCACACCGCTGGTGCAAAATTCGACATAACGATCGCCTAAAAAGCCAAGTCTAAATGGGACTTGCCAAGAGAATCGAACGACGCAGCTCATGGACAGCTGTGGAGATGGAAACCTGCACCATGTTTACCAGGTAGCTCGCGGCCGACTCGCGGTTGCGCGCTTGTTTCTTTCTGGATGGAAGATTACAGGTACGATCGTGCTGAGCGACCTTGATTGAAGCCTTGGCATGTGATCCATCAGGCGATGGGTCGCCCGGGCAGCTCGCATATGGGAGCTACCGGGGGCGGAAATCGCGGCGCGATACTCTTGCCCCAGGACATATGTAGAATACATGTAACGAAGGTGGATTTTCGGCTGGCACGGTCTGAGGGCTTGGATCTGCGGGTCAGCCGCCAAGTCCTTGCCAGACAGCTTCATTCGTCCTTGGAATGCTCTGGCCATGCTTCGTACGCTGTTGTGCATTGATTTGTCATGATCATGTTGCGACTCGGAATGGGAGACGCCTTCGGTGCTTGCGGTGGCAATCATGGAGCGCAAACGCAAACGCATGCTTACAGGCACACATTTCTTCTTAAGATACTCCAAGGCCAAGAAAACAAGAACAACATGTCCGGCACCACATTCAATGACATGACATGAATTGATTTGATTTTAAGAGTCTCCCTTTCGATCAGGTGGCAACATGAGGCCGCAAAAAAAAGCTCCGTGAGAAGCGATACGGAGTGTGGCCCACCTGCCAAAATGGAGGTCTTCCGGGATTGGCCGACAACGGACTTAGTGTCAGTAAGAATCAAAGTAACAGGTCTGCTCGGACAGGGCTGTCGGAGATCGAGACTCGGTCGGGCAAGGGGGAAAGAAAATCAGTGTTGCATGATCCGGCACTCGTCGAACCGATCTATGTAAATTCAGCCCAGTGAATCTGGTTCGCCCAGGGACCAGGGCTATATGGCTTTTAGCAACAACAACTGGACATTTGTTGTTCGTCTTAGGTAACAGAGCCCCCACCACATTGATCCACCATCACGCTTGCATCGACCGATGGCGAGCGTGCTTGGCGTGGTGGTTCCCCCAGGAAAAGTCATTTGCAGGGAGCTCAGTCAGCAGAGGGGAGAGGTCAGCTCCGTCGTCGGCAGGGAGTTCAGGTCATTTGAGGGTGCCTGTGAATCCACCGACTCCCATCTGTGACCAGTGACGTGAGCTGTCCGTTTGTAGCCTCGGACATTATACATGGTGCCCGACGATGGCACTCTGCACGGAATTCTAGATTAGGCAGCTCGTGTGCTTGTGGAAATGACGCAAACAGGCCACTACCCCACGAGAAGGAATGAATCGGCTCATCGACTTGGCCTATAGCATAAGAAAGGTAAGGAACAAGCAAGGGAATTAGTGACTTGGTGACTTGACAAGGTGCACAATGGGGTAAGTGGCTGACGCCCTTGCTTGTGGTTGATGCAGGTCAATTGTCTGGCCCATAGCAGAGCCACGTCGGCCCCTGCCCCGGGGTAGGATGCAGAGTTTATTTTAGCCGCAAAGATTTGCAGGAGACGTTTTCACCGTATCCAGAGCCTCGGAAAGCAGCAGTCGGCGTTCAAGTCTGGTCTGTGAACACTCTAGAACCTCGAAAGGTACCCCAGGTTGTGATTGTACCCAGCGATCCGGAAGAGCTGACAGACACCTACGGTACTGATCGGTCTGATCTACATCAAGCGGGAACGAAAGGATCAGCGCTGGAGAGTGTTCTGTCCCAGGGTGGTGGTGTTGAAGATCATGGAACAATGTGACCGTCCTGCATCGGCCGACCAAGGAATGACACTAGAATGAGTCTGAATGCGACCCTGATGAGTCGAGCCCTTTGCTGCGAACAGATGTTGTAGATCTCCGCAGGGGTTGAGCAAATGACTTGTACTGTCTCGATGTCATCCGCGGACAGCAATGGCAGACGGCTGCGAGACGCCATGAACACGAGGAGATCACCCTAAGGCGGAGACCGCATTCCTGACTTGTCTGATGCATTGTGCGATGGCATCAATGGACGGAAGCCGTCGGCTTGTGGTATGTGTACCCGAGTCTAGCACGAAAAATTGATCACAGCCGCGCTCCTGGCAGTCAGGGGGTAGAAAAAATTTGCTGGCGCGGTGGTTACCGACTTCGCAGTCTTGTTTCAGTCCAAGCGGAGGAGGAGGTAAAAATACAGGCGGAGCAGCCAAACAAAGAAGGTAGACAGAGTGAGGAATGGGGGGGCAAGAGGGGCAGGATGTGTGGGACTGGCCACTGATGAAGGACATGGACTCAAGCTTGGTGATCCTGGCCCTGTCCGTGATCCCACGCCTGCCAAGATCTATCCTGGGGCGATGTGATCTTATCAGATCATCTCAGGCCAATGAGCGGCGGCTGGCGTCCGTCCGTGGCCGAGGTACGAAGGGTCCGCTCCCGCGTCCTTGTGGGCTGTGGGCCCTCGTGGTGAAAGATCTGACAAGCTCTCAGTCATAGCTTCGGCGCTGACCAATGGCGTGGGGCTGAGCAGGATCCAAGGGGCCCGCATTGCATGCTGCCGACGACGCCTGGGTGCGTCATTGTTGGCAGCACCGAGTAGATCCTGGCACCCGGCTGGGAGCGAACCTTGACCTGACTGCTGCACTACGACGGTGCCGACCTGAGACGGCCGTCTGTGGGCATCGTCAGCGACGGCGGAGGCAGTAGTTTTGGAGGATCGTGAGGCACGTGTGGTGCACAGTCCGGTAAGGATCTACACCCCATCGAGTTTGCTGTGGTGGGCGGGGACCGTGCTGTTCCGCTGCAGCGAGTGGAAATTTGGCCGACGGATGGGGTGATGGAGGTGTCGTCGGGCGCGGGGCCCACAATTCGCGAGCTGATTGATCTTATCAGATCCAGAGATAATCACCGATGTCGCCCGAAACGGAGACGTTACTGTGGTGCGGCCCCACAACTGGAGCAGCGCCGTCTCTTGTCGCCACCAAAGCTGGCAAGACGTGCCGAATCTGCCCCAACCTCCCAAGCCCGTTGCAGGCACTCGATGGGCGGTAAACTTTCGCTAGCGGCCTCCTCCCGGGTCTGCCAGTGGATGACGGTGCGCACTCTTGATTTTTTGCTCCGCAGATCCTACCTCAAGGGTGATGGGGACCCTAGCTGGATGAACTGGTTACTCAAGGCGTGAGCCTTGTTGCTTGCACCATGCCAGGGGCTCAGCACCTGAGGGCGGGCTCGATGGCAGCACACCTACTACGGTAACTCCCAAGCCGCACCGCAGCCGAGTGGTGCCATCATAGGTGATGTTGATGGTACGACAGCCGTCCCCTGTTTGCTCGCAGCACGGGTTGCCAGGTGCTGTATTGGTACTTAACCGTCCTCCTTCCTCCCCTACGTCTTAGCACGAGGTTTTTGATAGCTTGCAACGTTTCCCCCTTCTCCTCTTGATACCCCATCTTGCGACACCTATTGCATCCTCGCAGACAGATACTGTTCTTCTGTGGCACTGTGGCATTCTCCAGCTACGCCCAAAGGCCCGGACACACCCACCATCCCCTGCTGAGCCAAGCCCAGTCGTGCTACTCGGCATCCTTGACATCGACAACCAGAGAAATGGCACCGCACAGTGAATTCGACGGCCATGAGCCCAACGGCAACGGCCTTTCTAACGGCGCCAACGGCCATGCGCAGGTTGCACCTCAGGCGCCAGCGCCAGCGGCGCACAACACATACCGGAACAGGTCTGCCCATCTCCAGGCGCCTGACCCAGAGTCTGTTCACGATCTCCTCTGCGTTGGCTTCGGCCCGGCAAGTCTGGCTATCGCTGTTGCACTCCACGACTCCCTCGAGGCCGGGACCCTGAAGCAGGCCCCCAACGTTCTCTTCCTCGAGAAGCAGCCCAGGTTTGCCTGGCACGCCGGCATGCTTCTCCCCGGAGCCAAGATGCAGATCTCGTTCCTCAAGGATATGGCCTCCTTGCGCGACCCGAGGTCTCAGTTCACCTTCCTCAACTATGTCCACAGCCAGGACCGGCTCCTCGACTTCATTAACTTGGACACTTTCCTGCCCGCCAGGACAGAGTACGAGGACTACCTGCGGTGGTGTGCGAGCCACTTTGACGATGTTGTCAGATACAACAGCGAGGTTGTATCTGTGTCACCTGACGAGAACTCGAACGGCATCAAGACGTTCACAGTGGTCGAGCGCAACGCGAAGACCGGCGCCCTCAGCTCGCACCGCGCCCGCAACGTCATTCTTGCCGTTGGTGGGCAGGCTTCGATACCCAAGCCTCTGCCGGCCAAGAGCCCACGAGTGATCCACTCGTCCCAGTACGCGTACACGGTGCCCAAGATCCTGACCGACCGCAACGCACCAGTCAAGGTCGCCGTTATTGGCGGTGGGCAGAGTGCGGCAGAGATTTTCAACAACGTGTCGAACATGTACCCCAACTCCAAGACCTACATGATCATGAAGTCCGAGTTCATCAAGCCGAGCGATGACTCTCCATTGTGAGTGCCTGCACGAGCCAGGCGAGACACAGCATGAGAACGCAAGATCATGGCTAACTTTGATACACAGTGTGAACTGCATCTTCAACCCTGATTGGGTCGACAGGCTGTACCCCAAGCCCTCTGAGTACAGGTCAAGTCTGATCAAGGAGGCCAAGGCCACCAACTACGGTGTCGTCCGACTCAACCTGATTGAGACGCTGTTTGAGATGATGTACGACCAGAAGCGACAACTTGGCCACGACGAGACGAAGTGGCCCCACCGCATCATGGGCGGCAGACAGATCGTGGCAGCAGACGACCAGGGCGACAAGCTCCGCCTCAGCGTGCGCCACGCATCAACGTCTGGAGACGTCGCACTGGAGGCGGACGGCCTTGTCGAGGTCCCGGGAAGCCCGCTGAACTCTGGCGAGGAGATCTTGGACGTCGACCTCGTCATCGCCGCGACGGGCTACCAGCGCAAGGCGCACGTCGAGATGCTCAAGGACGCCTGGACGCTGCTGCCGTCGCTCCAGGACGGTGTGGCCAGCGCCAAGCCTCGATCTGACCAGTGGTCGGTCCAGACCGACGATGGTGAGAGACGGGTCATGGAAGTCTCCCGCGACTACAAGGTCAAGTTTGCAGATGGCATAGTTGCTCCAGGTTCCGGAGTGTGGCTGCAAGGTTGCTGTGAAGGTACCCACGGTGTAAGTTCTCCTGACCCCTGGCGCCTACTTGGCCAACCAACCGCCGGGTATACAGCAGAGGCTAACTGATGACTTGCAGCTGAGTGATACACTTTTGTCCATTCTTTCGGTGAGGTCTGGTGAGATCGTGGATGCGATCTTTGGGAAATCTGCATAAAAAAAAAAAAGTCACAAAGATGGCACCGGGGAAAAAGCCCTTGGTTGATCTGGACCTTGTGAGCGAGGGGCTGGCTGCCGGCCACACTTTTGTTGATAATTTGAGCAGCGTAGACGGGAGAACAGGCGAAAAACAAAACATGGCTGTATATATCGAAGTCTAGGAGTTCAGAGAAGGTTCACATTTCAGATTTCATTTCTAGAAAGCATGGCACGAGGGAAAAGGTAGACGAGCATTCGAGAGGAGGACGGGGCCTTGCATTTCAGACAGTTATGAGGTCAAAATCTACCTGGTAGTTTTGCTCTTTATCTAGTCACAGTAAGAAGCTACCTCGACATGCGTTCATTCTGCTGTTAGCTACCTCACTCGCACTTACACCAAGGACACATGGAATCTGCCAACAATTCACCTACAGAAGTAGGCAGATGGAGAAGAAGTCAGGGTACCTGTCTGTGATGAAACTGTTGTAATTAATTATATGGAGAAGGGACAGGAGACAACGTCTCGCCCCAGAGGATCACGACAGCCTCGGATGCTGCATAGTGATTATGATCTGTGAATTCGGTGCTGTGGTTGGAGCAAGCATTGGATCTGGGTCAGGATCGTACCAGGCCCAGGGCCAGGACCAGGGTAGGGCTAGGAGCAGGCAGGCAGGCAGGCAGGCAGGCAGGCAGGCAGGCAGCAGGAAGCTGGCACGGCACCCATGCGCATCGTGAGATGTTCTGCAGCAGTTTCCAATGCAACAGGGCAAGTGATGCAGGCATACGTGCAGCCGATGACGGCCGCTAAGAACGGTGCTCCACACGCTGAAAAGAAGGCAGCTTCCCGCCGCCTGCCCGTGGCCGTTCCTTCCCAGGGTACAGTCTCATCTCACCTGGACAGGTGCAAGTGGGCATTCCCTCACTGCTCTGGGCCGGTCAGCGAATGATGACGCAATCGAACCGGGACCTCACTCTGTATCTTGACCTCAACATCGCGAATTGCAATCTATTATTTCGGTACCTACTTACCTGGGCATAGTACCTTGGAGCCCAGACTTGGGACTTCTCGCTTGAACGTTCACCCAGGCCACACAGCCCACCGTGATGACCATTGTCTTGATCCTCATAGGCCCCCCACTCCCCTCCGGCCACCCTTGACAACCTCGCCAAAAGTTGGAACCGTCTGCCTCGCGACACTAGGCTGTCTATGCTTTTTTTGTTCCCAACAAGCGAGACCACCGTACAAGTCACACGAAACAGCACAGGAGAATCGAGAAACGGACCCCGACAAGCGAATCACACGCCGAGGATTTCAAATCACACGCGTTCCCTCTCGACACCCTCATCCGGGGCACGCATGGGCACGCATGCGCCAGATCCCGCACTAGACGTCGGACAAGCATCAGACGGACAGACGTCTCGGAGACCCTGCAGCGTCACCACTCCTGCGCGAAACCTCCACGCTCCAGCCTCCCACGCCAGCCGAACCGGTGCTACCTGCTGTACCCACACCTCCCTCGGTCATACGAGCCCAATCAGCCCCGTAGGACTCCAGAGCCCACCGAGTTGGTGGTGTCGACGTGACCCTGACTACTGCAAGTGCCTCCCAGTCCAACAGCTCGATACCACAGTACATCCAGCACCCACTTCCATACCTGGTCCGCCGTGTTGACTACCAAGGTATCCCGTGATACCTGATACCTGGGCATCACCAGAAACAGTGGGACTCGCAAACCCCTTCAGTTTCGTCTCCGTTTGTCCCAGCCAGCCCGTCCTCCCCCCAGCCTTGCAGGTCGACGCTCCGTTTCTCTCAGCCACCTCGCCTGCCTCGTCGTGATGTCGATGACGCTCTCAGAACACGCGATCTTGTCCAGCGCCCAGGCACTTGCCCGGACATCAGCCGTGCCTCGCCTGCTTAATATCCTGCCCTCTCACCGACCATGGATGGACAAGATCTTCCTGACACCACAAAGATGATGGCCTCCCACGCCCCATCACTGTCCATCCTCAACCCAAATCCCAAGAGACTCCTTGGCCCTTCACTCCTCCATGAACTTGTCCGTGACAGCTCGACCCCTGGGCTCGCCCTCGACTACCGGGCACCTGACGGCGCCCGCACGAGACTCTCATATCCGGAGCTTCACAGCCAAGCTGAGGTGCTGGCGAGGAGGATAGCGGATGCCCTTGCGAGCCGCCAGGGCCCTGGCCAAATTGTCGTCCCGCTGCTCCTACCACAGAGTCCTGTGTTGTATATATCGCAGCTCGCTACTTTGAGAGCTGGGGCGGCTTTCTGCCCTCTGAACCTCGATGCGCCTGCTGAACGGGTCAGATTCATCGTGGGGGATGTCGACGCTAGGGTCATCGTTACTTCTACGGCTTTACGTCCCAAGGTCGATTTCCTCGGGCCTGATGTGATGGTGTTGGTGGTCGACGGCGACGAAGCTCAGGATGAGCCAAGGCGTTACAGTAGCGTGTTGCGAGAAGCTTTACCGGATAGCCTCGCCTATGTCATGTACACCTCTGGTTCCACAGGGACACCTAAAGGAGTCGGCATCTCGCACTCCGCCGCGACACAAGCCCTTCTGGCTCATGACCGCCATATTCCAACATTCTCCAGATTTCTGCAGTTCGCCGCCCCGACATTTGATGTCTCGGTCTTCGAAATCTTCTTCCCCTTCTTCCGAGGCGCCACCCTCGTATGCTGCAGCAGGGCAGACATGCTGAACGACCTGCCCGCCGTTTTGAGGGATATGCAGGTAGACGCATGTGAACTCACACCGACGGTGGCCGGTAGCCTTCTGAGGAGCCGGGACAACGCCCCTGGGCTTCGCCTGCTCTTGACGATAGGAGAGATGTTGACAGTTCCTGTCATCAAGGAATTTGGAGGAGATGAGAAGAAGCCTAGCATTCTCTGGGCCATGTACGGCCCAACTGAAGCCACCATCCACTGCACCCTCCAGCCGTCTTGCGACGCGTCCTCGTCTCCCCACAACGTCGGCTTTCCCCTCGACACCGCATCTACATTCGTTCTCGAGCCTCTTCCCGATGATAGCTCCGGAGATTTCAAGGTGGTGCCGATCGGCGAGATGGGTGAGCTAGCTGTTGGCGGCAATCAGACCGCAGTAGGCTATATCAATAGGGCAGAGCAAACTTCACGAGTATTTATTGAGACCCCTCATGGCCGCCTTTACCGTACAGGCGACAAGGCCCGCATGCTCCAGAACGGCACCATCGAGTGTTTTGGTCGCATCTCGGATGGCCAAGTCAAACTCCGTGGTCAGAGGATCGAGCTTGGCGAGATTGAACAAGCTGTTCTCAAAACATCAGAATGCCGTGGCGCGGTAGCATCGGTCATACGAGGCATCATCGTGGTGTTCTGTGAGCAAGATGGCTCAGAAGAATCTTTCACAGAGGATCTGTTGCGAACATGCCGGAAGTGGCTACCCGCATTCATTGGTACCAGGAGATTTTGTCCTCCAAAAGGCTTTCCCGCGTTTGCCTTCGGGAAAGGTTGATCGGAAGCAACTCAAGATGGATTATGAGACGAGAAATAGCGCCACTACTGCATCAATGAGTGGGTACAGCGATGATGTGGAACGCGAGATGGCTCAAATCGCCCATAGCGCCATGGGCATTAAGTTGCAGTCATCTTCCATCCTTTCTGCCGCAGGTGTAGACTCCCTCGCAGCCATCAAGCTGGCGTCTTGTCTTCGTCGGGCCGGCTTTGCTGTTACTGCTATTGATGTACTGAAATCCAACACTCTTTCAGACCTGCGGTCACGCACGCTGCGGGAGAGGAGTCGAGCTGATAGTGCTGTTGAATTTTACGACCAGTCCCCGGGCTTGAAAACTCCTGCGAGCCTGAGGGAGTTTTTGAACGGAACTCCGGAGCTAGCAGGAAGTCTTGGCGCCGTCGATGCTGTTTTGCCCTGTACACCAACGCAAGTGTCGATGTTGGCAGAAACTTTGAGTGACAGTGAGGCCTACTGTAACTGGATTGAGCTTCAAATCCTCGGCGATCATGCTGTTGAGACGATCGCGTCATGGTTCCGACAGCTTGCTGAGCACAACGAGATCCTGCGTACAGGGTTTGTTTCAACAAGTGGCACGTACAAGCAAGTCATATGGAAAGAGCTTCATGCCAGCCAGGTCTGCGCTGTCGAGAATCTGGGCAGGAGTTTTCGACTTGACGAGGCTGGTCTGGCCAGGCCTTTTTTCGTACAAATTCAGAGCGACCAGCCGCGCAAGACCAGCGTTCTGCTCCAGATCCATCATGCTCTTTACGACGGCTGGTCATTCGACATACTCTTGGCCGACCTCAACGTCCTCGAAAAGGGTGGCCATATCAATGGACGACCTTCATTTCGCCTTGTTTCGGATCATTATCAGTCTACTGATTTTCTCCATGACGCCGATGCCGCACGTGCCTACTGGGCGGGACACTTGTTGGGTTATCAACCGAGCCCAATGCCACAGTTGCTGGCGAAGAAAGAGATGAAAGGCCAGATACTCTCCGCTGAGCACATCTTGGGAACAAAGGGCCCCGCCATCGAGACTGCTTCGGCACAGCTTGATGTCAGCGCACAAGTCCTTTTCCAGGCATGCGTGCTCTGGCTCTGGGGACACATCCTAGGAAGCGAAGACGTCGTGATCGGCAACGTCACCTCGGGTCGAACCATTCCCATCCAGGATGTTGAGAACGTGATGGGCCCATGTCTCACGACCATCCCTCATAGATCCAGGATCAAACAAATGCGGACCATCAGAGAGCTTGTCGAGAGCATTCACATGTCAAATCGGGAAAGCCTTGCCCATTGCACGTTGCCACTTGCCGAGATCAAGAAGGCTGCTGGCTTAATGCCAGGAGAGCCTCTCTATGATGTGTTATATGTCTACCAGGAATCTCTTCACAGTCGGTCGGCTGGCCAGGAGCATGGGAATGTCAAAGAAGTCGCCCATCAAGATCATCTTGAGACGAATTTACTGGTCGAGATTGAACCCGTCGACGAGGATTTCCGACTTCGTGTTACGCATCATAGCAATGCCTTCAACCATGACTACGTGAAGTTGCTCCTGCGCCAGTTCGATTGCGTCCTTGGCCATATCATTTGCAATATTGGCTCCGAAACTACGTCAATTTTCAAATGCTTCACAGACAAGCTGCTGTCGCAGCATAACCGAGCATTCACATCTTTCAAGGGCTGTGCCGACCTGGCGGCATCGTTTGAGAGCATGGCGGCCAGAGTACATGGGGAGCCAGCGCTCTGTTTTGCCGACTCTTTCGAGAATGGCAGCGCTGACCTGAAATATGTCTCATATTCGGAGTTAAACATTCTGGCAAATAAGATCGCACGACATATCCAATTCTCGGGAGCAACAGAAGGAGCTGCTGTGGCCATCATAATGGAGAAGTCGACCATGTTGTATGCTAGTATCCTGGGGATTCTGAAAGCAGGCTGTGCGTATCTGCCTCTTCTTCCAAGCACACCGTGGTCGAGGATTCTGGGGATTCTGGAGCAGGCAAATGTACGACTTTGCTTGTCCGACAGAATCGTTCAACGCGAAATTTCCACCCGCCACGAATGCGTTTTTGTCAATATTGTCGAGGCAGAGATTGACGGTTATGACGGGAACAATCTCAACACCCCTGAGTGCCCGTCGAGAATAGCCAACATCATTTACACATCAGGAAGCACGGGTGTGCCCAAGGGAGTTTCCGTGACGCAGCTCAATATCACGAGCAACCTGGACGTCCTGTCCAAGATATACCCTGTCAAAGACAACTCGCGCATGCTCCAGGCCTGCTCCCAAGCGTTTGATGTTTCGGTCTTTGAGATATTCTTCGCCCTGACCCGTGGAATGTGCCTCTGTGCTGCGACTAATGACGTCCTCTTTGCCGACATCGAGCAGTCAATCCGAGCCATGGATGTGACACATCTCAGCATGACACCAACTGTGGCGTCTCTGGTCAACCCCAACAATGTGCCCAAGGCCGAGCTCCTCGTCACTTCGGGAGAGCCTATGACCGGCGAGGTCGCAAGAAACTGGATGGGTAAGCTCTATCAAGGTTATGGCCCATCAGAGACAACCAATATCTGCTCCGTGAAGAAGATGTCCCCAGAAGATCAAATACGACATCTCGGTCACACTCTTGAAAACACATCCGCTTTTGTTGTTGCTCATGACGGCCTGGACCTTCTTCCAATAGGCTGTGTGGGCGAATTCTGCTTCGGCGGCGACCAGGTCGTCGCCGGGTACCTGAATATGCCCGGGGTCACAAAAGATAAATTCATTGACCACCCAAGGTGTGGCCGTATCTATCGATCTGGCGATATCGGTCGCATGCTCGCTGATGGGTCGCTGCTGATCGTTGGACGGATCGATGACCAAGTCAAGCTCCGTGGCCAGCGGGTAGAGCTTGGGGAAGTCAGTGCGACAGTCGCTCTGTCGAACGAAGTCTCCAATTGCACAGCAATACTGGTCAATAGTGGACAGCAATTGGCTTGCTTCTATGTTCCGCGCTCAGCACAAGGAGACAAATTCAGAATCCTCACCGCTGGGAAAGGCACAGTGAAGATGAATGAGTCGATCTACAGTACCCTGCAATCCCGACTCCCAAGCTACATGACTCCATCCTACCTCATTCCCATCTCGACAATCCCGATGACCTCCTCTGGCAAGATTGACAAAAGCAGATTGAGCAGCCTTTTCAGCAAATTGGACACCAATAATTTGGAATATTTCAGTGTAATTTCTGAGAGCGGAGACGAGGATGTCGACTGGTCTGAAGACGAACGCAAGATTGCCAGTTTGGTGGCCACTGCTCTAGGCGTGCGGCCCCAGGATGTCGGAAGGTGGACACCACTCACCAGCTTGGGGTTGGATTCCATATCGGCAATCTCAGTCGCGAAAGAATTGCAGGCTGCCTTCTCCCAAAGGTTACCCATCTCGATTATCTTGCAGAATACTTCCACAGCGAAGCTTGCTGCGCTACTTGCCGGAGGGGCAGTAGAGACTGTCCAAAGTGAGGATCATCTGGACATATTCCCGCCAGAGTTCTGGGAAACAATCCGAAGATGTGCTCGTTCGAAGAAACTCGAGGTCGAAATGATCTTGCCATGCACACCCCTGCAAGAGGCGATGTTGGCATCTGCGGCCAGCGATGCGTCATACCTCAATAAGATGCTGTTCCGTCTCAACACCGACTCTACGAAAATGCGCAACTACTGGAAGGCGATGTTTCAAAGACATGCGATCTTGAGGACCAGCTTTTACAGCACTGACGACCGAGATCATGTCATTGCACAGTGTGTCCTCAAGACCTGGGAACCTGACTGGCTCACGTTCGATGCAGACGCCACGTCGCTTGATGAGTCAATCAGCAGACACGCGGCAACTTTGCCCAATCCCATAGATTCCGGTGTACCACCGGTGTCTTTGGCAATTATTGGGCAAGGCACACTTACCTATTTATCCTTCATCTGTCACCATGCCATGTATGACGGGGTGGCGATGTCACGCCTCCTCGAGGAGATCGAGCAGACCGCGGCTGGTTCTGAGCTACCCCAGCCTCCCTCGTATCAGCCTTTCTTGCGGGAGGTCTTGGCTCTACCTAAATCAATCGACGAGTTTTGGAAAACACACTTGGGAGGACTGAAGCCGAAAACATTACCACAATCATCGGAGAAGGACAGTGCTCGTGGCACCATGACAAAAGTTCTGGACCTGCCTCTTTCCACAATCGAACATCGCTTGGGGATGCTCAATGTGTCTCTATTATCCTTCTTGCAAGCGGCCTGGAGTAGCCTGCTCGGAATCATACAGGAATCTGACGATGTTTGTTTCGGCAATGTTGTCAACGGCCGCACCAGCATGGTCGAGAGAGTAGACGAGCTCGTTGCACCGTGTTTCAATACCATTCCAGCGCGTGTCCAGCTCCACGACCAAAGGAGGAACATCGACCTCCTCAACTTCTTTCAGAGTCTTAACCCGGAGCTTCTCCAGTATCAATTCACGCCATTACGACGCATTCAAGCATTGTGCTCCAGGGCTTTGAGTGTGTTCGATACGCTATTGCTGTCACAGCAGACCCCAAAGAAGCTGGATGAGAGCGTCTGGACTCTGGAAAGGGACGATGGGGAGATGGACTTCCCCCTAATCTGTGAGGTGACTCCGATCCTGGGAAGTGACTATCGGGCATTGGAAGTCAAGCTACATTTTGATCGGTGAGTTTGGTTTGTGTAAGGCTCTTGGGAGGGTAATTGCTGACATTTTCCAGTTCTTATCTCTCTGATACCGTTGTTCTGTTCATACATGATACACTTTCGCATATAATCTCAACTCTCTTGGAATTTCCCTCGTCACATCTTGTATCCAGGCAGTCATTGCCTTCGCCACTTCAAGAAAGGTTGGACAGGCTTGGCCTCGTCCATGTATCAAGAACCAGTGACGAGAGCAACCTTTTGGACACGGTCACACAAGAGGGATGGTCTGACTCCGAAAAGACCGTCCGGGATGTTTTCTCGGATATTTCAAAGTCCAAAGCGACCAGCATCAGCCGACACATGACCATCTTCCAACTTGGACTAGACAGCATCAATGCAGTTCAGGTGGCAGCATTGTTGCGCAAGGCTGGCTACCCCGAAGCCACAGCAACGGATGTACTGGAGAATCCAACGTGCTCGAGTCTGGCAGCAAAGATATCAGCACAACAGTCCACCGGCGGCAGCTCTGTTGAGTATGACATGGCTGCTTTTGAGCAGGCGGCGAAGGGCTTGCTGAACGACAGTGTCTCCAGTTGGGAGTCTGTTGAAGCCGTTCTTCCATGCACGCCTCTTCAGATGGCAATGCTCACCCAGTTCACTAATTCAAACGGCAAAGATTACTTCAATTTCATAAGCTTTCGTTTTGAGGAACGTGTGAGCGTCTCCAAAATTACGAATGGCTTGAGGAAGCTGGTTGATTCTCATCCAATCCTGCGATCTGGATTCATTCCAATAAATCATAGGGATGTATCACTCGCCACGCTTCAGTACATTCCGGACGGAAAGAAGCTCCGGATCAATGTTCACATCGATTCCAGTGACTTCAAACTGCTGGAGTGGCAGCTAGCAGCTTCGCAGAGTGCGCTTGGAAACCTGCAGGAGCCTCCGTGGAGTGTTACTATCCTGCCGGGCAGCGAGGGAGTCGAAATGCACCTTGCAATCCATCATGCGATTTACGATGCTTTCTCACTTCAGAAGATGCTGTGTGATTTACAGGCAACAATCGATGATGAGCCACTCAAAACTGGGACAGGACTCGCCTCTGTTGTGAAAGAGATTATGACAGAAGCGCAAAGAGGCAGGGAAGATGCTCCCGAGTTCTGGACGAAGCGGGCACCTGAGGCCGTCGTCAACAAATTCCCGATCATGACACCGCTTAGAGAGGAACACCGGAGCATCTCGGTGAGACGGAGATCATGCGCCCTGTCCTTCGAAGCTTTGACAGATGCTGCTAGGGATGGGGGCTTCACAATCCAGGCGGTGGCGCAAGCAGCTTGGTTAAGGATTCTATCATCGTACATCGGAGAGCCGTCCGTGATCTTTGGAACAGTGCTCTCTGGTAGGAACTCTGACGCGACGCTCAAGGCGGTGTTTCCTTGCATCACAACTCTGCCTGTCGTAACCCAGCATTCGTCCTCAAATCGCATTCTTCTCCAAGCCATGATGGAGTACAATACGGGACTTCAGCGACACCAAAGGACACCATTGACTGAGATTCAGAAGCTACTTGGTCATCCAAACACGAGGCTGTTCGACACACTTCTGGTTTACCAGAAGTTTGACGAACCAGGGCAGAAACCAAAGTCTTGGTCGGTGATTAGCGAGAAAGCGAATGTCGACTACCCAGTGTCCATTGAGATAGGGCCTGAGCGAGACTCTTTGCAGCTCCGCATCACCTTCTTCAATGATGTCTTGCCTGTGGAACAGGCAGAAATCCTGCTGCAACAGTTTGATGTGGTCTTGTGCGACTTGGCGAAACACCCCGATGGTCGTGATGTGGACGTGCTGAAAAATCACCCGGAATTGTTTGCTATCACACCCGCAGAACAACCTGAGTTGGTGTCGGATACAACCTTTCTTCACGGCTTTGTGGAATCCAGCGCTGCAAGTTATCCCGAGAGAACCGCTCTGGAATTCGTCTTGAGCTTTGATGGCAGCCGGCCAGTATCTCAAAGCTGGACTTACAAAGAACTGGACCAGAACGGCAATAGAGTCGCCAACATGCTGTCCAAGCATGTCAGAACCGGCGATATTGTCGCCATTTGCTTCGACAAAAGCCCTGAAGCGCACTTTGCGATGCTTGGGATCCTCAAGGCTGGTTGTGCGCTGCTTGCTCTGGATCCAGGGGCGCCATCGTCTCGGAAAGAGTTTATTATGAGAGATTCTGGGGCATCGGTACTGTTGACAGAGAAATCAACAAGCACGAACCTTGATTTCAAAGTTCAGGTCCCGGTCATCACAATCGATCATAGTAGTCTGACAGCGGTCGAGGCTTCGGGACCCGATCTCACCCGCCCGTTGGTTCCGGGGGATAGGAGCTACTGCCTCTATACTTCTGGTACAACAGGGACCCCCAAGGGTTGCGAAATCACGCACGAAAATGCAGTGCAGGCGATGCTTGCCTTCCAGAAGTTGTTCGAGGGGCATTGGGACGAAAGCTCCAAATGGCTTCAGTTCGCATCCTACCACTTCGATGTCTCTGTTCTGGAGCAATATTGGACATGGTCCGTCGGCATCACTCTGATCGCTGCTCCTCGAGACGTGATCCTTGAAGATCTCGCAGGCACGATCTCCCGACTCGAGATCACACACATTGACCTCACACCCAGCCTGGCTCGTTTGTTGCACCCCGAAGACGTTCCAAGTCTTTGCAGAGGAGTCTTCATCACAGGCGGGGAGCAGTTGAAACAAGAGATCCTTGATGTCTGGGGGCCGAAGCGCGTCATCCATAACTTCTATGGACCGACGGAGGCCACTATTGGGGTGACCACATACCCCTGCGTACCGATTAATGGACGGTCATCAAATATCGGAAGACAGTTCGCAAATGTAGGCTCTTACGTCTTCCGACCGAACACGGAAATCCCTGTGCTGCGGGGAGGTGTGGGTGAGCTCTGCGTCTCAGGCAAGCTTGTTGGCAAAGGCTACCTCAACAGAGAGGAGCTCACGGCCGAACGCTTCCCCTCTCTCTCGGCTTTTAAGGAGCGAGTTTATCGAACCGGGGATTTGGTTCGCGTGCTCCACGATGGCTGCTTTGACTTCCTTGGTCGAGCTGATGACCAGGTCAAACTTCGTGGCCAGCGTCTTGAAATCGGTGAAATCAATCACTGCATCAGGGCTGCTATCTCAGACATCACTGACGCTGTGACGTTGGTGATCCACAACGAGAAACAACAGAAAGACTTACTTGTGTCATTCGTTGTCACGGCGCGAGGACAAACTCAAAAGTCCAGAAACCTGCAGATCATTGTTGGAGATGACGCGGAAAGACTTAGCCAGAGTGTGAAGCGGGCATGTCGTGATAAGCTCCCGGGGTATATGGTTCCCACATATGTCTTAGTGTTGCCTTTCATTCCACTGTCACCGAACAACAAAGCTGAGGTCAAGGAACTCAGGAAGCTATTTAATGATCTCTCCCCTGAACAGCTTATGAGGCCGTCTCCTGCCACGAATGGCGACCTTGGAGAGGCTGGCAAGAAAATCTGCAAAGCGCTGAGCAGCACATATGGAGTACAAGAGGGGACGATCTTGCCGTCGACAAGCACCTTTGAGCTCGGCGTCGACTCAATTTCCGCTATGAAGTTTACGAGAGCGCTGAAGCTCGAAGGCTTCGGTCGAGCCACTGCCGCTGTGGTCTTGAAGAACCCTGTGGTTGCAGATCTAGCCTACGCTCTGCAATCCTTGCAGAGAACGAGTGAGGCTTCGGCCGGTCTGCTGGAGGCATCACAGGCGATCGATGCCTGCCAACATAGACACAAGGGTTCTGTGTGCAGAAAACTCGGCATCAATCCTGAAGACTTGGAGTATGTGGCGCCATGTTCGCCGCTACAGCACGGTATGATCTCTCGATCACGGACTGATGGGAATGAGGGGGCGTACTTCAATACTTTCCGTTACGAGCTGGCGGATACCGTCGAGTGGAAGCAGCTACATTCGGCCTGGCAAAGTCTCGTGCAAAAGAATGCGATTCTGCGCACGAAATTTGTGTCAACCACAGATGGGCACGTGCAAGTCGCCACCAAGGCACAGAGGATCCCATGGGAGGTTGTCCCCTTGGAGTCGGGCGATGACATTGAGACGGTGCTGGCTGAACGGCGCCAGTCTTGGATCGACAGTAACATTCAGAACGTCGAGACGCCTTTGCAGTTGCTGGCAGTTAGTGGCAACCGCAAGCGATTGTTAGCGGTACACATCTTCCACGGAATCTACGATGCCAGCAGCTTTGACCTGATGATCGATGAGGTCGCGAGGCTTTACAACGGCCGCGATGACAGCAGAGTCAATGCACCGAGTTTCCTCGATGCTCTCCTCCACGGGCCGCTGAGAAGTCTCTCTTTCTGCAGAGAATTCTGGTCAAAGCACTTGCAGGGTGTGAGGTCGAAGCCGCTGCCTCATATATCACCAACCCCGAGTGATCACGATCTCTGTGTCTCGCGTCGGATAGAGTTTCATTCTCTTGATAAGATACGGAAGTCACTGGGTGTGACTCAGCAAGCCATTGTACAGGCTCTGTGGAGTTCGGTACTACATCGACTGTGCGGTTTTGGGGTCACCTTTGGCATCATCGTATCAGGCCGTTCAATGGAGTTGGAAAATGTTGACGCGACAATCGGGCCGCTTTTCAACACGGTTCCGTTTCATCACCATGTCACGCGGAGGCAGACGTGGGCTTCTGTGATCCGGAATTCCCATGATTTCAACACGGCAATACTACCATTCCAGCACGTACCACTGAGGGACGTGCAGAAATGGTGCTCAGGAGGGAACCCAATCTTTGATACGCTCTTCTCGTTTCAGCGAGCGTCTTCCACTGGCAGCGCAGGCGCGGGATTGTGGACTGAGGTGGAGTCAAACATCAACCCGGACTATCCCCTTGCATTTGAGGCGACTCTGTTTCCGGATGAGTCAGTACATGTATTGATCGTCACACAGAAAGGTGTCGCTGATGAGGAGGCCCTGGAAAGCATGATCGACAAGTTCGAAGCCATGGCGAGGGCTGTTGCTCATGACCTGAACAGTCCGGCATTTCCTGATAGCGCTGATGGGTTTGTCGACAGGCCTCGAGAAGGACGGGAGGACTCGGACGATGGAATTTCTCATCCTCTGTCGAAAACATCGACGGCAGGCCCACCCCCAGTTGAATGGCCACCTCAGGCTGAGACGATCCGCAAAGAAATCACGGTCTTGGCCGAAGCAGACGAGTCCTCTATCACCCAGAGCACAACACTTCTGGAGCTTGGACTTGACAGTATCGACACCATCAAGCTGTCAGCAAGACTCAGGAGAGCCGGTATTATGTTGAGCAACAGCGAGCTGATCAGAGGCCAAAGTATCGCAAACTTCGTGGACATGCTTCACGCCAACGAGAACAAAAGTGACGGAACTCACGACAGCGGTTATTCCTCGGATGTCGAGGACTCATCGATACCCCTCAAGGCGCACCTCACGAGGCATGGCTGGGACCTGAGTGATGTCGAGCTTGTACTGCCACCGACTCCCTTGCAAGATTCCATGGTTTCAGAGATGGTTCAGTCAGGCTTTCAGCGGTACTTCAACCATGATGTTCTCGAGCTAGCACCTCAGGTCGAAGTCCAACGGCTCAAAACTGCTTGGGTCACCGTCGTCAAGAACTCACCGATCCTGAGGACTGTTTTCACCGAAGTTGATGGCACAGAATTCGACTTTGCGTACGCGCAAGTGGTCTTGAAAAACTGCCCGCCTGCATTCAGGGACATCAAGGTCGACTTCCCAGACAACCTATCATCTGCGATGGAGCAGGCACGGATGACGGCTCAGGCAGGCCATGCGCAGTCGGACCTTCTTCAAGTCATGTTTGCCACGTCGAGCCATGGAACATATATGCTACTGTCCGTTGCCCATGCACTTTACGACGGCTGGTCACTGGGGCTACTACACAAAGATCTCGAATCCGCCTACTACGGAAGCTACACACCTCGCGAGACGTATGTCGAATGCTTGCACGGGACGATCAGGTCCCTCAAACAGGAGGCCAAGGACTTCTGGTCAGACTATATCTCTGGAGCAGTGCCTGTGATGTTTCCACCCCATGGCCAGAAGGAGCCCGGGGCCCGCGTCAACAGAGCAGAGGCATCACTTGCTGTTAAAGCCTCTGCTCTCAAGGAATTTTGCAAGCGTCATGCGATTAGCCAACAAGTTGTTGCACAAGCATGCTGGGCCACTGTTCTCGCAACCCACTCCCAGAGTCTCGACGTGGCGTTCGGCGTCGTTCTGTCTGGCAGAGATACTGAAGCTTCTGAGGCGATGCTGTTCCCCACGATGAATACCGTACCAGTACGAGCGGTCTTGCACGGTTCGGTGTCGGCTTTCCTGCGTTACATGCAGGACAACATGACTGGTGTCAGCCAGTTCCAGAACTACCCGCTGCGGAAGATCCAGGCACTAATTCAGGATCGCCGGCCGAGTCTGTTCAATACGTTGTTCATCATGCAGAAGAGCAGCGTTAAGACCACAGGAACAACTCAAGCCGAGCCCAGGCAGCCGCTGATGAAATCAATCGAGAGCTCGTCCGCCGTTGATTATCCAGTATGTGTGGAGATGGAAGTTTCTGAAGAAAATCTTATATGGCGCACAGCGTGTGATGATGGATATCTGTCCACTGGTGGCACAAGTCATCTCTTGGAGGAGCTCGAGCATGTTCTCCAATACATGATCAACTCATCCGAAAAAGACGTGCTGCAGTTCAGCGACTATGGGGTGTCGGTCTGTGGCCTGCCTGCGTTCCAACCGCAGAGGCCGACAGTTTCAGAGCGGGAGCCAGAGCTGAAGCAGTCGCGAGATGTGCGCGAAGACGGCGAGTGGTCAGGTGTGGAGGAGAGAATCCGACAGGTCCTCGCCAGCATGTCTGGCATTGATCAAGCGTCAATTCGGAAGAGTCACAACCTCTATCACCTCGGTCTCGACTCCATCAGCGCGATTAAGGTCAGCTCAGCACTCCGCCAGCAGGGAATTCAAGCCAGTGTGCGGGACATGATACAGGCCACCTCGATCAGTGAGATGGCCACGAGGTTTTCCAACACAAACTCAACGTCCTCGCCAATGAAGGATCCTCAAAGCCAAATCGCGCCGCAAACGTTGAAAGGACCGTCCGAGGATATCATTCCGAATGATGTGCTCCAATCAGCAGGCATAAATGCAAGCGAGGTGCAGAAGGTATTGCCCGCCACAGCTATGCAGACGCACATGCTTAGCGTCTGGCAGAACACCCAAGGGGCCGTGTTCTTCCCTGAATTCCGGTACCGACTGTCTGGCATTGCTGACCGAGATACCATCAAGTCTACATGGATCGGTGTTATTAGGCAGACACCGGCCCTGAGAACAATCTTCATCTCCACTGGCCACCGCAGCACGCCGATGCTTCAGGTGATCCTGCTAGAGAGTCCACAAACGGAGAATCCGTTCGTGTCACTTGAACTTCAGTCAGACGGTGTGGGGAGCTGGGTGATACGTCTCAAGATTCATCATGCGCTATACGACGGCGTAAGCTTGCCGCTGATCATGGGACGCTTCAAGAGACTCCTCGGTGAGGGGATCGAGTTAGAGGAGTCCGTGAACAGACTCGCCTCATGGAGAAGGCTCGTCTCTTCCTCACTGGACGAGCAATCACGAGCAAGCAGAAGAGCCTTCTGGACGCAGTATCTTGATGGGGCTGAAGCCGTCTCATTACGCCTACCAAGTTCCAAGAGCACGCCGACAGAAGAGCGCGTCAGCTTCTTTAGACGCGCAGCTGTCAGTAACATGGGCAGGCTTAAAGCTCTATGTTCACAACACGGCATCAGCATCCAGTCTGTGTTCCTTGCCGCATATGCCAGGGTTCTTTCAACACTTTCAGGATGCAACGATGTCGTATTCGGTGTCTACATCGCCAACAGAGGCACCGAGCAGGAACTGCCATTCCCCACCCTTTGCCTCGTACCTCTGCGAGTCAGAGCCGCACGAGTCTTCGACATTTCCGAGGTCGCGAGCGCCATCCAGCGAGACATACTCGAGGTGTCGAGGCCAGAGAATGTGAACGCTGGGCTGTGGGAGATTAAGGATTGGACTGGTGTCGTGGTCGAGTCGTTTGTGAACTTCTTGAGCCTGCCTGAGGACGAGTCTTCCAAGAGCAAAGACGAGGGTGGGGTTGAGCTTGAGGCCCTCCGTTTTGACGAGGCCACATCGAGCGTGGTGGACGAGAGCACTGCATTTGACCCGAGGCAGGTGTCATGGCTCGAGAACAATGCTGTTAGGGACGCGTTTCCGGTGAGTTTGATTCCCCTCGCCCTTGGATTTTCGTTTTGGTGATCGTTGCATGGACTGACAGTGACGCATCAGGACGCGGTTGATATCGAGGCGTCGTTACAAGACAAGGGTGCGATGGACATCGGGGTATTTGGTGCCCAAGGGAAGTTGGGTAAACATGGCGCAGAGGATCTGGTGGGAATGATTGTGGGCATGTTGAGCACATAAACATTTATCATCGTTCACGGAATAGACTTGGTGTGGCTAATTATGTACGGAAACCTTAACGGGTACATAAGGCGATAGAACGGCATGTATTTTTGGAGATCCCCCGGGGTATCACTGCATGTTTTATTATGAACGGCTGTAGATGGAAAGTCGCAAGTGCATCACTTCTGCCGTATGTTCTTCGGTTTCCGCTTCTTGAACGTCACCGCGGGTACGTCTTGAGCTTCTGACGACTCGACCGCGCTGGCGCCCTCCTCTGTCTTGAGAGCAGGCTTCTCGGCCTTCGGGCTGGGATCTGTCGGGACCTCTGCCAGTGGCGGCACGCCTTCCTCTGATGGCTCCTTCTTGACCATAGAAGGCTCCGGATCTTCTTGTTTGACCGCCGCAGTTTCAGCCGTAGGCTCAACATGCTCTTCTTTCTTCACCGTGTCTTCTTCCTGCTTCTTGACGACAAGGCCCCCACTTAGTAAGGCATCCAGCTCTGCATTGTCACCATCCCCTGCGGCCGTCCTGGAGTCCCGGCCCCAGCGTCTTGGCTTCTTGAAGAGCCCCTTGATAGCATTCTCCTCTTCAATCTCCTCGTCTGTGCGCTCGCGCTTGTGTACGCCGCGTGCCGAAGCGCCCGGTGTGTCCCCGTCCGCTGGCGGGTCGGTGACGATCGTGGTGGACGTCACCTGCCAGTCGCCCGCCATGGCCAGGTCCTTCCTGAACTCGTCGGGGAGGCTGACTCCGAGTGAGTCGAGCTGCTCGGCCTGGCGCTTGCGCTCTGTTTCCGACAGCGGGCCGCCTCCACCTGCTCCTCCTCCGGAACTGGCTCCCGCCCCGGCCCCGGGCCTCGATCTTGAGGAAGGGCCAGCATGCGTCGACGTAGATCCTGAGCCATCTGAGGAGACGACACCGTTGAGACGCTCGATCTCCCTCTTGGCGCGCTCCTTCTCCCTCTCTTCCCGCTCGTGGCCCCGGTGTAGGTCCCGCAGGGCACGCTTGACGGCGCCTTGATGCTTCGCGGTTGCCTCGTGGTTCTGCTTCTCGAGTTTGGTGTCGCGGACGTAGACGGAGCAGTGCTTGCACCAGTATCTGGGGGTGGACTTCCAGTATTCGGCCATTTTGGCTGGTGTAGAGGACAAAGCAAAGGAGAGCTGGGCCACAGCCAAGGGGGATGATCAGGATTGAGACCGTAGGACAAACACCGAGGGACTTCCAAGTGGTGATGGGGAGCAAGTGCTTGTGACTCTGCCGGCCGGCAACGATTAGTGGCCAGCCGCTGGTATGGCCACTTTGCGGCAGGCAGTCGACCGACGACTTACGTAAGATAACTTCCACAGAGGTGTAACTGTTTGCAGCTTGTGAATCTCGAGCACGCGTTGCTCAGCACAAACACCACCATCATGTTGCTCTCAGTCGTTTTCATCACCACAAGCATCACGATGCTGACCATTCACAATCAGGACCAGGCAGGCTGATTTGTGCACTTGATGTGTTTCTTTGTTCGGCCTGGCCTATGTACAGGGGCATGTACCCTCTATTACGACCCTGTGGGAGACAAAGCAGCCGAGTCCGGGCTCAAACCACCGCAAGATGCGATGCCAGAGCAGGAAGACGCCCCTCAACCAAGAGCAGCATCCTCAGCCAGCCGACGTCCCACGACCTTCCCAACCCCGTCATTATGGGGGGTCACCATGCCCTGCGATGCGATGGCGTTCAGTCATTTCCGATCTCACCCTGGAACTAAAGTCCGAAACAGTGGACGGGTATTAAAACCATGAACCCCATATGCGTGTCCAAATGCAGAGAAACAGAAACGCGACCCTGAGAAATCATTACATGCCACCGAAACCAGGTGGTCGTCGTTGAACTATGCTTTCATTGACCCGAAAGCGAAATGCAGCCTTTCCGACAGCCAACTCCTTCCTGGACCAAAGCAGCTTGCAAGTCCCTGCAGGACAGCAACGGCAGCCAGCGAGGGCCGTCATCGCATCCGCACTGGGAGCATAGCCCTGCATGTGTTGTCGCAATTGTTCGAGGAGCTGGGAATGCAAGCTCAAATCCGGGTTGAATGCAAATGGTGAGAAAGTGGCGGGGGAGCATCGCCTAGAGGAACGCAACAGCGCCAATGACGCCGATGACGAGGGCGCCCATGGAAGCCGCCCGGACAGTGGCACCGCCGCCGGTCGCCGGGGCAGAAGTGGCCGGGCTCGAGGCCGGGGACGTGCCGGAAGCTCCACCTCCCGAGGAGGCGGTGGTGGATAGCGTGGTGCCAGGCGATGCGGGCTGGGTCTCGGAAGGCAGGGCGACACTGCTGCCCGACTCGGCGGGTGCGCTGCCGGCGGGGGCACTGCCGGCGGGGGCACTGCCAGCGGGGGCACTGCCAGCAGGAGCAGAGGGGGTTACCTCAGGTGGCGCCGGGGCGTTCGTCACAGTAGGAACGGAAGCGGGAGGGGTAACCTGGATTTGGCCGTCAGACTGCTGCGACACGGGCACTGGGGTCGATGTCGCCACAGGCGTCGTGGTGATGCTAGCACACGGTGTGGTGCCGACCTGGAGCTGGCCTTGGGTTGTCGTCAGCAAGTGATCCGACAAGACCGGGAGACTGGTTCGAATTCAACTTACCGTCCGCGATCTGAGAGACCTGGCAAAGCGGGACTCCAGTCGTGGTCGTTCGAACTTGGGGCTGTCCGTCGCTGAGGGCGGAGACGATAGTTGTGGTCACGATCTCCGTTCCGACGACCTGTCCATCACCAGCCTCGCCGGCGTTGCCACCACACTCCATGATGAGGATCTCAACGGGAGAACACTGAGGTGCCCAAGAGCGGTCGTAGAGGTTGAAAAAGTCGCCGCTCGCACACTCATAGAAAACAGCCGAGCCGCCGAGCGCGAGGGAGCCGTTTCCACACGCGGAGAAACCAGCAGTGAAGATAGCGCCAGTCTGGGCAGGCTGGTCAAACTGGAACTGGTAGTTTGCGGCGATGTAACCGGTGCGGGACTGAGAGTCCTTGAGGACTCCGTTCTCGAGGGTAGCAACCAGAATGCCGTCGGTGGAGCAGTCATTGCGCTTCTGTTCGAAACGGTCAGCCACATCACTTGGCCGGGATGGTTGCCACTTGGCGGCGGGGCCCACGCCACCAAGGGCAGCACGACACAGCAAGGAAAGAAAGCAAGCAGGAGGACAACAGCAAACTGGCTGGGATTCATCTGGAAGCAGCCAAGCGGCATGGCAGCCACCATGAGAAAGAGGGGAGCTATCTTGGCGAGGCAGGCGGGCGCTGGGCTGCGGTGTGAAATGTGCTGTGCTGTGCTTCCCTCACCTGTGGGACAAACGACAAACGACAAGGACGAAGAGAAGGTGAGGCGTGCAGGGAACTGCCCATCCCGGGAGTGAACTTACGGCAATGGCGTTGGTATCACGCTTCACGGCACCCTCGACCTTCGCAACCGTGATCTCGAAGGTACCGGGATAGGATGCAACACAGCTAGCTGGTGGGCTTGCCTCAGGAGACATGGCAGAGGTAACGCCCTGTCCGGCGACAAGGGTCGCCAGCAAGGTGAAGGCGAGGACCGTGGAAGAAAACATTGTGATGTTGGTCGTTTGAGAGAAGTGTGGTGTCAAGAACGATGGCACTGGCCAGAGACTGACGAAACGAGAGAAAGATGCTTCTGAGCAGATCAAGAATAGTGCGATGGTGAGGCAGGGTGGAAGTGAAAGAGCGTTGCAGATGAAAAGATTGCAAGTGGGTGGCCCAGGTGGAAGTGGGATGGTTCGGGATGGGAGGTGGTGAAGGAAGGGAGCTGCTGCAACAACAGATGGTTTTCGGGTTTGTGGCTGGCAGGGACCAAACGATGCGATGCGGTGCTAACCAAATTCGGCCGATTACAAAGCGATGGTCCAAGTTTGCAGTATCTTGTGGATCAGTGGGAAAACAAGCAGCAGTCGGTGGTAAGAATTCGGGGGTGGTGACACCGGAAGGGAGGTGAGGTGGTCAAGGTTGCGGATGTTGGTCGAAGGGATGATGGGGGGGGGAGGGGCAAGCTGATATATGAACAACCTGGCAGAAAGCTTCACTTGCAGCACCGCACCACTTCCCTTGAAGAGGAATAGCCACTGCAGGCCAGGTCAAATCTCACGGTTGATCACTATTACGGAGCTAGCAGGACTGCAGAGACACAACAAAAGGAAAAAAGGTGGTCGAATCGAGACATCTGATTCACCAGGTACTTTGCCATGTAGGGCATATCCGAGAGCAGGAGGTAGCTACATGCACACATAAAGACATGGATGAGCAAGAGGGGTACGGTGCACAGCTGTGCACATTGGCTACGAGCAGGCTGGCAGGGTGCGCTTGACGTACCTGGGCGCATGGGGGGGTGTGTGGAAGATCATCCAGCCCCGGCAAAAGAGCTTGCCTCAAGCTATGAACCTTGAAAGGTGGGTGAGGGTTATTTGGGGTGGTTGGGTGGAATGTACCCCTCTGACTGAGGTACATGCAGCTCGGCTGTGGTTGTTATTTGTTGGCCCACCGGCCTAAAACAATCGCCTTGTCTGCAGAAACGAACCATTCGAACTCGCAAAACGGCTGTGGCTTGACCTGGCAGGGCGGGAAATCCGATGTTTGGGGAGCACACCCACACGGCTGGTGACGGCCCAGCCCAGAGCCCTCCCGCCTCGCTCACCACTGTCATGTCAACATCACGATGTGGTGTTGGGAGTGAAGCGCCAGGGGCGGACAGTTCATGGCGAGCTTGTCACACCCTCAGGCTGATGTGAGAAATGACTCGTCTGCGCAGTTGGGGGCCATGACGACACCTACAAAGAAGTGTGCTACAGCCAGCATACGTACGTTGGCTGACCTGTTCGTGGAGTTGTTGTGGAGTTCTGCTTGTGGAGTGCCGCCCTGTGGAGCGGTGGAGCCGTCCATGTGCAGACGACGGGGCTCCACCTGATCTTTGTTTACATCGGGAGTGCCTGGAAATCCCACATCACCACTGGCATGAGCCCATATATATCTAAGATTGAACCAACGGCGGGGACGACCACAGCAAGGAGACGGCCCGGATCGGCAGGGGCGTCAAATCTTGCAGTGGATTGCGACGGCCAATCTTGACAGAATCCAGAAGAGAACAAAGAAGTACATGCTCGGATGCGGTGCAACTGTGGCGCCTTCCCTCGCTCGGGGCCACGGCGGACCCAGGATAGCGAGAGGCGCTCGACGCTGGTCTCAGACCCACCTGGACGCAGAATAGGCTGTCGGAGGTCGAGACACAGGGCGCCGCTTGCTTTACTTGAAGGCGTCCCGCCGACTGCAGGACCGCGGGCGACGGGCTGCAAGATGAAGCGGCTCGTAGCGCAGCCCTAGCTGGCTGCCGCATGGCCAGGAATGGAAGACGGAATGGACAGGACTACAGACGGACGATGCGGGACAAACAATGAGACAGCCAGCCATATGCACAAGTGGCTGGTTGCATGCTGCAGCATCTCCTGTCCTCTGTCTCGCTGCGTCGTTGCCGACCAAGGACAACTCGGGCACCGGCAGCACTTGGGAGCATGCGACCACAGTCCACTTCCAACGTGTCCCGTATCAAGGACATTGCTTGCGAGACCGGTCGCACGGACAGGATCATGGCAACTGGGAAGGGAGGTTTCTGCAGGTCGTATTGACAGGCGGGACAAGGCTTGGGTGAAGTCTAATAAGAAGGCTTGTGGAGCTTATCCATGTCCCGTCCTGGGCGAGGGAAACGAGCCGGACCAGCCGGCCAGCCGGGTCTTTTTATTCATTAGGCTTTTGGCCGTTGACAAGCCCCAGCCTCCTCTGGACTGACAGAAATGCCAGTGACAGCCGCCTGACAGCGTGCAAGTCGGCCAGTGGAGCGAAGTCGCCCCCAATGTGAAACAGCACACGGCATGTACCCTCTGAGGGGAGGTACATGAGGACCACAAGCGCTGGCGCACCCCGCCGCCGAGCTGCAGATCTGGTTTACCGCGGATCCATGAGCAGCACGCCTGCAGGCCTCGTCTTTCTTCTCAGTAGACTACTACCACACACTACGACTCTGCTACTGCACCTGTGCTCCTCCGTCTGCCGCAGGAAGAGGCCGGACATGTGCGTCGTCCAGAGACCATTGCTTTGCTTGCTCTGTTGCCTCGATCCGAGCGCGCTCACTCCCTACCCGGTTGTCAATTTACCAAGGCCACTTATTAGTGCAGAAAGGGGCGAGTCTCTGGACGATTTGTTCCGCGATCTGGCCGTGGTGGGCGGAACTGCGGCCCAGACATGTGTGCACGTCGAGCTCACTCTTGCCCCGAGCAGTTCAAGCAGTGAGCACAGCAGCCGAGAGGCTACCTATCCGGGCCTGGTTATTGGTCAATTAGCCCGCACACGAGCACAGCTGGAGCCAGACTCGCTCTACTGCGCGCGGCGCTGCAGCCTGTCGTGGAGCCGTACCGTCTTACTGCAGGCTCCTCGCGCTGATCCACGTAAGACTACAGGAGACGTCCCAGATGCTGGCACAGGCATGATGCATGATACCGGCGAGGACAAAGTAACGACCACCATCAACTTGGTCGAAAAAGACCGCACCGATTTACCAACACCAACGCGGCCGCTGAAAGATTCTGCAGCGCCGTCCCTCTGCTAGTTTTGCGTTCACGGACCCGAGCACTGCGAGTTCCCACCCAGCACCACTCACTGTCTGTTTTCAGTCAACTTCCTGCCATTTTTTTGCCCCCGATAGCTGAAAGGACCGACTGGCCCCCTGGCACGAGGCACCGGCACGGGCGATCCTTAACGTTAATCCGGCCGTCAGAACGCCATTCCGTGGATCACGACGGCTCAGAATGGAGCTCGATTGTGGATACCTACCGTGCGGTGTGGGCCCCGGGCGATTCTTTCCGCAGCTGCCCAGCCGCCCTGTCGGCTCGCTACTAAGATGACTTACACGACAAGCTTCTGTCAGAACCAGGGCCCAGCGCCAGCCACGGACCCGTCTATCATCAGCCCTCTCGCCGGATCCGTTCCTCAACCGAAATTCACGTCCCCAGACTGCAAACAGGTTTGGGGAGGAACTGGCAGGCGGCAAAGAAGGAACAACGCGATGCTTCATCTCGTCCTGTCGCTCTCTTGCCAGAAGCAGTTTCTCAACAAACATGCACGGCAAGGGCGAAATCCCGCAAAGCCGAATCGGCGATCCGTCTAGTCCTCTCCCACACCACCCCGGTCTTGGCAGGGGCAAGGCACACGCCAACAATACGACATGGCAGCGGGGCACTTCAAACTGGACTCTTAGTTGGCGGCCCCCCTTCGGGGAGGTGTCCGGAAGTCGGTCACCTGGAGAGGCAGCTCCTAAAAGACCATGCCGCCGACCATGGGGAATTTGGCAGTCAGCAGCCGATCGTCGGGTTTCGACACCAATGGAGTTCTGAGCGAGTTGACCAACCTGCCAGGCCTGCCTGCCTGCCAGCACGCTCGAGAGCCAGGTGCTTTCCAAGGACCATGCGGAAAGCCTTCGCGCCACCGTGTGCCCGCATTCTGTATATCCTGCCTGACCAGTTGCACAAGTAGACCAGCAGCCTTGACAAGGTATTCGCCTCACATGCCTGATTGTTATTGTTCTTGTCTTCGGCAAGATGCAGAAACAGTCAATATCCACACTCACAATGCGGGCTTTTGGTACAGAACAAAAGGCTCCTGACACATGCCCGCATTTGGCTCCCGGGTAGAGGGAACTTCGTGATCCGCAACGTTGCGCGGCTTGTGGCCTGCTCTGGATGCAGTCCAGGCTACCAGGCCACGCGCTGCGCTGCGCTGCGCTCGTCGATGAGCGATTTGATCATTTTGACGTCGAGGACCATGTTGGAACGTCGCCAATATGACCGTATTGCTATAGAAAACACCACATAGTCTCTACTCAAGCGAGGTTCCCCATTTCTAGGTCGATCACGAAGTAACATCGGCCCCACGATCCCTACAGCAGGGCCGACCTTCAACCATGGTCAACTGGGCCGGGTGCCACTTACCCCATCTTTGCCCATGCTCACAACTCAGCCGCCCTACGGGACTGAAACACGCCCATCACCCGGGCGGTTGATTTCCTTGGACACAATCTCGCAGCACGCCAACGTTGCATGTGGCTGGGTTGGCTGCGTAGGAGCCCACAGCTTCGCTGGGAAAAGCACCAGTTGGTGGCGCCTACTGAAATCCGAGGTGGAATTACTGCTGTAGCACCCGAAAGGCCACCCGGCCCCGGGCAAGATTGGCGCGGAAATTGATTATCCGGCAGACGAATGAAGCATTCCATTATCTAATTGCAACAACTCGATATTGTTTACATCAAAGAATCTTGTTTTTCACGGGGCAATCTTGTGGGCTGGCAGGCTGTCCGCTGATGGGCACAAAGAAAAAGAAAACATTGCAGAGTGAATCAGGAGCCTCCCGGGGTGCCACACCCACGGGTCCCCTGCCGACTGGTCTCACTCGAATAAACACAGGCAGCCAACAATAAGCCATTTTGGGGATCTGGCAGTAATGAAACGCTGCTTTTCATCCACACCCAAGTTTTCCTTTTCTACAAGTGACAAACTGGCGTGTAATTTAGTGGACCTCGAATTTGACGGCAAGTCTGCCAGATGTTATCCACACCTTCCGCGATGCTATGCATGTTCTTACACGTGTCGGAGAATTTGGTCATAGAAATGATTAGCAAGCCGCTATTCGCTCCGTCAGTGGCACCATTGAATATTTCATGCTGTCACTGGGCATAGTTTCACCTCCATGTCTTGCGGTCCAATGTCCAGCAAATTTTGAGGGATTTGGCTCGACAAGTCCTCTTTTCTTTGTATCTCCTAGGCGATCTACTAGTCCACTTAGGTCCTCCTGTTTCTCAAACTGTTCTCGGTAAACAGAAAAGGTCTCGATCCGTAAAAAGACCTTTTCAAAAAGCCAATTACAAAGGCGCACGCAAAGGCGGGTCCGAGACATTATTTGAAGAAATTTCGGAATGGCCTTGAAGACATGAATTCAAGTGAGGTTGCCTCGAAATCTAGTCAAGCAGACGTTTAATTCAGAATCAAGGCTATGAAAGACAACGATGAATAAGACGAAGTGTCCTAGACAGTTTGTGTCCAAGAGAGAAGCTGTCTCAAAAATGAAAGCTATTACAATTCGTAGACGCTTTACGCCCAATCAAATCATTTGCAAATAGTTTGAATGGGAAGGCTCATTCATGTTCTTGAAGGAGACGGCTCGCACAGATGATCTCGAGGCTGCTTTAGACTCGCCCACTTATCAATGTGAGCATTTCGAGACATGCGCAATGCTTGTCCTGTTGCCTGAAAACCGCTTCCTTCCAGGGTGTGGTATATAAGGTTAAATCACTTAATTATATACGTCCACTACATAACAGAGTGCAAATTTGTGAAGCACGAACTTGTGGATTGTAATTACCAAGTGCTTCCAGCAAAACAGCCAGCTTTCAAAATGGAGTCTGCTGCCCCGAAGAAGAGTAGTGCTGGTGCAACTCCTCCTCAGTGGGAAAAGCCCGACAGGATTCTCAAAGGTGAGTTTTAGCACTCAAATTCTCGTGGTCACCTCTGGTAGCTAGACTGACACATCCAACAGAATGGGCTACACGCACACCGAGATTTCTGTTCCGGGGATTCCATGCCTTTTCTGGAGGTGGGCCAGAAACTTTCGTACGAAACGACATCAGCGGGATAGTTCCTCATCTCTTCGGAGGTGCCAAGCTGCAAACATTGATCAAGAGGTGGTCTCCTACAGCTCGTCTTCGAGAGCTGAGCCCTGGTGAAGCGAGCAAGTTGATCAAAACCCATATGAGAATGCGCCTGGAGCCCACGGCTTTCAGTTCCTGGACTTCTGACTACCAAGCTGCATTGCTGTCTGCCATTGAGGCTCCAAATGGCGACTACAAGCTTTTCGATGACTACCCAGATCTTTCCAAGAGGCACATTGCCATTCTTGATACTGAACTGCTCGGCTCAAACACGATCACGGAAGTGCTACAAATGTCTGCGCTCCACGAAGCAAAACTCGCAGACACGGATCAGCCTTGCAGCTTCCTGGTCTACGGACCCATCGAGGATCCAGCCTTCCGTGCCGTCCCGCTCTCTGATATCTCACACCTTGGTTTCAACCCAAGGGATATCCAAGTCACCTCGAAATGGACAAATGAACTCATCACAGACTGCACACTTCGAGCGAGGCGTGTCGCCGAGAAGTTGTGACACGAGATCAACAAAAAGCCAGACGTCATCGTCGCAGTTCTAGCCGCCGAGTTGAGCAGACAGCGGGCTCCAAGATTCGACATGAAAGTTTCGGACATGTTCAAGTACCGGTGGAGCGATGAAGAAGTTGAGTTGATTGTGAGCTTGGTGAAGAAGGACATTGCCTCTCTGAGGCTCGACCACGGTGGGAAGACGGCACTCGTCAATCGATCGATGTATGTCCATCACTTCCCGCAGCTGCACCTCACAATGAAACTGCTGGAGGCTTTCATGGATGCAGCGTGGAAGAGCAGGTGGGCACTGCCTCCGCAAGGACACTTATATGTACCTTCTCCCTCTCATGGTGAAAAGCGGCCCCGGGAAGGATTACCGGATGACGACAATGACAACGCTCGACACGGGAAAATTCCCGAGATCGTGACCACAAAGACCATGGGAAATCTTTTGATCAAGGATATGACGGGGCCCAAGATTGGTGACATCGAGGAGCCGCCGAGGAGGGCATCGTATTTCATTGAGGCAGGAGCCATTGCTGAAATCATTGCAGATGCCTTGATGAAGAGAATTGCGCGATTGAATCTACTTGATATGGCAAGGGAGGAAACTGGGCAGGAGGGTAATATCACTTGATGCCAATCCAGGATGGAAAACACGAAGTGCAGCTCCGAGCAAGGCACACAAACTCTTGTATTGACCACAGTTGGTTTACCACCATTCAGAAAATTGAGGAACAGCTACGATGATATCCACGTTTCTTCAGGCCAAGTCTACCGAACTACGAACTAGAACAAGGTATCGATTTCCAACTGTGAAATCCACGTATCAAGCATAGAATGATCACTCCATCCAAAAGTCTGGATCATCCTCCCTCCTCGCCTCGCCCCGACCCATTCGTGCCTTGAAATCTGCGTAGGCATTACAAGCCTTCCATGTTGACAGCTTATAATATTCCCAATATTTTCGGTCCATATGTAGTTCAGGGTTTCCCCAGGAGAGGCGGAGACGTGCTCCAAAGATAGGATAGCCCTGCATCTGCGACATGGCCATCTCGGCCTCCTTGCGACGAGGATACTGGACGAAGCCGCACGCCGCCCCCTTCTTCTTCCTCACGTGCATGAGCTCCCCAAATCCTTGGAACCAGGGGTGGAGATCTTCCTCCGTTATGTGGGCATCCAGGCCACCCACGAAGATTGTCGTATTATACCAGTTCGATTGGTGGTGGACGTAGCGCAGCCCGTAGTATCTGCCATTGTGGCTTGGGTACTTACAGTTTTCGTTGCAGGGGCCGGGGGTTTCTGGCGGGTTGGCGCAGCGGGTGTCGATGACCGACCACTCATCTTTGTCCGAGGTGGACTGGTCGGTTGGAGGCTTAGACGATGTAGCCTGGGCCTCAAGAGACGTGTTGGTCTGGACCTCAGCGGATGGGCTGGCAAGATTTTCAGTGGCTGGGCTGGCCCGGTTGGCGGATGTCGAGGTGGCATGAACCTCAGTCGGCGGAGGAGTATGGCCTTTGGAAGACGACTTGGCTTCGTCCCCAGAAGTGTCCTCGGTGGGAGGTCGATAAAGACGATACGGGCTGCACTGAGGATCGTATCCATAGTGCTGATAAAAAGGGTTGTACAAGGGTGGTACCATTTCCTGCTCGGTGTCCACCCGGTCGCCACCGGCTTTTAGACCAAACCAGCCATCTCGTGGGTGTCGAGAAAACCTGGAAATCTCGGAATACTTCTCAGCCGTGAGCAGGAAGGGCAGCAGAGGCTGTGGAAGGACAACGACCCAGCCCCAGGACTTGTCTTCCAGTTGCATTGCATAAATATACATGATCTGGAACTTCCTTTTCGCGACGTGAGTCAAGAGGCGCTGCCTCTCATTCTGTGGTACTCGATCATGAGTTGGGTTGGCGTGTAAGTTGAGAGGTCGGGCTTGATTATGGGGTGAAGGAAGCAGTTGAGGGTGCGATTGTTTCAGTAACTGGAACTCAGAGGTGGGTGTTGCGTTGTCTGTGGGAAGAAGATTGAACTGGTTGAAGAAGTGTCATGTGGGCTTTTCGCTTTTCGGCGTATTTTCCATTTTTATATCAAGAACTCGCCAATTCCTGCAATTTCTGTTTAGACGCGTTGATGAAATGCGATCAATTATCCCAGTAGATTCTGAGGCACAGGGTGATTTCAGCCAACAATTGTATCACTTGTCACTGTACTAGCAATCTAGAGTCGATACATAAATTGAGATAAATAACAATGGCACAGCATCTAGGAGCCGCCAGAGAGGAGCATTAGACGGATCGATGATGGCTTGGTGTCCGCGCGATACCTAATCGTGTTCTTATTTTCTCACTTTCTTCTTTGGATATTTCGCCCTGCAAGCAATCATCGAGTGATTCCTAACTTGTGTTCTTGTGCAAATAATTCTCAAAGGACAACTTTTGCGTGGTGTCTAGTTTGGCAGTGAAATGGCGGTACGCAGACACAACCATACGTTACATAGTAACTGACTGCAAGTCAAACAGCCAAGCTATTTTCAAGTCCTGGTCGATGCCTTTCAATCTTTCAAGCGTACCGACCGCAGGACTGAACGCCTTGGTGGTCGACGCGGTCTAAGCCTCTAGCACAAACCGACGCAAGTAGCCGCCGAACACGGACTTTGGAGATTGGGCGAAATGGAAAACATTTTCTTGCTCACTTAGGAGAGCTCACGGCCACATTATCGTTGAATGGGTGTAGAACTAGACTAACTGGGCATTTCGATGACTTACCAGTCAGTTAGGAAGCCCTGACTTTGCGGGTTCTCTTTCCCGCTCTCATTCTCGCGGACGGCGTCAATCTGGCCTTGCTATCTAGCTTTGGCGTGCCTGTTCCGCAGAGCCACCTGAACAATATTAAATGTGTCTCTACGACTCTAGAACTGATTTCACGCTCAATCATGCTCTGCTTTTAGCAAATCAGAGCAGCATTGTTGGACCTCCCTGCTATCGTTGAAAATGTGTTCGAGGCCACTTGCCGAAATGAAGCTGGAGGTATAATTCAACGGTTGGTCGCGCAGGTCAACTGTTGCACAGAGACTAGGTCATCCCTAGGGTAGAGCAGAGCAATAAACACGCATTCAACATGCCGAATTGGGGTTTCTGACCGAAAGAAGACGCTACGAACAGTCGAGGTCTGCTATCTCGGAGGGTGCAAGGGATTGGAGCTCGGCAATTTGCACGTTCCGAGATGGCTTGCGTTGGCGCAGAGCAATGCTGACGATCTTCAATATTAGGCTCCGGCCGCAACGCATGTCAGCCGCTAGGGATCGAACACTCCCTGCCGAGCCCAGCCCCCTCTTGATAGTGACGATTAGAATGGAGTGATGGTACGCCTGCTCCGCGAAACTCTCTTGTAATGAGTGTTACCTGCGGTTGACCGGGAGCTACTGCATGGGTCATGTCACATCGTCTCTTACCATCTGCTCGTGTGATTCGTCATGTCGGTATTCCCAGGTCACCGCAAACCTTCGTTCCATGTTCTTACTGGTAGTTCAATATACACATATTAGGTGTTTAACCCAGGGCTCCGCGTATCCTCTGCACTCTTTAATGACTTCACCCTCAAATATATCGATCCTCTCAGCGACTCTTGGACGGGGCCTTTGCATGCTTCGTAAACAGCGATGCAGCTTCTTACGGTTGCAATCGGGCTTGTGCTCTGTGTCTCCGTAGATTCCTTTAAGGCGTTGGCCTACAGTACGCCTGGAAAGTACACCGTCGATGGCGTGAGGTCTTCTTAACGTTATCCCGTCCAAAGTATAGCAGACTGACTGGTGTTAATAGTGCAACGCACTCTCGTCCCTGTTCCCGGACGACGTGGCTTACCCCAACTCAACTGCATACATCGCAGAAAACACGTACTGGTCGAACAGACAGGGCGAAGTCAGCCCAGCATGCATTGTCACACCCAGGTCTACGGCCAACGTGAGTGCCATCATCAAGTCCCTGACCGAGCTTCAGGCGCCTTTCACCGTGAAGGCTGGCGGGCACAGTGCTTTCGCCGGTGGCTCCAACATTGATCAGGGGGTCACTATTAACTTACTTCACCTGAACGATATCGTTGTGACCAACAACTCACAGACGGTCTCGGTTGGGTCCGGGAGTCGATGGATTCAAGTGACCGAGGTCCTCGATCCGCTGGGCCTGGGGGTGGTCGGCGGTCGGGTTGCCGACGTCGGGGTTGCCGGCCTCCTCCTTGGAGGCGGTATATCGTACTTCTCTGGGTTCCGAGGCTGGGCCTGTGACAACGTGCAGAACTACGAGGTCGTCCTGTCCTCTGGTGAGATAGTTAACGCGGCCCCCAACGAGAACAAGGACCTGTTCTGGGCGCTTCGGGGCGGCGGCGGGTCTAACTTCGGCATCGTGACCCGCTTCGACCTCGACGTATTCCCACAGGGCGACATCTGGTCCAGCACTGCTATTTATCCTGGTGCCCTAAACACCACCTTGATACCGCTCTTTAAAAACCTCACGACGAATGGGCTCCCGGAGGATCCGCAGGCGCACACTTACTTCATCATGACTTACTCCCCAGAGCTGGGCGGGCACGTTGCGGCCGCCAGTCTTTATCACGCGAAACCCCCTGAGGCCAGTACGACACCGGCGATATTCGCCCCGCTCAAGTCTGCCCCTGGGATTTTATCGGATACAGTTACTGTAGAGAACGTCTCTACAGCGCTCCGTGCGATCGACCAGCCGTACGGGGACCGCCAGACATGGTGGGACACGTCTGTGTTGGTCACGGAATCGGACCTGTTGACGGACGTCGTGCCTCTTTGGGAAGAGGTAGTCTCTACCTTCCTATCAGCCGCTGCTGAGAGCCCCGGACCCAACGGCACAGCTTCGATGGTAACACCATACCTTGTGTTCCAGCCCATACCCCTGAATATCCTCACAGCAATGCAAAAGAACGGCGGAAACGCGCTGGGTCTGAGGCCGAGCGACGGGCCGTTGATGCTGGTGCAACTCACTGTTATCTGGGACGATGCGAATCTGGATGAGCTGATTGAGGGTGAGCTAAGCCAGTTGATCGAAAAGGTCGAGGCTATGGCAGCAGAGAGAGGCGAGTTGAAGGGTTTTGTGTATATGAACTATGCGGGCAGCACCCAGCAGGTCTTGAAGAGATATGGACCGGAAAGCTTTGAGAGGTTGAAGGATGTGGCGAGTCAATACGACCCTGAGGGGCTACTACAGAACTTATGGAAAGGATATTTCCAGCTAGGTGGGGTGGAGTAGACGCAGTCGCCGACTTCACATCATTTGACGTTTTAACATCTTCATATGCTTATGTTGATACATACAAAGTCATAAGCTTCTTCTATTTCAATTGGAATATTCTGCGGAGGGTGGCTAGAAAGGTGGCCGTCCCACGGAATGTGGTGCCGCAAAAGGTTATCGTACAGGAAGCTATACTGTAGGAATCCATCCTGTAAAATGTTATCCTACAGCAGGCTGCCTTCACGATCGCTTGAGATTAACATTTCATCGCATATAAGATAAAGCCAGAAAGCTCTTCTATCCCAAAGTTAGAATATCATATTCTAGTCCTTTCCAAGTGTCACGTCAAAAGAATAAAGAGCAACGCCTCCATGTGACCATGCCAATTTGCTTAAGCATGTGAAATTCACTACATCTTACACATCAGTGGCTTCAGCCACACTGTGTTTTTTTTTTTTTTTAAAAAAAAAAGAAATCAACTGTTTATTAATCTATCTGCTATCTGCTCGGCTTTCCAACCATTCCTCCCCAAGCTAATGCATAAATTTGCATACGGCTTAATACATCTATTTACATTCCACTAATAAAGAAACCTTAAAACCCCCCTTTCTGCTCTTCATTCTTGTAAGTATGTGTGTGACTGGGCCCCATTGACTGCTAGCATTCACTGAGGCTCTAGGCCCCATACCCCTTAGGCATAAAACCCCTTGCCTATAATTTCCACCAACCCTCTTCCTTATAAAAAAGGTAGCGCTATCTTGCTTTAAATTAATATATTAAGGATAGCTGCCTTGTCTTTATATTCCCTCTTATAATAATTCTTAATTACTTTTTAATACTTTAAAGTATTTTTTAATTATTTATAAAAAAAAAAAAATTTAAAGTAATATAACATAATTATATTCTTTATATTATTTAATGCATTATAAATATTTTATTTAATTTTCTTTAAAAGTTTTATAATAACTTTATAAAATAATTATAAATAATTATTAAGGAAATTATTTTTTATTTTAAATTTTATTAAAATTAACTTTAAAGTTAAATATTAATTATAATCAAACTTTATTTTATAAAATCTTTCTTATAATATAAATTAATATAAATAAAAAAGGTTAACCTTTTAATTTAAATTTTATTTATAAAATTATTATATTTTATAAAAATCTTTTTAAGTTTTATTAAAAAATTAATTATTTAACTTTAATTTTAAATTATTTATATATTAATAATTTTAATTTATAATATTATTAAAACTTATTTATATTAACCTTATTTATATAATTATTATAAGGTTATTATTATTATCTTAATTATAAGCTATAATTATATTTAAAACTTATTATTATTAACATTATATTATCTTTTTAACGCTAGGTGTTTAAGCGTTTATCACTTTATAAAGGGACTGGATGCATATTGCTATGAAGCATATATATATATATAGATTAAAAACGAGACCACCACTTACACATCAGTACCGGATGATTTCCCAGAATCCACAGTTACCTGTCTGCTGACAGGTGCTCATTGTCCATTACTTCTCCCCATCAAGCTGAATCAGACACCGGTGGCCGCTGGGCACCATGAGGAAATGTAGGGCAGGCTCCATGTCCTTGTCGCACATACCCTCCAGCTCGGAAACGGTGGCATCAGGGAAGTTGCGGAAGAAGCGAGCTGCCATCAGGCGTAGCTCGATGCGAGCCAGGTGGCGGCCGAGGCAGGCTGTTTGGACGCGGTAACCGTTAGGATGATACCGTAAGGAACAAAGAACAAGGTCATCTTGGTGTTGCACAGCACTTACTTCTCGAGCCACCGCCAAAAGGCAAGGTGCAGTCTCTCATCTCCTGGGTCGTGTGCTCCCACCTGTCCGGGTTGAAGCGGTATGGGTCAGGGAAGGCGTGCTCATCTCGATGCAAGCTATATGACTGGGTTGATACGGTAGCCCCGCCGGGGATGAACTGGCCCGCGAGCTCGACGCCACCTGCGGGCACGATGCGCGGAAGGCCGCACGGCAGGGCGTTATAAAGGCGCAGCGTCTCGTTCACACACCAGTTCAGGTAGGGCATGTCCCTGAGGTCGTCGTAGCCAAAGTCCTCGGGCATGGTCGCCAGCTCCCGGAGGAGCTTGGCCTTGACGTCGGGCAGCTTGCAGATGGCCCAGATGAGGTAGATCATGGAGTTGGCCGTGGTGTCGCTGCCGCCCACGATGAAGACCTGCGCGTTGTCCCGGATCTCGATCGGCGACCACGTGTCCTCGGCACCGGCCGTGTAGAGCTTGGAGAAGACGGTCGGCTTGGTGTCCTCGCCCTGCTCCTCTACGCGCCTGGCGTGGCGGTCCAGCGCGCTCTGGGCGTAGTCAAAGGTCCGGTACTGGATCTTGGTGGCGTCTTGGAAGACTGGGATGGGGAGGTACAGGGAGAGCCAGGATATGGTGGGGAACATGGAGCGCAGGCCTCCCACGAAGCCCAGGCTGACAAAGTCATTGATGGATCGGTTTTTCTTGACATCGGTTAGCATCCGGCTTACACACACGCTCTCACACACACAAACGCCACGATGAACTGAGAGTAGAGTCGTAACACACCTGGCCACTCTCCAGCTGGCCGAAGCCTTCGCCGAAGGTCAAATCGCCGATCACGTCAAACGAGAGGAACATGAACCACTTGGCAACATCTGCGGCGCCGCGCGTCTTGTTCTCCTCGCGGATGCGCTCGATGGCGAGGCGCACCTTGCCGTCGATGCGGGGCAGGAAGGTCTTGAGGCCCGTCTCGGACATGGGGTTCGACAGGAGGCGCTTGTACTTGCGGTGGATCTCTGGGCGGATCTCGTTGAAGACGCTGGACGAGTCGGTGATGAGGAGCGAGTAGAAGGGCGACTTGAGGAAGCCGCCCTTGACGCCGTGGATGACGCGCTGGCATGCCGGCGCGTCCGAGATGTCGACCTCGTGCGGGTTGATGCGCACCGCCGGCCCGTACTTTTCGTGCAGCGCGTGCACCCAGTCCGGGTGGTGCGCGGTGATGACGAAGTATGTTGAGACGAGGGTGGTGTACCGTGTGTACCACGGCCCCGGGATGTTTGACAAGGGGTTTGTGAGCCCGGCGTAGATGTACTGTGAGATTTCATGTCTATTATTAGTTACGAACGCTTGAATGGCAGAGTGTCCTCATACCCTAGCCAGCGCGACGCAGAGGAGCGCGCCTCCAAGGTAGAGCGCATTCGATTTGATGAAATCCATTTTCAAGCACAAGGCGACATCGACTACGGGCGGCGGTTGATCCACCAACCTAGCACAGACTGTAAAGCCCTCCAACGATGCATCGTCTTTATAATATTCATTACAAGCTCAGGTTTTGTCCGTATTTCATCGCCTACGTCCGTCGGAAAACCCCAAATAGGCCGTTCGGACAAGAGGGTGGCAGGGTAGCAGGTTGGTTTCGTTATGAAACGATTATGCGGGTGGTCGGCTGTGCTTGACCAGGTACCTAATAAAGGCTGCAGTCGGATGGTTTCGATGTTTCCAGTGTTTCTTCAAAAGAACCAATGTGGGATTCTCCTTGGGTATTAGACTTTCGGGAGTTCCCAGCAATGACATTTGATGGGGACTCGCCCACCTTTCCACCCCCACCCCTCTCCTCCCCTGTGGCCCCTGCCCGGACAACTCAAACTACCGCTTCGCTTTCCATATGCACGGTTGCTTCAACCCGCAAGCACCGCCTCAGAGTCCTGTGACGGGTTGTCGCTTTCAATACGCGGCAAACCCAAGTCACCAACAACCACGACCCGCTCAGCTGGGCGTCGGCTTTGTCCACCACGAAGCCCACCTCCTGATCTGCTCTAGATCTGTGTTGTGCTGTTCAGCAGGCATGTAACCCCACCTGCCTTTTTCCTTCAACCAGCACCGATTCGGCAGGTAAGCTTCGAGCATGTAGTAGTTGTCACGGTGGAAAGGAAAGTCCGCCGACGGGGGCCCGCTCCTCTCCAGGAAAGCGTCAGCCCCGCTCGCCATATCTTGAAGCGTCATGCGGAACCGCGGCCGCCTGTTGCCCTTGTTGGCGCTGTGCCTCGATATGGCCCTCACGGTGGAGGCTAGATGGGCCTCGAGGATGGCAGCATACCACAGGGGAGAAGCAGCACCGCTGACGGCGGGATTGACAGCCTTCAACACGATGGCTTCGTGCGAGATCAGGAGCTTGCTATTCCACTTGGGCTGTCTGCCGCGAGGAATGATGGGGAGCGGTTCGCCCTTGTCCAGGTCATCCTGCCAGTGCGCGAAGTCGACAGCCAGGCAGAGGAGGTTCCACCGCAGGATGCACGTCATGCAGGTACACACCAGAGCCGGGTCAGGGGGCGCCACATGCTGATAGTAGGGCCTCCTGTGGATATCAAGCTTCTTCTGCCTTTCGGGGTGCCGCACCAGATCCCGAAGGCCTGGGTCTTCGATTTCCGAGAGCAGGGCTGGGAGGCGTACGCACTTCTCCAGACACGAGTAGCGCCGCTGGATGATGGTGCGCGCGACCAGCGCAGGGTGATCCTGGATGAGGAATGTGTTGAGGGTGCGGCATGTGCGGGAGAGCCGGAAAACGTCACTGGGACGGATAAAGGCGAGGACATGGATCAATATGTCAAAGGGCAGGTCGAGAAAGCTGCGGTGGTCGCTCGGTGCTTTTTTGCTGCGACCCTGCTTCCTGCGAAGACGCTCGCTCCGCTTTGAGTAGACGGTGAGACTGCCGTCCTCGGCAACTCTTTCTCGGCCTGATCTTGAGATTGCTTTGGCTTCCGCTCCAGCAGTTTCCGCGCTTGCCATGGTCTCCAGTGCAGCTGGCTGCTGTCTTGTCTCCTCCTGGGTCATTTTGGGTATCCTGGGGCGACCTCGGGAGAGTCTGCCTGGGCTCTTGAGCAGAGCGAAGCCAAGATGTGAGCCTTGAGTGGCACTAGCCAGACTAATAAGAAGAAAGAAGTCTACTGTCGGCTGCAGCCAAAGTCGCCACGCCTGCCCCACTTGATCTTCTGCTGAGTCAGCAGTGGCCATCACCACATGCCCAGTACAACCCAGGTCCTGTCTTAAGTCCGGTGTCCCGTGATGTATGTATCGCTGCGTGTCGCCGACTCGGCTTGAATCATGGTTCGGGAACGGTAGTAGAGGTCTCTGCAGCGAAAGGGGGAATCATTGATATCTCTGTCTAGGTCTGAGATGCTATAAACAACAAAAGAGCAATCCACAGAACACCTTCATCTAGTCATTATTAAAAGGCCGGGGCAGTGCACACCGCTATCCATCCCGCTCCTATGTAATTTTCCATCGGGTTCATCATTGATCATAAGTTTAAGCCGCACCGGAAACCTTCAGCACCTGCTCGTGACCCTGGAACAGCTCTGGCTTGGCCTTGTACAGGCTCTGGACGATGCGCTGCACGAGTTGGCGCGTCTCGCCCTGGAGCTGCTCCTCGGGCGGGCTCAGCACCTTCTCGAAGACCCCGATGAGCTTAGGGGTCAGGCTCTGTACGGTAGGCTCATTGGCTTCGTCTGCAGATGGGTTAGTCATTTGTTTCTGGGCTGGGCCAGGTGAGGTCAACTTACAGAGCTTGTACAGGCACTCGTACACAGGATTGTTCTCCTCAAAGTCCTCCTTCAGCGGAAGCAGACCAACGAGGACAGGGAGCACGTCGGCAATTGGCATCCTATCAGGGTGGGAGATGATCATGCGGCACACGCAGCCCGTTGCGTTGTCCTTGAGGCGCGCGTGGTCGATGGAAAGCATAGGCTCCAACTTGGTGAGGATGTCTGTGTAGCTCGGCAGGTAGGTGTTGGCATCGGTGGAGTGGTAGATGAGCTGACCAGTTGCGTAAGCGGCGTTGCTCTTGGTCTCGGGGTCAGGGTCGGTGAGACGCTTGAGCAGGAGCTTGAGGATCGCAGGCGTGTAAGGGGACACAGCCGCGCCCATGTGTGCGGCGCACTCGGCAATCACACCGACCGATGTTGAGCGCTCGAGGTCCTCTTGAGAGGAGGCAAACTTCATGACTGGCTTCTCGAAGATCTTCCACAGCTCACCGAACTGAGAACCCATGGCAGCGGCCAGCCCTATGACCACGTCGAGGGCGGTGTCGATGATGAGCCAGTCGTACTCAGAAGAGCCAGCGTCAGCGTCCTGCTCTTCCTCATCACCGAGATCCTGCTGGCAGGGATGCGAGCGGGTGATCAGGGTGGTCAGAACGGTAACGGTCTGTTCGACCATCTTGTCCTGTGTGAGAATGGCAGGCCCACACGCTTTCAGAGTCGCAGCCACATTGCGGTTGATGTCGGTGACGACGTTGCTTCGGACGTTGTTAGCCTTTGTCCATGCCAAGCGATGGGTGCACATGATCGAGTGGGAAGATATTTCAGGAGTAGATGTGACGTTTTCTCAGCACCCGCAATGAATTTGCGTCTGAGTGAGCTGGGTATAACGCTGGATGCTCATCATAAAAGGAGTAAGGGGCACAAGATAAGGGATGTCAACATACCGATCGGTCTCATCAGGCCACAGCTTCAGTGTGGCCGCAGAGACAATCTCGCCCAGCTTGGTCAGGGTCTCCGACGGGGCCTGCTTGGGAGGGAAGCCGGCCTCCCACTTGGTGCCGGTCTGCTCCTCAAACAGCTCGTAGACACGCGCGTACGACCGCCACAAAGTACTGATGGCCGCCTTGCGGCAGCCTTCGTAGCTGTGCTCAACAAGCGGTGTGATATTCTCCAGCGCCTTCTCGAGGTATTGCGAGATCTCAGCAAGACCACAAGCGTGGGTGACCACGTCTCCAAGGACCTCAATGGCGACTTCCTTCTCCATTGCTTCGGGGGTGACGCCGTAGTCTCCCCAGTCGTCGTCATCCTCATCCTCGAAGCCGTCGTCCTCCATGGCCTCTTCGCCCTCTTCGGGTTCTCGGATCTTGATCTTCCTGCCACCTTGGATGATACCATCCTCCGTGCCAATGATGGCCTTCTCCTCCTCGGACAAGTTCAGGACGAGCTCCTCTTCCTCAAGCTCCAGGCTGTCAAAGAGACCCTTGAAAACCCCGGCGATGAATGGGGCAAATTCCTTGCCGTAGACCTTGGACAGGGCGCTCCACAAGATGAAGCTCGTCTCCCGCAGCCTTGGGTTTCCGAGGTTCAGTGCCTCCTCACTTGCCTTCATGAGCTCCAAAACATAAGGCTGGAACTTCTGGGGGCCGACTGCCGTGGCAATGCGGCCCATGGCGTCGCACACACCGCTCCGAAGCTCAAGCTCATCTTCACTGTCCTTGATCTGGATGAAGGGTCCCAGGGCAGTCATCGTGTTCTCGAAGTAGGGGGCGAAGTGTTCCTCCATGGCACCGGCGATAGCGCCGAGGGCACCGGCGGCGGCACCCTTGACCTTGAAGTCGGGATGAGACAGGAGGTTGCCGATGGGAGTGATCAGCTCTGGGCCGTACTTCTGCATGACATCAGAGTCGAAACCAGACGCCAAAGCATCCAGAGCAGCGCAAGAACACCGCATGATCTCGACGTTCTTCTTGGCAACATCCGCATCCGAGGTCTCGGCGCTGGCAGCCTGGATGTTCTTCAGCAACGCCTCGACGAGAGCATCACGGTCATCCGACAATTCCTCGGCCATCTCGTCGGCAATGCGAGTCAGCCCAATGAGAGCGGTGTGGCGGACTCCAGCATCGGGGTCATTGAGCAGACGCAGGACGATGGGCATGATCATCTTGAGCTGGGTGGAGACAAAGTCTGGGGCGCCCTCGGCCACGGTGCCCAGAGCAAGGACACCAGACTTGCGGAATCCAGGCTCTGCGGATGATGCGAACTTGGGTAGAGCATCGAGCAAAGGCACGATGACCTGACGAGGGGGCAGGTCGGATGCCAGCTGGTCTAGGAGAGACAGGGCTGCCCGCGCAGGTGTGATCTCGTCCTCGTCCTCGTCGTCATCGATTTCGGTGAGAATCTCCATGCTCTTGAGGGTCAGCTGCGAGCCCATGTCCTTCATACCCTGCACCTTCATCCGGCGGTAGCGGACAGCCTGTGCCAGGAAGGCGAGAGCCTGGCAGCGCACCTCATCGTCGGCGTTCTTGTTGGCAGCCAGCTCAGCCATGAAGGCCATGAGGTCTCGCAGGTGAGAGCCGAGAAGGACAGGCTCGTAAGCAAGGAACTGCTGGAAGACCTCAAATGACTGCTTGGTCTTCTCGTCGTCGTTGCTCTCCACGGCATCCTTCAGGACGTTGACCATGGGAGAAATGAGTTGCTGAACAGCCGTGACAGCAGCCTCATCCTCTTCCGGCTCGACGAGCATCAACACAGCGCCGATAGACATGACGGTGTTGACCCGGACATCCGCGCTCTGAGGGTCCTTGATGGTGTTGGAGAAGAGGGAGAGCAGGTCGCGGACCTTCTCGGCAAAGTGCGTGGGGTTCTCATCGAGAATCGCGTAGATGATGTAGGACCCGACCTCACGGTGCGAGACATCGCTGTTGCTAGCGAGGGTGAAGAGAGAAGGAATCAGGTCCGGCCATGCGCTGTCGTCGAGGTCGAGGCTGGCAATGGCGGCAATGACACGGGACTCGGAGTGTCTGCACTTGGCGTGCTGCTCCTTCATGGTGGCCTCGACCAGATGCTGGCGGACGCCAGCCTTCTGCTCTGCGGGTATCTTCTCCCAGTACTTGGGGACGAGGCGGGCAGCCTGGACGGCGGCCTGCTGGCGGAGGTTGACATCCTCGCTGGTGCAGACGATCTCGACCAGGAGGAGCAGGGACTCGGGCTTGGAGTAGAAGTTCTTCTGGAGCTCTGCCGTGACGGCCTTGACCCTCTGCGTGTCGGCTGCGTAGGAAGCGAGGTCAGTCAAGTGCAACATGAGGAGGCAGGCACACAGGACCGGGGAAACCCGCTGCGACCATGGGCCCGTAGGACTCGGGCGGACGAGGGGAAGAGAGCGCGACGGTCGTGTCAACTGTACTTACGGATCTGGCTCTCTTGGAGCAGAGTCACCAGTCTTTGACGATCCATCTTGATCAAACACAGAACAGGTAGCCCTGGGAAGTACAGAAGGAAAAGGAGGAAGACTCCAAGGGCATGGAGGAGAAAAAGAAAAGGCGAAAGAGGACGACCAGTTGGGCAGCAGGAAGAACCCTGCGTGGAGAGGAAAATTTGTTGCGGGCGCCTACAAAAATTTAGGCCCCTCATTCTCGTTATCGCTTATCGCGCCTCCAGAGTTGTCTGTACCCATGGTACTGCTGCTACACTACACCCTGGCCCTTGTACCTATGTAGACTATCACTGCGCTGGGCATGTGAAGTGCCACAGGCAGAGTGGCTGCAGAACATCACCACCGACATGCGTGCATATTCACTCGGTACATGGCACAGTATGGCACTGGAGCCTTTTTCCAACACAGTCAAATGTGGCATAGTTCTCAATCCGGGGATAAGTCATTCATCCTGTCGTCCTTCCCTTGGGTCGCTATACAAGTAACCCTGCTTGAACCCTACCTCCAACAAGCTGACCCTTCCCCCACCCCCAACACCAACATTGGAAGCAAACCAGACCTCATACACTTTCCAATGTGGTATACCCAGCCCGCTGCTTCACCCGGTCCTCAAATGTTGCTGCGGGTCGCTCTCCACGGATATCATTGTCACGCTGCAAGCTGTTCAAGAAATCCATGACCGGCTTGAATTCAGGCTTCGTGAAAAGCACCATCAGCTGGTTGCTGTCTTCTTCCGGCAGCGTGTCTCCACCACACGCCTGTCCCTTGAGGAGGAGCATGAACTGCAGTGCCGTCCCCAGCGGGAACGCCGCGAGCAGCAGGTTGGCTTTGCCCGCATTTGGGTTGAAGAAGAATGGCAAGAGCCGGCTCATATTACTGACGTACTGGCCGAGATTGACGGCGTCCTTGATGTCAGAAAGGAAAGGGGGCACACTAGCCGGGCGCTTTTGGCTGTGCACCCGCATGGCGTTATAGAGATAAAGGCAAGTCGCCCAGTACAGCAGCATCGTGTACATGCCTGGCAACTCTTCAATCGCTCGTTCATCCTCAACCCCGAGGCCGGACGTGTCCACATATCTCTGTCCAGGTGGCAGGGCACCATACCAGGCCTGAAGTTGGGCGTGGAGACTGAGGCAGGTGGCTACGAGTCGCCGGTATTCCTCGTGTTTCATTTCGGGGTCGGCCAGGCTCTCACAATTGTCCACGTCTTCGAAAAATCCTGGAACCTCGACAAGGATGTCCAGAAGCTGGTCTTTGGTTCCCTTTGCGTGCTTTGTCCAGGGGACAGTCTTCCACTCATCTCGGCTCAGCGATGTCCGCTTGCGCCGTTTGATGCCGTCGATTATCTGCTCCATGTTCAGCTGGTGATATCCAATGCTTGGTTTGCTTCGAGTTCGAGCCCCTGTCACTCACCCCAAACAGCCGGCTGTCAAGGAATATGTGGTGTCCATCGCCTTCAACGGCACTCCATGGTGTTCTCGTCTCCATGATGGCCAAAGACCCGAGGTTGTGCGAGCGCCAGCGGCGTGCTAGCTCCAATAGATTCCCAGTCCTTGCCCCAAACAACATCTCATAAGTGGTCATAAACTTGGTCGCAAGCAACACCGCGTCGCTCTTGACTCGGGACGGCGACTTCAGTGCTGCCGTCGCTTCTAGGAGTGCTTTCCCATACGCCTTCACGCCTTCCTCTCCCATCCACTGACAATTTTCCCTCTCGGCTAGCATCCCAAGGCTCACGGCCAGGACGGCAGACCTCAGAGCTGGCTCCGTTCGGAATAAACTCTGGGAGGTCCTGGTCCACTCCCTCGAGGCCGTTCGGTCCCGGCACTTGGGTAAGAACAAGTCCCAGTACAGGGAGACATACTTCTCCTCGCTGGCGGTCCTGGACAGAGACCCGGGGAGGGTAATCTCCACGGCTTCGTAATTGCTGTGGCGCCGATGCGCCAATGCGGAAGACGGCGAACGGCCTGCGAGGCTTGGTGGAGGGCCCAGCTTCTTCGCCGCTGAGCCTGTGTCGCGGGATTTGATCACCGCTTTTTGGGTTGAAGCAGTAGAGTGCACGAATATGCGCTCACGCTCGTACCCACCGCACTGAATGTTTGCTTTGATACATTGTGTACAAGATGGGCGCTGGTAGTCGCACTGGCACGTGGGGATTGACTGTTAGCTTCCTTGGAGTTCTAAGGTGATGGTGATGTGGCAGGGGGTCTGGGCATGATCTGAGGCAAGCAGCTGTTGGGGGAGCGGGCACTCACCCCTTTCTTCCTTTTTCGACATGTCAAGCATGCCTTCGACCGTCCGGGAACCCCCACCATCGGACTCAGAGTCTATGAATTCGATCAAAGCTCCATACAATCGAGGAGCGCGCAATGCTTCCCTTTTGAGTATCTGGCCCCTTGGCAGTTACTAACGCAGGCGTCGTCATCGACATGATTCTAGATGTCAGTCATCTGCACGTGAGAATCCTCTTAGCTGCAGCTACTGTAGGCCGACACCTCTAACGTCGTCTGATTCTGGAGGGGTGATTACTCCGTCACAACCGTCAGGCGGCGACCAGTGCTATGCAGCACAAAGGAAGGCTAGCAGTGCCTAGTCTGACTTGGTAAGCCACGCATATGGATCATTGTGAGGAAGGAGCACCGCACAGACCCCTTATGGGCATTGATAGGTAGTCCTCGGCCCCTCGGCCCTTCGGCACAAACTTAAACAAAACAAGAACCAGAAACCAAATACAACCCTCTTATTACAAAACCTCCTAACAACTTAGCTTAAATTACAAGAATTAAATACCAGCCAATAACCACTATAAATATAGCCTTATTTAATAAAATAATAAAAGCATTACCATAAATTTACCATTAATTTCCTACTACTCGCTTTACTCTCACATAATCATCTTAATACTTATTTATCTAAGCTATTTAATTATATAGCTTCGCAAGATTCCACAGCTAAACTTAAATAATTACATGCTTAACAGCTCTTGCAGTTTCACTGCCTATCCGGGTTAACCACCTTAAGCCATACCCTTTAAATCCATTTAATCAAGATATACCTTAAATTAAACCCATTTAAATTAAAGATCACGCAAAGCGCATAATTAATCAACAATACTTAAAATTAAAGGACATAAAATATCTTATTAAATATATTAAATTAAAACTTAAATTCCGTAAATAAATAATCTTATTATAATTAAAATTTAATATATAATTATTATTTAATAAATTTACTTAATATAATTTACTAATAAATAATGAATATTAATAAGTAGCGGATTTTCGCAATTTTACTTAACTTTAATTAATATTAATACTACCTTAAGGCTAATAAATAAATAAAAAGTTAGCATTAATTAATATTAACTGCTTTTAATTTCTTATTTTTAATTAATTTAATTAATTTAAAGTAATTAATATAAGTATAATATAAGTTTAAAATAAGCAACTTTTAATAAGAAATCTGCATTTTATATTAAATAATATTAATTATATTATTAAAAACGTAGTTTATTATAAATTATTAAAATAAATATATTTATATTATTTAATGCTAATTAAGCTAAATTTGCTATAATATAATTAAAATTTAATTAACTTAACCCTTTTTTATTTTTTTTATAAGTTTTTGCATTATACTTAATTTTACTATAATTACTATATTATTATTTAGTTAATTTACTGCAAACCGCCTCCTTAACACTATTATTTATTTTATTAATTAATTGCTTTCCTTTTTATTTTTCTTAAATAAAAGCTTAAGATTTCTTAATAATAAGTGCTTTTTTAAGCTATATTTAAGTTCTTTTAGCCTTTTAATATTTAATAAGTATTATATTAATATCCTTAAAAGTATAAACTTAATTTTTTAAAATAATAAGTTTATGCATTATTATTTATGCATTCTTTGCTATTTAATTAATAGCCTTTATAATTAATATAAGGAAGCTTTTTTAATAAACGGAAATCTTACCTTTAATAAAGCTTAATTATTTAATAATTTACTAAGCATTAAATAATGTTTAAGATTTTTAATGCTAAGGAGAAATGAAAAGGGTTTATACAAAAGTTTATAAATGCATATTAAGCTTAAAAATAATAAAATCTAGGTTTTAAGGTAAAGTTTTAGCTTTTTTAAACGCTACCTTAATATTATTCTTTTTAAAAATCTTATTATAAATTATTATAAATATAAGAAAGAACTTAAACTTAATAATATAGTTAATAAATACTTAAATAAAGAGGTTAATTTAATTATTATATATATACTTTAAAGGTAAGTATAACGCAATATTTAATAGCTAAAGTAAATAAAAAGAATATAATAATATATTAATAAAAATAATATTATTATTTTTATAATATTAATTAAATTTAATTAATATATAGCTCTTATAATTATTTAATATTAATATTTAATATATACCCTTTATTTATTACTTAATATGCTTATTAAAATATTAAACTTATTTTAAATTAATTTTATTATTTATTTATTTATTTAAAGTAAGTTTAATAACTTAATTATTTAAAAAACCTAACTTTATAACTTAGCTTATAAAGTAATAAGCACCTTAAATAATTATAAATAATAAAATATATTAACTTTTTATATTAATATATTTAATAATTATAGCTTATTTTTAATTATTAAGCTAAATTAATTTAACCTTTTTATGCTTATTAATATATATAATTATTATTAATATAATAATTATATTTATTATAAAGTTAGTTTTATTAAAGTTATAAAGATTATTATTTATAATTTTATACTTAGTTATTATATTATAAAGCAGCTTAAATTAATTCTTAATAATCTTTTTAAATCTTTATAAAAAGCTCTTTAATAATTATAAGAATAATTAAATTTAATTTTAAAAGTAAGTTATAGGTTTATAAAGCATTAAGCTTAATGTTTATTAATAAGTTTAATATTATATAATATTAATAAAAGGTTAATTATATCTTTTATATTAAAAAGTTATAAGGAAAATCCTTAAGCATTTTATTTAATAATATATTAAATAAGTATTTACTTTTTAATTTAATTAAGTTTATATATATTAATATATAATTCTTTATAAAAGTATTATTAATTTATTTTGCAATAAAATATAGTTTTTATTATGGGCTAGCCTTGAGTTGTTTGCCGTAAGGTATTTAAATAAGGTTTATATTTAAAGTATAAAAAAGAAGGTTTACTTTCTATTTATACCTATATTAAAGCTTATTCTTATAAGGCTAAAGCCCATTAATTAATTATAATGAATAAAGCCTAAACCATAATACATCCTTCTTTTTTAAATCCTTATAATAAGCCTTAAAGAGTAATTATATAATAAAAAATAAAGGATATTATAGTTTAATTATAAATTAAATATTGCTCTTTGCTTAGCTATTTAATTATATTTTAATACCTTTTAATTATATTAAAGGCTTAGCTTATTATTTATAATTAACATACCTTAGCCCTTATAATTTAATATATTAATTAAAGTAAGTTAATAAGAAATAATTATTTAAGCATAAGCTAGTAATTAAATTAATAATATTTTTATAATCTTTTAATGCAAGTTTTTTATATAAACTTCCTTATTTAAAACCTTAAAATTATAGATTTATTATATAATTTATAATTAATTAGCGCTTAATTATAAGTAATTTACTTTATTAATAGGAATTTCTTAAATTTTAAATATTTTTATAATATTAAATTAATTAGCATGCAGCTAGTTTACTTTAAGCTTAGGTTAATATTAAGCTAGCATTGCTTTTAGGCTTTACTTTATAAAAAGAAATTTTACACCCCTTTAAATAAACTCCTTTTCCTTGCTAATCTTAATTAATAAAAGCTATATCCTTATTTTTTTGTAATAATTAAAGTAGTTATGCTTATAATAACTAAGTTAGTTATATATAAAATACTTAACTTTACTTATTAAAATCATTGCAATATTAATATTTATTGCTTTATTATTTTAGGGTTAAGTATTATTCTTTTTTATTATAGTATTAAAAATGCCCTTATATTATTATAAAGTAAAGTAAAAGGCCTTAAATATATTTAGCTATTTTTTATAATTAAGCTAAGCTTTTATTATAAAGATTAAGCTATTAGTTATTAATAATATTTTATATTTATTTAGCTAACTTTAAGTTTTTGCTATATAAGTTAATTAATTAAATTAAATAAGAAATTTTGCTATCTTTTCTTTATAATATTATTATAATATAATTAAGCTAAGCTTAATATATTTTTGCTTAAAAGGGTTTTTAAGCATAAAGCAAACCTTTTTTAAAAAGCTTTTTAATTATTTTTTAAACATTTTTATAAAATTAACATAAGGCAAAAATTAATTATAAAAAGTTCTTAGCTAATTAAATATATAAAAGAACTAAGCCTTTTTAATGCTAATTACCTCTTTATTTATTATAAATTTAGCCTTTATCTTTATTAGCTAAATTGCTAAATATTCCTAAGATAAGAGTTCCTTTAAATAAAAAAGGGCTTAATAAGCTGCTATTATTCTTTTTAAGTCTTGTTATATTAGGTTTTATATAATTATATTATAAGTTTATAATATAAAAGGATTTTAAATATATATTATAAGCTAGCCTTAGGTTATTTATTATAAGGTATTTAAATAGGGTTTATATTTAAAGTATAAAGAAGAAGGTTTACTCTTTATTTATATTTGCATTAAAGCCTATTCTTATAAGGCCAAAGCCTATTAATTAATTATAATGGGCAAAGCTTAAACTATAATAGTTTTAAGGATATAAAAGATCTTAACAGCTTAAGTTATAAGTAAGGGTTTTATATTATTTTTTTAAATTTTTAAATTACTTAAATAGCTAAAAGAATTTTGTCTTTTTTAAATAAAAAATATATTAATAATTGCTAATTTTTTATATTAAATATTTAAATAGGTAAATTAAAGTAAGATTAATATAAAAAATTAAGATATAATTAGCATTAAAATAAAACCTTTTTATTAAAAATTAATTACTTTAAACTTTATTGCAATTACTTTTAATTACTTTAAATTAATTAAATTAATTAAAAATAAGGAATTAAAAATAATTAGCATTAATTAATACTAACTTTTTATTTATTTATTAACCTTAAGATAATGCTAATATTAACTAAAGTTAAGTAAAGTTGCGAAAATCCGCTATTTATTAATATTTACTACTTATTAATAAACCACGTTATAAATAATTATTTATTATAAACTTAATATAATAATTATTATTAATAATTATTATAATAACTTATAATAATATTTATTTAAAAACTTTAAATAAAAAAATAAAATAAATATAATATTACTTAAAGTATAATTTTAAATTTTTTCTTAAAAATTATAAACTTTTTCCTTTTTTTCCTTTTATTTATCTTTATTTAATAAAAGTTATATTTAAAAATAACTTTATAATTTAAGTTTATTATTATTAATAATAATAATAATAATAAAACTTATTTAAAAACAAACTTAAATAATATAAATTTAAAATAAAGTATTAAATTATAATTTCTTTTAAAAAATTTAAAGCCTTAAATTAAAATTATTAATAATATTATATATTAAAATAATTAAATTAATTTAATAAGTATTATAAGAAACTTATATATTATATTATAAATAATTTTTAATTTTAATAATATTAAAATTAATATACTTAATAAAATTATAAATTTCCTTGTCTTTATTTACTTAATATAAAAATAAAAATATAATAAAAAGCTTTTATAATTTATTAAAAAGCATAAAAAAGAAATATACATAATACTTTTTTTATATAAATATAAAAATAAATTAATTAATTAAAAAAGCCTTAACTTTATTGTATTTTTTATAATATTTATTTAATATAATAAATTATAATACTTTTTTTTAAATTAAATTTAATTTTAAATTTTTTTTTAAATAATAATGATTTTAATAAAATTATTATAATTATTAAACTTATATTTAATAAAATTTAAAAAAAATTATTTAAAAAACTATTTTTTCTTAATAATTATTCCTTTAATAATAATTTTTTTACTTTTATTATATTATCTTAAATAAAAAAATATAATTTAAAATATATTTATAATTTATTATATTTATAATTAAAAACTTAATAATTTTTTAATTTATATAACCTTTTTTATTTATAATAAAATATGATAATATTAATTTATTTTTCTTATTAATAATATTTTTATTTTTAATAAATTAATAAAAATATAAGTAATATAAAATAAAAAATATTTAATTTATAATTAAAATTAATAAATAATAATCTTAAATTATAAAATTATAAATAAAAAATATTAAATAAAAACCTAATAGAAAATACTTTAAATATAATTTAATCTTAATATTATATATTTTATTAACTTAAAAAAGCAATTAATTAAAAAAAATTAATATCTTAAAAAATAGCTATTATACTTTATTTATTAAAATAATTATAAATACATTTAATACTTTATTTATTATTTAAAATATTATAAATATTATTATTAAATTATTTAATAATAAATATATTCTTAAATTAAAAGTTTTTATAAATAACTTTAAATTAAATAAAAATATAAAAATATTAATTATAAAAAATATAATAAATTATAAAATAAATTTTAAAATAATTTTAATATTTTAAATAATAAAAATAAAAATTATAAAGAAAATAAAAATAATTTAAGCTTAATGCTTTACTTAAAAAATAAAAAATAAAATAATTAATTTATTAAATATATTTTTTAAAATTATTTATTAATTATAAGGGCGCTGTTATTTTTTTAAAGGGGGTAAATTATAAGGAAGAAGCATTGCATAAACCCCTTATAGGCATTAATAGGTAGTCCTTAGCCCCTTAACCCTTCGGCACAAACTTAGATAGAATAAGAACCAGAAACCGAATACAACCCTCTTATTGCAGAACCCCCTGACAATCATGGCCCCAGGACTTGAGCTCCAGCTAATTAAGCCTCACCAGTCACTTGGCGTATGCTAAACCATGCTTGGAAGCATTGCGCGCCTGCAGTCGATTGGCGGCAGCCGTTTGGATCTCTAGAATGGCGAGTGTTCTCGCGTATGAAAGACTTCGATGACGAAGAAAGGCCGTGCCTACGGAAAGGAAGCGGAGTCAGAAATGGGAAGTGTCAACTCGTGAACCAAATATAATAAGTGCGCATCGACTTGTCAGCCTTAATAGGAAACACTCCACGCCGTCACCACGAGAGTTACAAAACTCCCGGAGTATAAGAATGGAAGGGACGCAGCATATTGTGTATTTCGAAGCCACCGTTGACATATATCTCTTTCATCTTTACACATCCTCACCCAGGAGCTCAGTGTACCGAAACCTCCGTCTTCAACCACCCATTGACCAACATGGCAGACTCGAACAAAGCACGGGAAAACTCCTTCGTACGCACCATGCGTAAAGCCTACCATCCCATCGGGTTCAAGAAAGGCTACAACTTCGTCCTCTGGTTCATCTTCGCAGGTGCCCTCATGGGCTTCACTCTGGCGAGACTCCAATATCTCGATTTCCACGGCGTCTTCTTCAGCGCTGGTGACTCTGGAGGTAACCACGCAGCTCCTGGAGAGTGCTTGTACTACCTTCGTGGGCATGAGAAAATCGGCATTATCCTGCACCTCGCGACAATACTCCCTGCATCCTTCCTCGTCGTCTTCCAGTTCATCCCCGCTATTCGCTACAAGGCTATGCTTTCCCACAGGCTCAATGGATATCTTGTCATCATACTATCACTCCTAGGGACTGCGGGAGTGTTGATGATTGCCGGGCATGCTTTCGGCGGCACCCTGGCGACCCAATATGCCACCGGTTTTATCTCCATTGCATTTGTCGGCGCTCTGATCATGGCATATATCAACATCAAGAGACTTCAGATCGAGCAGCACAGGGCCTGGATGCTCAGAGCCTGGTTCTACGTGAGTATAGTCCAACACCCACTTCCATTTTGCCTTTCTTCGTATTCTTTGTATGCATTCAATTCATGAGAGTAGTGCAGCCAGTACTGACACACAAGACCAACAGGCTGGTTGTGTCATTACTATTCGGATAATCCAGATAAGTGCCGCCCAGATTATTTCGCAAATCGGAGGCTACTATGATGCACGCCCGTGCGAGCAAATCGAGTACATCCTCGGCTCTCAAGAGGAATCAGTCAACGCTTATCCGGACTGCACCCCTTATTTCAACGGATCAGATCCCTCAAAGCAGGTTGCTGTTGAAGCCAATTTCAATGGCGACCCAGTCCAGCTTACTGTAGCTCTGGGGTCTAATTTTGGGAGCGCTATGTGGCTGGCCTTCGCAATCCATGCCATTGGTGTTGAGATATATGTGAGCGACAACCAACTTGTCTTCATTTGATGATCCAGAGCGCACTTGGTCAATACGGCAAGGCTGACAGAAGGACGCTAACAGCTCAAGCTCACGCCTGCTGAGTCGGAGCGGCTTCGAAATGTCTCGTACCAAAGACAGCTTGAGGCTGGAATTAAGAACCCAGGAAGAGCCGGTTTGACGGTAGACCGCTTCGGTGACTCAGAGAAATGGAGTCCGAGGATTAGCAAGAGTGAGAGCGGGGCAAAAGCCCAAGCCACTGAGGGAAAGGTTTCTAACCCAAGTGCTGATATTTAATTTGAAGTCTTCCTAGACTTAACACACCGCGGGTTGGTTAATGGCAATGAGCTGACTATGGGACGATTACACCAATATATTACACGCCTGGGCTTCTGAGAGCCCAGGTGCTCTATAATACAGAGATAGAGTCTAACTAGATGAGGTGTACATCCACACCCACTAATAACATTGATGATGAACGCCGAATATGCATTACCCAGCTCTCAGCCATTGACCGGAGAGAGCTTCTTGCCCTCTCCCACAATTATAATCCGATGCCCAATGGTTCAGGCTGTATGATAGTTCAAGCCTCTCTCTTTGAATACTGGCCCGACTGATGGGTTGGCTAGTCAGACGATGGGCAATGACACATGTGATCCTTTGCTCCGACTCGATGAGCAAGACCGAATGCAGGTCATTGAGACGAGCTCGAGTTTGACGAAATCGACTGATCTGACCGGGTGGATGAGATGGAGTCGCTGCGCATGAAAGGTATGCCATCCGGCGTTCCGTCCGAGAAGCGGCTTGTGTCCCTCCTTTTGCTGATGTTGAGGGGAAGTGGAACAGCTGGACTTGGTGAAACGTCGTATGGTCTGAAACCGAGCTCATCGATGAAATCATCGATAGCGTTGATAATGAGGCTTGTAGTCTTTTGGGACATGTTGATCTCGCGCGCTCTAGAGGTTGGAGGTGAACCTAAGTCTCCTTGATGACGTTTTGGGAAGAGGGTTATGACAGAAAGCCCGAGGAGATCTCTAAACAATCCAACTATGAAGCTGATAAGTATAATTCTGAAGATATTGCAAATGAGACAGGGTGATGTATCGCTCTCTTTATCTGGACCATGATCCTGTAGAACAAGTTGCTGCGGATGGAGGATCCACTTGGGGGTGGGTATCACTGCAGGAGGGCTTAAACTGGGCCACTGCGCCGCAGACAGCAACTATGGAGACTGCTTTGTCCCTGCAGCGATACCATGCCAAACACGTGTGGCCTAGGCCAGTTCTGTCAGCTTGACTCCCAACTTGCAATCGGTTGGAACGGACTTTTGACTTGTCACAAACCCACAATGCGACCATGGGATACTTTGAGAGGACTGAGTGCCATTCACATTTGAACAACGGGAATTTTTGTCTGCCTTATGCTCTAATCGAAACATCTGGAAGCATACTGGTCACTTCTTCGCACTCAACGGATCCGGGTGGGTGGTACGCAACCAGCACAATTGGGAGGTGGGTGTACTTGTGGCGGAGTGGCTCAGCGCTGCAGGTCACCGGGACCGAGCTGAAAATAGCAACTGAACAGCTTTAAGCGCCGACAATCGAAAGCCACGAGTCTTGCATTTGGGTGACGTGGTCTGCACCACCTAGGCTCTTCTTCCACAGGTTTGCTCACACTCACCGCTCCAAAGGATTGCCAAAGCCTTGCACCATCCTTCCACCTGTCCGAAGCACGCGACTGTGGGCTGTCCCGTTGCACTGCAGTATACCCTATTCAGGCACGGAGACGATCCCTTAGCTGTGACCTTGGGCCATAACATTTGGAGCAGATGGTTCTACACCACCGAGTGGTTCTACGCCGTAAGCTATTACATTGTATGACGGCCGGATTACCAGTGGCAATGCGAGGCTGGTCTTCGAGAATACACAACAACGCTCACTTTGCTCTCCTGACTACTATATATATTTTGAAATGTGATCAGATTAGAAGGACGGTTGCGCAGCAGGGAAGTAGCTCTGACTTCAGGAGTAGATAGCAATGAGCAACAAGCAATGATCAACATACAACCCATCAGCCTGGACCTGAACCGACTCTCAGATGCGCTGCAGCCGTCAACCGAGTTCTCTCTCTCTAATTCAATATCGATGTACCATGTTATTTATTTCATAGATCTCATTGCCACCATCTCCCCAACATATTCACCCCAGCTGATTCTCTGATACGAGGATTCAGGCTATCCTACATTCAGCTTAAGCCGCCGAGATGGATTGGTGTAGTCGGTATTCTAGTCATCACTTAGAGACCCCGCACAGATTCTCCTGCTAACACTCATCTGGTCCCAAGAGCAGCCCGGGGAGACCTTGGTATCATCTTTCACGTGGAGATTGCATTCCATCATGCCAAAAACACCACAGTTCAGTCTTTCCATTCATTCTTTCACACCTCCATCTCTCCCGGTCCGGCCGGCCGATGCCCCAGCCTCGTTCTTCCGATCCCCACTTATTCCTTCCGCCGCCGCAGCCACGTCACCGCTGTGCTTCACCGTGTCTCTGCCGTCTTCTCGAGACACCAACCCTGTTGGCAAGTACGACCCTCGCTATTAAAAGGCTACTTTAGTTATCCCCTCCGGAGCACATAGCCTCTTAGAACTTAGACAGAATAATATTAATACATGATTGCTTCCCATATAATTATCATATATATAAGAAACTTATTAATACTAATTAATAATCATAGGCATTATAAATTAATAAGGTAAAAAAGGTAATTTTATAAGGATTTTCTTAACTTAAAAATTATATCTTTCTTATTAATAAGCGCTATATAATAATAACTACTTCTTTAAGCCTCCTTATATTATTAAACTCCCTAAGTAAACATTATAAAGATTAAATAAATTAAGTGGCATTCTTTATAATATTTATATATATTTATTGCTATTTAAGAGATATATATTTATTATGTATAAAACTTTATTAAAAATAAACTTATTATAAACCTATCTTTAACTCTTCTTTAAAACTTAGCAAAACTTAATAAAAACTTTATTTTATTAATAAATAAATCTTATAATTATTATAATTATTAAGGCTAATATAATGCTATATTATAAGTAAGCATAAGTTATGCTTTTAGCTAATGCAAAAGGACTTAATAATAAGAAAAAGCCCTAGCTTTTAAGGCTTAAAGGAATTAATAACTTTTTCCTTTTAATAATTATAATTTATTTATTATTAAATTATTATTATTAATTTATTTTTAAATATTATTTATTTTATTAATATTTCTTTATTTTATTAATCTTATTCTTTATAATATTTATTATAAAAACTTATAAGCATAATTAATAATGCTAAAAAGCTATTAATCCTTATTAAAAGATATATAATTAATAAAATGCTTACTTAAATTTTAATTAATTTAACTTATTATAAATATATTAACTTAAAATTATAATTTATAGCCCTTATATAAAAAGCATTAATAAAATACTTAATTACTTACTTAATAAATACTTTAATAAATTATATATAATAAAATCTTTATAATAATAACCTTTTTATTATTTATTATAAAAATTATATAATATAAATATAAGTAATATTTAAAGCATTGCTAAATCCTTATTAATAATACTTAAAAGTCTTTTTTTAAATATAAGGTATTATATATAAAATATAATAATTAATTTATAATATTATAATTAATTATTATAGCTTAAATTAAGGCAAAATTAAAATAAATTAATAATAAGCTTTATAATACTTTATTAGCCTTAAAATTAAGCATAAATAAATATTATATATAACTTTAAAGATAGTAATTATAAGTATAGCCTTTATAAGAATTATAAGTAAGCTTTAAATAATAATAGTTGCTAAGAAAATAATCCTTAAAATAACTTTTATTATTATTGCCGGCTTTAAGCATATAATTATAAAACCTAAACTTAATAATGCCGCTAGCTTTAAGCGCGTAATTATAAAACCTAAACTTAGTAATGCAATTTATTAAAAATTAATATAGCTAATAAGGCTTATTATTATTAGCAAAGAAATAAAGATAAAGCTTATATTAAAGATATATATTATATTTAGCATAACCTTAAGCTACCTTAAAAATACCTTTATTAAATAAAAAGTATAACTTATATAAAACTCTTTCTTTATAATATATTCTTAATAAATGCTTAAATTTAATAAAGTTAATATAATTTATAAAAATCTTTAATAACTTTTATAAGTATATTAAGGATTTATATAATTTATTAAATAATAAGATAAAGATATTTTTTAATATTTATTATTATGCTAAAATTTAGCTAAGTTAATTCCATATAATATTTCCTTAAATACTTAAAGATTAAGCTAAGTTTTATTACTTTTATATTATAAATTAAATTAATATATTTATAATAATATACCTTAAAATTAAAATATATTTTAATATAAACTTTAATTATTAACATTATTATATAAATTAAATAATAATAATATTTATAAAGATTAAAATATAAAACTTAAATAAAAACTTATATAAAGTTTTATATATAATGCTTAATAAGCTATAACTTTGCTAATAAGCATTAAGTTAAAACTATGCTAAGGAAAATAACTTAAAAATAATAATAATTAAAGCTTATAAAGAAGTTTTTAAGCTAAAAATAGCTTTTTTTAAGCTAATGTAATGGGCTTAAGCTATTGCCCAAGCCTTATATAGTGTAGCTAGATAATTTAAGGGAGCTTGGATTATTATATACCTTTTAGCCTAGTTAAAAAGGTTACTGCTTTACAGCTTATAAGAGAAGGCGCTAGCCAGCTTGCAGCCCTTTTAGGGCTAGCCCATAATAAATAATTTAAGCTCTAGGGTTAAAAGTTTAAGTTATAGTCTTACCTAATTATAAAGAAGATCTTTAGCTTAAAAAGGTAATATCGCGGGTAAGCCTTGGGGGTAATTATATTATTATATTAAGGGGGTCCTGGGGGAAGGGGCTATATAATAGGCTTGGGCTATTACCCAAGCCTGATATAGTGTGGTTAAATAATTTAAGAAAGCTTGGATTATTACATACCTTTTAGCCTAGTTAAAAAGGTTGCTGCTTTGCAGCTTATGGAAGAAGGCGCTAGCCAGCCTGCAGCCCCTCTGGGGCCAGCCCATAACAGCTAGCTTAATTATATAAAGAATTATTTTTAAACTTAAGATTTATAATAAAAATATAGCTTAATTATATAATTATAATTTATATTATAAATAAAGTTTTAAATTAATATTATATTAATTATAAATATAATAGCTAAAAGCTAAGGAAAGGGTAATAATTATAATTTTAAGTATTTTAAGGACATTAAAGGTTTAGCTAATTAAACCCAAGCTATTTAAGCTTTAAGTAGGTAAGATCTTATAATATTAATTATAAAGCTTAAAATAATAATGCTTGCAAAAAAGGAAAATGCTTTTAAAAGAAAAAATATTATATTTATAAGAAGAAAGGATGTTAATTAATTAAATATTTAATTAATAAATAATAATTAATAAAAAAAAGCTACTTAATATAATATAAATATAAAGATTATAATAATAACTTTAATATTTTTTAAGTAAGTTTAAGGAATATAAAATAAATAATAAAGATAAATTTTATAAATATAAAGATAAATAAAATTAAAATAATAATTATAATGATAATGCTTATATTATAAAGATAAGACTTAATAAGAAGGTTTATTATATAAATATTAATTTCTTAATTAATAAAGTATTTATATATTAAATTATTAAAGATAATGTTTTTTAAATAAAAATAATTATTATCGCTAGCTAATTTATTTTAAAGAATAAATATAATTAAACTTATTTTTAAGAAATCTTATTAAATATAAGAGTATTATTAATATTTATAGCTAAATATAAGTAATTCCTTATATTATAATAAAAAGACTTAAAATATTAAATTAATATAATTATTATAAGAAAAGTTAAAGTTAAATTTAATAATAAGATAATTATTAATTTGCTTAGTATAATAAAGGTTTTTATCTTAATTAATTATATTAACGTTTATATTATTTAAGTATAAACTTTATTCTTACTTTATTTAATAAATATAAATAAGCTTTAAATATATTATAATAATATTATAAATAAAATAATTTCCTTTAATAATATAATTATTATATTAATACTTAAAAAATAAGGAGACTTTATTATTGCTTTAAATATTTATTAATAAATTAATTATATTAAATATTTAAAAAAGCTAGTAATTTAAATATTAATAAATAAACAATAATAAAAATTAAGAAAATATATTATTATTATTAAATAAATAAATGTATATTTAAATGTTTTAAGTTTATATTATATAATAATTATAAATTTAATTATAAAATCTTAATTAATATAATATACTTAAGCAAATATTTAATTTTTTATATTATAAATTAAGCTATTACTTTTTAAGGAGCAAAATTCTTAAATTTTATATTTATAAAGATTATATAATAAACATTATAAATACTTTAAATTAATATATATTAAGAATTATTAAATGTTATTAAATATAATATAAAAATAAACTTTACATTTTTGGAATTTTATTTAAAGGTATAAATAATGAGAATTAAATATAAATAAGTCCTTATAAAGATATATTAATTTATTAAGAAAGTTAAGAAATATTATTAAGCCCTTAAATAAGTATATAAAATCTTATATATTAAATTATATAATAATATAAATAATAATGCTATTTTATAAATAATTATAAAAGTTATTAATAATATTATTAAATTAAATAAATTAATTTTTATGTTTTTAATTTTTAATATTTACTTATAAATATTATATAAATTATTATTATTACCTTTAATATAAAAATAAATAAAGATTATTTTAAAGGCTATAAAAATATTATAAAAAACTATAATTAAATAATAAGTATAAAATGCATTAAATATTAAAATTAAACTTATTTTTAATATAAAATATTTATTATAATATTAAGTTTATATATTGTTATAGGCTGGCCCTAAAGGGGCTGCAAGCTAGCTAGCGCCTTCTTTCATAAGCTGCAAAAGCAGCAACTAATTAAGCCAAAAGGTACGTAATAATCCAAGCTCCCTTGGATTACCTAGCCACACTATATAAGGCTTGGGCTTCCAGCCCAAGCCCATCACATATATAAAAAGAGAAAAAAGGATAAAAAGGTTTATATAAGGTTATTATTATAAATAGCTATAATATAACCTTAAATATATTAAACAAAATTATAATATTTAAATTAATAATTATTTAATTATATTATTAAAATAATAATAAAGAAATGTAATCTTTATAAGTAAAAAACTTAATTATAAAACCTTAAATGCAACTTATTATATAATTATTATTATTAAAAATAAAAAACTATTTTATTATATCATATATTTTAAAAAATGAAAATAAAAACTATAACTTAATAATTAAATTAAGATAAAATAAGATTATTATAATATTAAGCTTATTATTTAAAACATTTAATAAACTAAAAATTAATAACTTTATTATTAAAGGTATCTTTTAAATTAAAAAATAATTAATAAAGTAATATAATAAATATTATTTCTTTAAGTTTTATATAATATAAAAGGTAAAAAGTAAAATTATAAAATTATATAAGAAATCTTAATTTATTATTTAAAGTTATAATAATAATAAAAAGAAATTAATTTTAATGCAAAGCTTAATTATTTAAAGAATAAGCTAATAAATAATTCTTATACTTATTTCCTTATTACTTTTAAAAAAAATATAATTCTTATACTTTAAAATATTATTTAAATTTACTTTTAAGCAAAGTTAAAATTATATAAAATAATCCTTATAAAGTTATTAAAAAAATTAAAAACTAAATACTCTTTAAGCATAATTATTTATATTATTTAATCCTTATATAGCATAATAAAATCCAGCATTTATTAATTTAATATATATTAAAAATATTATTAATAAAAGCTTAAAATAAATTACTTTATATATAATTCTTACTTAATAATTATAAAGCCTATATAACTCTTTAAAATAATAAATATATAAATAAATAATATATTAATTTTATTTATATTAAAATATTAAGATAAAAAGGAAATTAAAATAAAAGTTATAAAATTATAAGGAAAATTAAAATAAAAGCTAATGCTTAAAAATTTAATAAATTATAATAAAGCTTATATAATTATAAATATTATTAACTTAATTATTACTTAATAAAAAGGATAAGTTAATAAAGGTAAGTTTATTAATATAATAATTAAAAATGCTTTTTAAAAATATTTTAAATAAAGAGCTTATAAAGTATATATAGCTTTAATTTATTAATTAAAAGCTTTATATAATCTTTTAATAGCTATATAAGTATAAAACTTAAAAATACGAAATTATAAAAGCTTAAATATATAATTATTATAATAAATAAATAACGCTATATAAGGAATTAAATATATACCCTTAAATTTTAAAATAATAAAACTTTTTATATTTATAAATAAATTATTTATAAATAATTAAAACTTAATATTTTAATTTAAATATATTATGGTTTAAGCTTTGCTCATTATAATTAGTTAATAAGCTTTAGCTTTATAAGAATAGGCTTTAATATAAGTATAAATGAAAAGCAAATCTTTTTCTTTATACTTTAAATATAAACCTTATTTAAATACCTTATAATAAATAACCTAAGGTTAGCTTATAATATATATTTAAAGTCTTTTTATATTATAAACTTATAATATAATTATATAAAATTTAATATAATAAAACTTAAAAAAAATAATAATAACTTATTAAACCTATTTTTATTTTAAGGAACTTTTATCTTAAAAATACTTAGCAACTTAATTAATAAAAATAAAGGTTAAGTTTATAATAAATAAAAAGGTAATTAATGCTAAAGAGGCTTAATTCTTTTATATATTTAATTAATTAAAAACTTTTTATAATTAATTTTTACTTTATATTAATTTTATAAAGATATTTAAGGAATAGCTAAAAAGCTTTTTAAAAAAGGTTTGTTTTATGTTTAAAAATCCTCTTAAATAAAAATATATTAAGCTTAGCTTAATTATATTATAATAATGCTATAAGGAAGGAATAATAAAATTTCTTATTTAATTTAATTAATTAGCTTATATAATAAAAATTTAAAGTTAATTAAATAAGTATAAAATATTATTAATAATTAATAGCTTAATCTTTATAATAAAAGCTTAGCTTAATTATAAAAAGTAATTAAATATATTTAAAGCCTTTTGCTTTATTTTATAATAATATAAAGATATTTTTAATATTATAATAAAGAAAGATAATATTTAACTTTAAAATAATAAAGTAATAAATATTAATATTATAATGATTTTAATAAATAAAGTTAAATATTTTATATATAATTAATTTAATTATTATAAATATAATTATTTTAATTATTATAAAAGAATAAGGATATAGCTTTTATTAATTAAGATTAATAAGGGAAAGGAGTTTATTTAAAGGGGTATAAATTTTTTTTATAAGATAAGGCTTAAAAGTATTATTAGCTTAATATTAACTTAAGCTTAAAGTAAATTAACTATATATTAATTAATTTAATATTATAAAAATACTTAAAATTTAAGAAATTTTTATTAATAAAGTAAATTGCTTATAATTAAGTATTAATTAATTATAAATTATATAATAAATTTATAATTTTAAGGTTTTAAATAAAAAAGCTTATATAAAAAGCTTATATTAAAGAATTATAAAAATATTATTAATTTAATTGCTAGCTTATACTTAAATAATTATTTTTTATTAACTTATTTTAATTAATATATTAAATTATAAATATTAAGGCATATTAATTATAAATAATAAGTTAAGCCTTTAATATAATTAAAAAGCATTAAAGTATAATTAAATAGCTAAGTAAAGAGCAATATTTAATTTATAATTAAATTATAATGTTCTTTATTTTTTATTATATAATTACTCTTTAAGGCTTATTATAAGAACTTAAAAAAGGAAGATATATTATAATTTAAACTTTGCTTATTATAATTAATTAATAGGCTTTAGCTTTATAAAAATAGGCTTTAATGTAAATATAAATAGGGAGTAAATCTTTTCCTTTATACTTTAAATATAAACCTTATTTAAATACCTTATAATAAATAACTTAAGGCTAGCCTATAATAAAATATATTATTATTTTTATAAATAAAACTTATAAGGAAATTAAGGGATTTATAATAATAAGTAATATTTTTTATTAATTATTAATAAAGTATAAATATATTATTTAAAGCATATTAATAAATAAAATTTATAATATAATATATAAAGTAAATATTAAAATTTCCTTAATTATAATAATTAAAATAATTATAAAATAACTCTTATTATTAAATATACCTTTAATTATTTATATAAATTTATATAACTTATATAAATACTTTATAAAGTTAAAAATAATAAAAAAAGCGCCTTATAATTAATATTATATTATTATAAGAATTATATAAAATAAGAAAGATTATTAAAGTAAGGTAAATAAATAAAAAAGATAATCTTATTAATATAATAATAAAATTAACTTTAAATATTATATTATAAAAGCTTATTAATAATAATAAGCTTTATATATAAATAAAAATAAATTAATTAAAAAACTTAAAGTAACCTTTTTTTACTAAGAAAGAAGCAATTTATTGCTAGCATCTTTTTTTTTAATTTTGCTATCGCTAATTATAAAACCTTATACTTTTTAAATTTAAATTTTTAATATAAACTTTAACCTTTTATACTTTAATTTAAACCTTTTTAATACCTTATTATATATAAAAATAATCTTATAATTATTAATATTATTAATAATTATTATTTTAAAGTTAACCTTATTATTATTATTACTTTTTATTATTATTTATTAATAATAATATTAAAATTAACTTTTATTAAATTTATTTATAATTTATTAACTTTTCTTATAATTAAAGAATAAATTAATAATTATTATATAATAATTATAAAGTTTTATATTATAAATATTTATTTTAATTATTAAATTCTTATAAAATCTTGTTTTTATTATAATAAAGAATATTAATAATAATTTATAAAAATTATTTCATACTTTTATTAATATGCTTTATAAAAATAATAATAATAAGTAAAATTATTTAATAAATATTATATTTATTATTTGCATTAAGAATATATTTAATATAATTATTATTATAATTCTTAAATAAAATTAAGATTTTTTATAAATATTATAATTATAATCTTAATTAATAAGATAAATATTATAATTATAATTTTAATAAATAATAAAATAAAGATTATAATTATTATTAAAATTATAAAAAGGGTTAAAATTACCTTAAATAATAAAAATAAAGATAAGGTTATTAATTTTATTAATTTTTATAATAAGGTTATTATTAATAATGCTTATTTAATAAATATTAATAAGGATGTTAATAATAATAAATTTTATTTACTTACTTATTTAATAAATATAAATAAAGATATTAATAATAATAACTTTTATTTACTTACTTATTTAATAAATATAAATATGGATATTAATAATAATTTAATTATTATTAATAATAAAGATAATTAAAATTAAATTAATAAAATCTTAATAAAGATTATAAAGATTGCTTTTAACTTTATTATTATATTAAGTATTAAATAAATAAGCTATTTATTAAAATAAATTCTTAAGGAATTATTAAAATTAATAAGTTAAAGGTTATAATTATAATTTAAATTAAAATAATTTTCTTAAATAATATTATTATAATAACTATTATTTAAATTATTAATAACTTTTAATATTAAAATAAATAAATATCTTTTAATAATATAATTAAAAAGCTATATATTTATATTAAAAATATTAAAACTTTTAATATAAAATTATATAATATCTTTAATAATAAAAATTATTAAGATAATTATTATTTTAAATATTAAATTATTATAATCTTTATAATAAATAATTTAATAAGAATTTTAATTTTAAGTATCTTTTATATATATTAAATTAAAAAGATTAAGTTATTAAAAAGTTAAATTATTATATTAACTTAAATTTAAAACTTTTTATATTAAATTATTAATAAGCATATATAAAGCTTATATATAAAATATTTTATTAAAAAATATATATTATTACTTAAATAACTTAAGTAAAAAAATATTATTTAAAAAATTATAAAAAATAATAAAAAGTAAAAAAAGAAGTTAATAAATAAGTAAGTTGCTTATAATGCTTAATTTTAAGAAAATAAAAAGTAATTAAAGAAAGTTAATTTAAAGTAATATTAAGTATATTTTAATAATAAAAGTAAGAATAATATTAATAATATTTATATTATAAAAGTATATAATAAAAATAAATATAAGTTAAAGGGTTTAACATTAACTTTATAAGTATTAACTTTTCTTATAAAGAAGAAAATTAAAATTAAAATTTTTATAAAAAAGTTAATAATTTTTATAAAAAAGCAATCTTAAAAGCTAAGTATTAAGGATAAGGATTATAAGGTTTAAGAAATGGTATAATAATAAAGGTTGCAAGGATTTACTTTAAAATTTATAATAAGTTATAATTTTAAGCCTTTTTAATAATGCTTTTTTATAATAAAGATTATATATATTTAATATATAATAAATTATAATTTTAAATTAATTATAATAAGGATTATATATACTTATTAAAAAAAGAGAAAACTTTAAGTATTGGTAAATATAACCCTTGCTATTAAAAAGTTACTTTAGTTATCCCCTTTAAGGCACATAGCCTCTTAAAACTTAGATAGAATAATATTAATATATGATTGCTTCCTATATGATTATCATACATACAAGAAACCTACCAACAGACCCGCTCTATCCGGCAACCCATCTGCAACTTTCGTATAATTTTGAAGGCAGCGGCAAGGTCTTTATTCCGGATGTCATCACATCTCGAGATCTAGTCCAGTCCGGCAGCGAGGCTGAGCCGAGTCTCTATGAGGTGCAGGCACTTGCGGACAAAGTACCGCGCGCGAAAGTCAACGAGGGAGCGCCTAGTGCGGCTGAGGTCTACGTGTATGCCTGGCGTGGCGAGAAGTTGCTGGGAAAGTGGAACGTGGGGCGAGTTGAGGGCCTTGGGATCGTAGGTGTTGGCAAGTACGACCCTCGCACTTAAAAGGCTACTTTAGTTATCCCCTCCGGGGCACGTAGCCTCTTAAAACTTAAACAGAATAATACCAATATATAATTGCTTCTTATATAATTATTATATATATAAAAGACCTATTAATATTGATTTATAATTATAAGCATTATAAATTAATAAGATAAAAAAGGCAACCTTATAAGGATTTCCCTAACCTAAAAATTACATTTTCCTTATTAATAAGCATTATATAATAATAATTACTTTTTTAGGCCTCTTTACATTATTAAACTTCCTAAGTAAATATTGCAAAGATTAAATAAACTAAGTAATATTCCCTATAATATTTATATATATATTTATTATTATTTAAGAAATATATATTTATTATACATAAGACTTTATTAAAAACAAACTTATCTTTAAATCCTCTTTAAAATTTAGCAAAACTTAATAAAGCTCCATTTTATTAACAAATAAAGCTTATAATTATTATAATTATTAAATAAATAAAGCTTATAATTATTATAACTACTAAAGCTAATACAACGCTATATTACAAGCAAATGTAAATTATATATTATACTTTTAATTAATATAAAAGGACTTAATAATAAGAAAAAACCCTAGCTTTTAAAGCTTAAAGGAATTAATAACTTTTTCCTCTTAATAATTATAACTTACTTATTATTAAATTATTATTATTAACTTACTTTTAAATAATACTTACTTTATTAATATCTTTTTATTTTATTAATTTTACTTTTTATAATATTTATTATAAAAACTTATAAGAATAATTAATAACGCTAAAAAGCTATTAACTCTTATTAAAGGGTATATAATTAATAAAATGCTTGCTTAAACTTTAATTAACTTAGCTTACTATAAATATATTAACTTAAAACTATAGTTTATAGCCCTTATATAAAAAGCATTAGTAAAATACTTAATTACTTACCTAGTAAATATTTAAGCAAGCTATATATAATAAAACCTTTATATTATAAGTTTGCCTTAAGCGTTTGCTAAAAGGTATTTAAAAAGAGTTATGAATTGCAATATTTAAAAAGTAAGTTAGGCTTTAAAAGGGCTTAACTTTAAATTTATCTTTTAAGTATATGCTTTATTATATAAAAGGGTTAGGTGCAATATAAGCTTAGCATAAGCATACATTATAGCTTAAGCAATAACTTAAGCTTATTACATAGCCTCCTTTTCGCTTTTATATTACACGTAATAAGGATTAAACCCAAGGCTTTTACGATTTTATACCAGTTATGCATTTACTATATATGCAATCCTTTATTAACATATTATAATTATATATAAGCTATATATATTAACTATATTAAGGCTTATTTATGCTTAATTAAAGAGGTGCAAGCTATATATCCTTATCTTACCTTATTAATATTTATATACTTTATAATATTATAACGCATTAAGTTAGCATTATATTATAATATATGCTAAGTACAATATATATTAACTATATACCTAGCTTATTATTATTTATTTATTATAATAATTATAAGCTATTAATTCTTTAATCTTAGTTTATATTATAATGCAGCTATTTTATACCTAAGTTTCTTTTATATTATAATTATAAAATATTATAACCTTTCCTTAATAACTTTATTATATAACTATAGCATTAATTACTTATTACCGCTATATACTTATATTACTTTACCTTACCTTAATTATTATTATTAATTAAATAAATTACTTTTATTATTACCTTATCTTCTTTTTAGCCTATACTTAATGCACAACCTTAATAACCTTAATAAAGATATTCCCGCCAATTAGCAATACCCTTATAATTCCTTATTACCCATATTATAAACCCAATTCTTTAATTAATAATACCCCCCTTATATTATTAATAGCAATACTTACATAATTCCTTATTATATTAACCTACTTATTTTATAATACGCTTAATTTATATTTAATAATATTCTTATTATGCTTAATTTATACCCAACTTATGCTTATAATATAAATGCATTAACCTTATTATAATCTTAATATTAATAAAATAATATTTATTAATAAATTTAATAAGAATTATAATAACTAAAGTATTATTACCATTAATGCTAAAGGAAACTTACCTTATCCTTTTAATAATAATAATTAAGGCTTAAAGGGCTATTGCATTATTAATAATTATTTTATTTTAAGTAATAATAATAATAATAATTAATAGCTTTTTATTATTAAGAAGTTCTTATATAAGGATTATATTTAAGTTTTAACTAATATTAATATCCTCCTTAAGTATATTTATAGCACTTATAAAAATTTATATATTAATTACCGCTATTATTATAACTCTTACTATTAATATAAATAAAAATTTACTAAATTAATTATGCTATATAATGCTTTTTATACCCTTTTAAATATACATTATGCTAATTATAAGCATATTTTATATATATCTTAATATAAGGATAAACTTAATATAATTAAGGGTAATGCCGCTAAATTTATAACCCCCTTTAATATTATTATGTATATATTTAACTATTTGCTCGTTTTAGCTTAATAAAAGCCCCCATTAATTATATTTACCCTTATTTTAGCTATTTATATATATATACTAGCTTTTATTATTAATCTTATTAATAATAATTATATTACCTTAACTTCCTATACTTCCTAAGATATGCTTAATATAATAAAGCTCTTAATCCTTATTTATAATAATGCTATTATATATTATAATTTTAATATACTTATAATAAGCAGCTAGCTTTAATAAGTTATTTAAAGCATAATTAATACTTTTAATATATTTTAAGGTAATATATAAAAGGTTAAATATATTATAATTAATCTTAAAGTAAGATTTGCCCCTTATATAAATCCAGCTTATATTAATAATAAAAATAAGAGCATTTTAATTATTTTAAGAATTATTATTGCTAAAAGTTTACTGCAATACTTAAGGCTATTTAAGTTATTACTTACTTAATTTCTTATTTTTTATATCTTATATTTAGCCTAAACCGCCTTAACCTTTTTATATACCCTTGCTAAAATGCTTAGCTAAGTTTAAGCAAGTTTTATTATTATAACTATACCTTAAGTCTTAATTTAAATAAATGCAAGCTATCCCCTTTTAAGAAGCATAAGCGCTGCTATTATTGCTACCGTTAAACGGGCCTTAATTATATGCATAGTAAGTTTAAGTAATAAGGAGTATTATATTTTATTAGCAATAATATAAGTTTAATTTTTATTATTATATATATAATCCGCCCTTATTTTAGCACTACCTTAAAAACGCTTTAATAAAATAATATATATTATACTTACTTAAATAAAGTAATAAGCAAAGGAATTTTAAAGGGATTATAAATTTCTTACTTTTTAAATAACTTAGCTAAAGTATTGCATTAAGTTTTATATAAATTATTAATATATAAAGATAAATATTATTATAATTTAAGTTATATTAAAGGAGGAAGCTAATTAAACTTAAAATAAATATATAATAAGTTTTAATTAATTAAAAGTATTTATTTATAAGTAAAATTATAAGTTTAAATTTTATTATTACCTTGCTTTGCTTAATTTATTTAAAGCTTATATAAATAAAATTACTTTTTTAGCTAAATAATATAATAAAAATAAATTACTTATCTTTATCCCATCCTTATTTATAATTCTTATTATTTTATACCTTATTTTTAAATAAGCTTATTAAGCTTAGCATAAGCCTACCTTATAATTACCTTAAATAAGTAATTCTTTATAAATAGCGGCATTTCTTTATTATACCTTAAATAAGTTAAGGGCTATTAATTTTTATAAATTCCTAAGGGGTTTTTATATTAATATATTTTAGCCTTTTTATTTAATATAAACTTACTTCTTAAGGAAATCATTTTATAAGTACCTTAATATATTTTTAATTATTAAGATTTTCTTTATAAGATATTCTTTATCTTAACCCTTATTTATTTTATTTAAAATTAGCATAATACTTAGCTAAGTATTTATAAATATTTAAATAAATAGTAAATTCTTTATAATATGCTTAACTTAATTAATATTAAAGGTAAAATAAACTTAACTTAATATATTTAAAATAATTATTTAAGATATAAAAATATTTATTATAATATATTTTTAATATAGCTAGTTAAGCTTCTTTATTAATTAAGTAGTTTAAAAGTACTTTAAAAATAGCTATATTTAGTTATTAATATAAAATCTTTTTATTATTTAATGGCGTTTATTAGCTATTTACTTTTATTATTATTAAGTAAAAATAATAATACCTTAAGCAATATTTATTTTAATTTAAAGATAATTTAAGAATATAACCATTTAGCTCTTAAGATTAACCATAAATATCATTATATTTAAGAAGCTTAAAACTACTTATATATTAAATTTATTTATCAATTAATTTAAACTTTAGCTAATTATTATTAAATTCTTATTATTTAGCATTATTTAATAAGTTAAAAGGTAATTAGCTTAATTATCTTATAAAAAAGTAATAATATTATATAAATACTTTTATATTTCTTAATTTATTTACTTTATACTACTATTTATTTTAAGATAATATATTATAAATAAAAAGCGTTTTATTCTTATTTAAATGCATAAAAAAGCTTAAAACGCTCTTATTTAATTAAAGCCTTAATTGCTAATAATAAATATAAAGAACTTATAATAACGCTATTATAAAGTAATAAAGCATTATATATAATTCTTTATAATTATAAAATATATTGCTTTTAAGAAAACTTATTTTAAAAAATAATTTATAATAACTATTAAATAATGCAAACTATCTTTATAAGCTAATAAATTTATTATAAAGTTAATAAATATTTAAAATTAATAGCAATTTAAAAAAAAAAAAGCAAAGCAAGCTTATTATAGCTATTAATTAAACTAAATTTAATAATATATATTATAATTTTAAATAAAACATTAAATTACTTATAATATATTATTTTAATAAAAGTTATATAAAAGGACTTAAAATGTTT